CTGATTACTGCTGGCTGCTCTCCGGATGACGTGATTGCTCAGCTACAGGGTGATTTCAACAAACTACAACATCACCTAGTTGCTCTTAAACTAGTCCTGAATACCTCCAAAACCAAGGTGCAATACTTCTCACCAGGACTAAAGCAGGAAGTTATTTTTCCCCAATTACATTCCTTAAATTATCAAATAGAGCAAGTCAAGATCTATAAGTATCTTGGGGTCATCCTGGATTAAAAACTGAATTTTGAAGATCACATTGATTATATTGGTAAAAAGACAAAAATATTGGTTTTCTGTATCAACAGAAGCACTGCTTCCCCCCAATGTTCCGTTTGGAATTGATACAAGCTACCATACTGCTTCTACTTGACTACTGTGACATCGTGTATAAATAAGCCCAAGTACTGTACTGAAGAAGCTTGATTCCATCTATCACTCGGCCTTAAGATTTACATTGAACTGCCCATATAGGACTCACCACTGTGATCTCTACATTGGGTCAAACTTAACATATCTTAATGTTCGACGGCTTGTGCACCAGATCTGATTTATTTACGATGTACTTACAAAAAAATTCGCAGACTACCTGCTGGATCTCCTCTCTGTTTCAAAGAACAAATTTGACCTCAGGTCTTCGTTCATTTACCAGCCTCACATTCCCTATTGCCATACAAAAACTGGAGGAAGGGCCTTTGCTATTGATGCCCCCAGGGTCTGGAATGCTATTGCCAATAAACTGCAACTTGAATCGCTACCAATGAGATCTTCTCTCAAAACTGCTCTAGAGGAGTTGTACACCCCTAGCTGCCACTGCTATTCATTGGCGTAAAATAAAATAAAATGTTTCGCTCCGGATGACGCTGCAAAGTATTATCTGTATTTTGATTTAGCGTGCTGATCTTAAAGGTGCATTGAAAAATTTGATACTCCAACTGATGCTTCTGTTGTTGTAGAGTAACTCATGCAGCCAGCTATGGCTCTTGGATTTGGTGTTACATGTTATTTATGTAGTTTATTGTAAAAATTCGGTCACAGTCCCTGTGATCACTGTTACGTTGCAATTATGGCTTTATTTTTTGGTGATTTCGAAAAGTTTTTTTGGTTTGGACATGTTTGTTTTGTTGTAGTACGGAGTTAGACTGATGGCCTTAATCTAAGTTTTCTTGTGGTTGTTGACTTGCATCCCACTGGAATTTTTTGCACACAGCGTTGGTGTACGGTGCTTTTTTCAGGAATATTTTGCTGTTTTTACATGGATTTTCTGTTTGCACAGTCACTTTAAGATGTTTTTCTTGTTCATGTTTTTGTGTGTTGTGGTTGCACCCGATTCAAGAGCCGAATGGCTCACAGGGCTATACCAAAATAAATAAACTAAAAAACACAGCAGGGGTGGTTGTTGCTGACTCGTACCCTTGAACGTGTTTTCACCCCGGTTTCTCTTCCACGTGGTCAGCTACTCCACGTCAGGACCCTCCTGACGCACCGATTAACAGCATTTTACATTCGACCATTGTCTAAGTTTAATTTCCGGCCACGGCTAACAATCACGTAGGTATAAAATAAAATAAATCACGTTTCGGGCGCAACACCAGCGTCTGTCATCAGGTTGAGAAAGCGATGGTCTGCTGCTGAGGCAGACTGTTTTAAATGGGTGTAGCTCAAGGTTGATAAAGAAGTGGCCGGGGCTAGTGATGTTAATGTGAGAAATTAGCATGTTGTTAAAGTGGGAAATTAGCATGATGTTAATGTGAGAAATTAGCATGATTTTATCGCGAGAAATAAGCATGTTAACGTGAGAAATTAGTATGATGTGAGAAATTAGCATGTTAACGTGAGAAATTAGCATGATGCTAACGTGAGAAATCATGTTAACGTGAGAATTTAGCATGATGTTAATGAGGAATTATGTTAACGTGAGAAATTAGCATGTTAACGTGAGAAATTAGCATTATGTTAATTGTGAGAAATTAGCATGTAACTGTAAGATAGGAGAGCAGCCTCCTCGACGAGGGTGCGGAAGTGGCTGTTAATGTGATAAATTATCATGATGTTAATGTGAGAGATTAGCATGTAAGTGTTAGGAGAGCGGCCTCCTAGACGAGGGTGCGGAAGTGGCTGTTTACAGATGGGATTAAATCACGGATTTTGTGCACTGTGTTGAAACGAACCTGGATCTTGTGTTTAAGATTTTGGAAATCTTCTTGGTTACCAGGGCTGGAGAGGAGGAATGAATCACGGGGGAATGAATCACGGGGGAAAGTGACTAAGGGATAACTCCCTAGCCCCCCCCCCCTCCCCACCAGCTCTTGTCCTACTATATACACTACACTATACACTATTACAGGTATGTAGTAGTGTATAGTGTAGTGTATAGTGTATACACTACTACTACATTACCTGTCAATCCATTAGTGTCCTACATAATTAGATCAATTCAGACATTATTGGTCACCCGGTGCCCTTATACATCTCAACGTTCATCCTACAAAGTCCCATCACAATGGAGAAGTACAAAGAGACAAAGCATTTGTTTTGCCCGCATTGAAACGGCTGTATGCCGCATGAACCTGAAAACTCAATTTCCCTGTTCAAGAATACGGGGTAAACCGTATGGGTTGACAGCGATGGTATAGCAGTGTAGTGTATAGTGCAGTGTAGTGTATAGTAGTGTAGTGTACAGTGCAGTGTATAGTAGTGTAGTGTATAACATACCTGTCAAACTCTTATCAGTGCCCTACCTTATTACAGACCAATTCAGACCTCTGATTGGTCACCCCGTGCCCTTATAAATCTTAACGCTCATCCTAGAAAGCCCCTATTGAAACGGCTGTACGCCGTATGGACCTGGAAAATAAATTTCCCTGTACAATACGGGGTAAACCGTATGGGTTGACAGGAATTGGAACGACATAGTGGGGGGGGGCTTCAGATTTTCACTCCCACCGCGGACGTTCCGGGTCGTTCCGAGCCTCATTTCCACCCTGCTGATCCGCGTGAAGTATGGTCAAACAACCCCCACCACCCGTGGCTTGACACAGCGTGGGGGAGGCGGCCTTCCCAACCCCGGCCCCCATCCAGCAGTAGATTGACAACGGGTAATGATTCGTGATTGACAGAGCAGGAGATTTATCAGAGTATTGTTTGTTTGCATGTTCACCACAAGTACTGTGTGGTTAATGCAGACTTGAATCCTTGCAAAAGATTTATATTTGGTGTTTGAACATCTTAACACCTGTTTTATTACCAGAAAGTGTAAAACCTATTATTTTTTTGTATCATGCAGGAGTCGTGTTTTTTTGTTAACGTTTTTGTTTTCTTTAATGCAAAACATCTGAAATGTCAAAACAGAAATGCTTTTTTTAGTCACCTAACGGTACCGTGAAGGCGGCAGAACGAGAACACCGCGGCAGTATTTTTTTTTCGAAAGTAACGTGCGTGGAGAAAAACAAAAAAAACATTCACGTGAATTCCGGCCAAACTAGAATCCTACAAACGAAACAGACCCGATTCTGTACAGGAAATACAGAAACGCGAAGCGGTTCTGACATTTTAAAAATGCTATTTACACGGCTAAATACTTCAGTCTACAAGTTACGGTAAAGTTCACAGCAGGGGAATCGTACATACGGGCAGAAATGAGAAACTACGACGACTAAAATGTCTGTCATGTCGTTTGAAATGAATAAAAAAAACTTAAGAAATACACGTCCGTACAAAAATAACGGTGCGGTCATCAAATACGCAGCACCTGTGGTGAGAGATTCTTATTCAGTAGTGCATCGTGGGTCAATCAAGGCCCAAACAGTCCACAATTACCATTAAAAGTGACCCTCCCCCCCCATCCTTTCACATCAATTTGTTTAGCATTTTTTTTTCTCTTAAGAAATTCTGAAATAAAATAAAAACTCGCTCAGCTTTGTCGTACACCGAGCGGAACTGAAACTATATGCAAACGCGCCAAGCCGATCTAGAATAATTATCGTTCAAAAAGTCATCGTGCTCGGAGCGGCTGCCACCAAAGACAAAGATCCCCTCGCCTATAGCCTTAACAGACTGTTGGGGCAAGTGCGGTTGGCGAGCACCTGCCGAGGCCGGCACGGCACACGAAGGGGTGGGTGGCCAACACCACGCCTGGCCGCCTTTGTCTCCCCATTGGCGATGTTGACACAGCTCACCAGGTCCTCATTTGAGGCTGAGTCGACCTAGGGGAGATCCATGACCAGTTTAATGGTCACTGGTGTTCGCCGTGAACGGTAATAGAACTCGGGTCGCCGGGTTTGTAGCACAGCGCGTTAACCGCTACACCACCTCTCCCCACCACCACCACCGCACCTCCTCCTCCTTGCTCTCTCCCCTCTGCCAGGTCCCACAGCTGCTGCAGAGATATCCTCCAAGATCCGCCTGGGCAATATTGCCCACGACCTGATCTTAGGTCTTCCCCTTGGGTCACCGCACTCGTGGAGACCACAGCAATGCCCGTCCCTCTCTGTAACTGGCCCCAACCCCATCCTGCACAGGTCCCCACCAAGCGTACATTGGTTTGCCTACTCCACATTGCAGTTCTGAAGTTTTACAAAACAACCAATGAGGGTGTTTCGTTGGACGGAAAATCTACACCGAAAATTGGCAAAATCGGCATTCAACAATATGCCAATTTTTGTTGAATGCTTAAGAGGTGGATTTCAGTATGCAGCATCGCTCAAACGTGCCAGTCAAGAGGGACTGAACGCTCACAAGTGCAGCAGGAGCAGCATCCGCGTTGTTCGGGGCCATTTCTGGGACTGGCATGAATCGTCGCACGTCAGTAACACGCACGCATCTCCCCCCTCATTGAGCTCGGCACAGGAATTCACTTTGCGGAGGGAATGACTGTCATGGTCCAGCGTTGATGTGCGGCTTCTCCAATTCACCTCTCCGGCCACCTAACCAGCTTCAAGCGCATCGACTCAGCGGACAGACACGCTGCTCACTCACAAGAACCTACACCTCTCTCTTTAAGAGGTTAATGGTGAGGTGAAAAAACACGTGCTAAAAATGTGTTAGTTTAAAAAGAACATTTTAACCATGAACGACAGCTATCGATTGACAGGTCACGTAGGTGGGGTAGAGTACGGCTACTCCCAACTGTTCCAAAATGTCTGGCCGTTGTGTGGAAGAGCAGGCAAAATCCCCTCGAGTGGTGATCTTCACAGATCCCTCATAGCGGAGGCCCCTCCGCCAGCAGTGGCGAGAGCAACAAATTGCAGGGCTGCACCTCTCCCGATTACCTGTCAACGAAGATTAGATGACCGAAAATATTACTTTAAAAAACGCCGCGTGGCAACTTCACACCTAATTGCGGGGGGCTGACCGCACGAGGCGGTAGAATCTGGGAAGGCGTTTTAAGCGTCAGGGCGTGGGGTCCTCCGTGCGCGCACCGCGGCGCGCTCCGTGTGCGAGTTAAAAACAAATCGGCGACGCTCGTAGAACAACGCGCTTTCCGTCGCACAAGGGACTTTCCAGATGATCAAGAGTAAAGAAGTGCAGTGGGCGGCAGCACCGACGTTCTGAAAATCGCGCGCGTTTCCTTTTTTTTGCACGGCGCCCCGTCGTGCCGTGGCCCCCGCTACTCGCGGAGGTCTGGCGGCGGCGCCACCCTCTGCTCGTCGAGCCGTCGCGCCTGCACCCTCTGGATGAGGCTGATGAAGTCCTCGTCCGGGACCGTGGGGCCGCGCGGCATCGGTGCCGGCGCCACGCACCGCTGGTCGTCCATGCGCGAGCTCTGCGGGGCGGCAAGAGAGAGCCGGGGTCCCGGCCGATCAGCCGCGTCGCGCCGACGGAACGACGGCACGCGGCGAGCGGGAGCGCGCTCGCCGCTCGCTCCGGAGGTTCACGGCTCGAGACCCCCCTGCGGCTGCCCTGGTTAATGCTGCCGGGTGAATTGATGTAAAAAAAAAAAAATCCCGTGGCATTAATCGATAAAAAGTAGGCCATCGTGTGCCGGCATCGTGGTCCAAATTTGGAAGATTACCCACAGATTACTCAATGAGGAAACGGCAACATCGCCCGTGAAACTACCACAGTCGGTGAAACACAGCAGCACCTTCCTTAACGATGACCTCGCGGCTACGCGAACGGCGCGCACGGCAAATGCACAAATAATTTGAATCGCGCGCGGCCGCACGACCACGGCGCCAACAGCCCCACCTGGCAGCGCACGAGCATGTCGAAGAAGTCCTCGTCCTCGTGCTCGTGAGAGCTGGCGGCGGCGGCGGCGGCCAGAGCCCCGGCCCTGGCGGCGGCCGCGGCCGCGGCGGCGGCGCCGTCCATGCCGCGCGGGGCGACAGGAGCGGCGGCGGCGGCGGCGGCGGCCGCGGCGAGGCGCCCCGAGACGGCGCCGCTGTTGTTGGGCGTGAGGCGCAGGCCCGGCAGGTCGGACACGCTGGCGCGCTGGTCGTCGATGCGGCGGCTCTGGGAGCACGCGAGGAGGTCGAGGAACTCCTCCGTCTGCGGCGACGCGACGAGGGCGCGCGCGCCTGTCGCGTGACGGCGGCGGTGGTGGCGGTGGTGGCGGTAGCGGTAGATGGCACCGCGGCAGACGGAGGGAAGGATGGGCGTACAGACAGATCCCTCGATTGTTACCCAGGTAACGATCCACAATAACTATAAACTATGCGATCACACAGGGTGACCTATTAATAGTTTATGCAATACTGGACGCTGCCGTGGAGTGATGGCTTTCACACTGGGCTTGCAATCCAGAGGTTGCCGGTTCGATTCCATTTACTGGCGCGGTAGCTGAAACAACGGTGCAAGTTTCTTAAATCCCCACCGCCTCTGTCCACCCAGCAATGTAAATGGGTGGATCACAGGCTGAAGGTCGTGTGTGGTGGGGTAAACCATGGGTACTCCCTCCTCCTCTTCCAAGGTGTCTGGCGGAGTAGTAGGCCAAATATCTGATGTGGGGTTCGGTCGAGCTCCTTCGAGAGGAGGCTCTTGCACCAGCAGTGGTGCGAGCATTTAGGCAACACATGGCCCACACTCACCGGCTCACCCATCAACACAAGCCCACACTCACCAATTAACACAACTCAGACTCACCCATCAACACAAGCCCACACTCACCAATTAACACAACTCAGACTCACCGGCTCACCCATCAACACAAGCCCACACTCACCAATTAACACAACTCAGACTCACCGGCTCACCCATCAACACAAGCCCACACTCACCAATTAACACAACTCAGACTCACCCATCAACAGAAGCCCACACTCGCCAATTAACACAACTCAGACTCACCGGCTCACCCATCAACACAAGCCCACACTCACCAATTAACACAACTCAGACTCACCCATCAACACAAGCCCACACTCACCAATTAACACAACTCAGACTCACCGGCTCACCCATCAACACAAGCCCACACTCGCCAATAAACACAACTCACTCACCGGCTCACCCATCAACACAAGCCCACACTCGCCAATAAACACAACTCACTCACCGGCTCACCCATCAACACAAGCCCACACTCGCCAATAAACACAACTCAGACTCACCGGCTCACCCATCAACACAAGCCCACACTCACCAATTAACACAACTCAGACTCACCGGCTCACCCATCAACACAAGCCCACACTCACCAATAAACACAACTCACTCACCGGCTCACCCATCAACACAAGCCCACACTCGCCAATAAACACAACTCACTCACCAGCTCACCCATCAACACAAGCCCACACTCGCCAATAAACACAACTCAGACTCACCCATCAACACAAGCCCACACTCGCCAATTAACACAACTCACTCACCGGCTCACCCATCAACACAAGCCCACACTCGCCAATAAACACAACTCACTCACCGGCTCACCCATCAACACAAGCCCACACTCACCAATTAACACAACTCAGACTCACCGGCTCACCCATCAACACAAGCACACACTCACCAGCTCACCAATCAACACACAGCACACACTCACCAGCTCACCGATCAACACACAGCACACCCTTACCAGCTCACCGATCAACACACAGCACACTCACCAGCTCACCGATCAACACACAGCACACACTCACCAGCTCACCAATCAACACAGCTCACAATCACCAGCTTACCGATCAACACACAGCACACACTCACCAGCTCACCGATCAACACGCAGCTCACAATCACCAGCTCACCGATCAACACACAGCACACACCAGCTCACCGATCAACACACAGCGCACACTCACCAGCTCACCGATCAACACACAGCGCACACTCACCGGCTCACCGATCAACACACAGCGCACACTCACCGGCTCGCCGGTCGGCCTGTGGTGGTGTGGAGGGCCCGCGAGCCCCGGCTCCCTCGCCGCCGTTGTGGTCGGGCCCCAGCGAACAGCGCTGGTCATCCATGCGGTTTCCCTGGAAGCGGCTGAGCAGGTCGAAGAACCCGTCGTCGTCCACGAGGTCAGGGTCCACCTGGGGGCGGGCGAGCAGGCGCGGTCGCTCCCTCACTCGCTCGCGAGCTCGAGTACTCATCCACTCTCTCCTTCGATCGCTCACTCGCTTGCTCACGTGCTCGCTCACGTGCTCACCCACTCGCTTCACTCCTCACTCACTCAAGATTCCTTCCCACTCACACACTCGCTCCTTCGCTCGAGTACTCACGTGTTCTCTCGTTCGATCGCTCACTCGCTTGCTCACGTGCTCACCCACTCACTCAGATTTTTGCACACTCACGCACGCTCGCTCGCTCACTCACACGCTCGCACGCTCGCTCACTCACACATTCGTGCGCTCGCTTGACACGCTCATGCGTTCCTGCCTTTCGCACGCACGCACACACCCAAAATGCCCTCCCCAACCCCGGTGGAAGCGCGCTTACCCGCGGAATAAATCCACCGTGTCCTCGCTGAGTTCACGCCTGCAAGGCCGGATTAGCCACGGCTGCGTTAACAACCCAAGAAGATCGTTATAAAAATCACATTCCTTTGTCAATCCACTGCTGGATGAAGGAGACTTCCCCATGCCGTGTAGGTCATGGCAATTGTCTGCCCAACCTTCATCGCGCCGGGCGGAGCGGCTTGGTGAAGACAGGACCTAGGATTGGTTCAGATGCCATTCATCACCGATGTTAACGGTGGCAGAAAATCTAACTCGAGTTGTTAGGTTCAGAGCGCAGTGTGCTAACCACTGTGCCAATGCTCAGCCCCAAACATTCTAATGCATGCGCACATATCGAGTTGCAAACATTTTAAATCCTTAAATACCACTTACCTTTCAAGTGGGCGGGACAGCAATAAGAGCACCCCTGACGAACTATTTATAATTAAAATCTTGCGATGCTCGTTATCGCGTTGACCCAATTAACACTGAACAATCTGAATTTGAGGCAGCACCAGCAAGCGATTGGCTACTGAACCATTAGCAACGTGGAACGTGTCGTTACAAGAGTGCAAGCGTCCTCACAAACAACTTAACAAAGAGGTCGACCTCTGCTTCACCGAGCGATCGAGATCTCTCGCAGACGAGCGCATGCAAGGTTCATCCCGACCGCCGCACCCCACGGGACACGACGCACACGTTCGTACGACGCTCCTCGCCGCCGCTGCTACTGCCGTCGCTTGCAACCGCTTCCCTCTCTCGTTTGCGATCGCCCTCCGCCGCGCTTTACGTGACAACCCCCCCCCCGGCTCCCACCCGGCACCGCTCCGCTCTGCTCTCCGCTACAAAGGGATCCCGGCGACGACGCCAAGCGAGCGTCTTCTCGCGGTACGGGTCGTGCGGCGCCGCCAATCGGCAACGGTCCGATTCGAGGGCGGATAAAAGAATGTCTAAAAAAAAAAAATTGAGCTCTTTCAAGTAGCACCTGAAAGCAAAGCCGCGCCTCGGCGCACGAGAAGTGCCCTTTCCTCAAGGCAACGGCTCCGCTCTAAATCCGCGACATCACTCGCCGGACAGCCCCTGCGTATCTTTGCGCACGGCGGCTTTGGCGCAGCCCGGTATAAACGGTGCGGCGATGTATTTTTATATATATTTGTTTTTTTAACTAGGGAAATATGCTACGTGATAATTAGTCCCCCGAAATCTGAGTGTTGTTATGATAATGCGTCAAAGTCTTTGTCACCTCCAGTGTTATCGTAGAGGTTGTACCATTTTATCGCTCCCGCTTAGGAGTGGGGGGGGGGGGGCAAGTGCATAAATAGATGCAGAATTTAATTCACCGGTTTATACCGAACCGCTCCCTGCTGGCGCGGTAACCGTAACTTATCATTTGCTCACAATGCATAATTAGAATTAGACGAGCGCCGATTCCAAGCGGCGCGCGGAATTGCGCGGTTAAAACTGTGGATTGGTGGTCATTGAACCGGGTATAAGGAATTGGCATAATCCAATTAGCATATCATTAACAAAACAGTCAACACCAAGTCAGACGTGTGGCCCGCGAGCCCCCAGGCCTCCTTACACAGATTGCGATTGCTGTTAATTTCATGTGAGCTCCAATTAGAGGTGATTTAAACGTGGCAGGGGGGCCAGGCCTGCAGTACGGCAGGGCGTGAGAAGGCTCCTAACAGTGACACCGTACCTGGTACAGCTGGCCCCCCCCCTAACTCTAATATCAAGGCATTACCCCCCCCACAACCTGGAACTCATTCCCTTCCCGCAGCCATCCGTGAGCCAACTCCTTACGTATGGCGCTTTGAGATGCGGTCGCGTTTAAACGTCATACATATCCACATTGTAACGCACATTGATCACACAGCGACCTATAGACTCACTAAGAGACCCGTATAGACCCATAGATGCTCTGAGTGCATGCACCTGAACAATTATATGCGTGCATTGCGAATGTCAGAATGAATATGCATTTAAAATAGAGTAGCCAGTAAGTGGCAAACAGCTTTGTTGTTTTTGTCTTTCTGGTGAATCAGGTGACTCTTGCAAGTGAGACTCCATCCCGGTCTTTGGAGTTCTCACCCATTTACACAAAATAAATTAACGTGAAGTTACGCAGCGACACTCGCCCACACGAGCGAGCACTGTTGGGAAGCAGCAGAGCAATGATCAGTTGCAAGAGTCCCACCTGTCTACGGGACATCTGTGAAAAACATATTTTAAAGATAATCGAATTCCTCCAGGAAATGTTCTTCTTCTAGTACAGCAAGTAGGCTGCTGACCCATCAGAACGGCCTTTCATCTGCAAATCGAATGCATTCACTTATAAACAGCTTTATTGCTTTATTATTTAGGGCTACTTGCCGAGTTTAATTAAACTTTATATATATTAAAAACGAAAATTGTTGGCAGGTAGCCTTCAACATACCCTGCGGCCAGAATTGCATTTGCACCCTGGTGAGGTCGCACATTTATCTTTGGCATCCCGGTGCAATCAATATGCGGTGCAAATTTGGCTAATCAGAGCACGGATTCAACCGCCCGAGCGCCCGATATGACGCGGGGAAATTATCGCTCGTGACACCCTAAGGATCGCCTGCGGGTCACACGGCCCCGCCTGACTTCCAAACACGCCGCGCCCACTCTACCGGCGGCAGGATGATGGTGGTGGTGGTGCAGTCATGACGCTCGCGCCTCAAAGCGATAGGAGGCCTGGGTTTTGAGTCCCGGCACGGGTGCCTGTTCTGTGTGGAGTCTTGAGGTGGTTATCTCCCCCTGTTCAGCGTGGCTTTCCACCGGCTTCTCCGGTTTTCACCCACTGCTAAAATTAACGTACGTTGTAAATCGGTGTTGGCCAAAAAATATAAACATCCCGACGCTTAAAATGACCTGCAAATCACCCAATTGGGATCATACACGGCATGATTGCTCCCTTCTGCGAACAATTGGTGGGACCCCCCTGAAAAATATCTGCGAGGCTCAGTGAGGCCTTCCTGGGTAAACAAGTGTAATAATACTAAAAAGTAAGGACAGCTCAGGGCCACATTCATAGACCGAGTTGTGATTAGACCAGGTTCTCTTGGGATTGCACGCAGCAGCCAACAATCACCGCCCCCTACAGACAGCACACACATGCCCACTCGCAGGCCAGGTGCCGAGTAACCTTGTGCCGCACAGGGACGGCTGCCACTGGGGGGTGCGCTTTCAAATGTGTTGAGATTAGACCTGCAATGTAAGCCACGGATTGGATATAAAGCACGCTGCTGCAGTAGAGGGTGCTGTATATATATGAACAACAAAAATTATTGTCATCAGCGAGTTGATGGTGTAAGCCCCGTCACCAATGACTGCACAAAAAAATCCATCACGTTAAATGTGGTTCTACATTTAATTTGGCTATATTCCAACTCCGAGAATTAAATATACGTAGAGTGGGTGGGGAAGTGCTGCTCTCTACCGTGTGTTGAGCAGAGGTCACGTGAAGACAGGATCTCAGAGGTGGCTCTGTGATGCCCGATCGCGGACATCACGGTGCCGATAGAGCAATCGGGTAAAATCGGTGAAACAATGGAAAAAAGAATAGTCAAAAGTGGAGCTCGGATGCCCTCCAACGCCTGTTTTTGTTGTATGCACTGCACAAGGGGCGTGTGCGATGGTTCTTATTGCAATTAGCAGGCTCCCATAGTTTATATGGAATTCCCTTGCCAACAACATCTGGTGAATCCTGTTGAGGTTCACAAGGCAAAAACCGGTCCGGAGTTTGCGCGCGTAAACCTGGGTAATAATGTTGGTCTGCAGAGCCCATCGGGTCACTGATGGACCACAACTTATTTTGATTTGCGCGTGGCGCCGCAGAAAGGATTCTTTCAGCGAGTCATCTGTTGAACGCCAAGTCATTAGGGAAGCGTCATGCGCAACACGTTCCATAATTCTTAATGGAATTCATTATGCCAGCAGCACGATTGGGATAAAAAAAATGTTTTGTGAAAATACAAAAAAGAGACCTGCTTCTGCACTATTGCTGTGTGTGATCCCAAATGAGTAATTTGTGACGTCATTTTTCACAGTTGGCAAATTTGGACTGTGTCGCCGGCAGACAATGGTCCCCGCTGTTTTCGAAATGGCATCACGGGGATCTTTAACGCCCACTGCGAAGCTGACGGATGTGTATTATTGTATAGTTAACACGCCCGTAGTATTAACCAGGGTGGCCTGCCGGGACCGAACTGCGAACCTCTGCAAAGAATGGCAAATGTGTTGCTGCTGGGCCGCGTCACCGAGCCACAACAACTCCACGGTTCTGCGGTGAGCCCTCCTGTCGTGAGCCCTCCGTGGTGACCCCTATGCGGTGAGCCCTCTGCGGCGAGCTCTCTGTGTGGAGCACTATGCGGTGAGCCGTCTGCCGGCCGGGCACCACTCACCCTGGTGGACACCTGCAGCGCGACGTCACGCGAATCCACCGACGTCGTTCGCTGCTCCATCTCCACGCCATCGCGCTGCTTCTTGCCGCGCAGCCGCGACGGCAAAAGGGACTTCCCAGAGGGCCTGGACGTCGCCGGCAACGCCGACGTGGAGACGGAATTCTGCTGCGCCGAAACCACCGCTCCACCCATGGCCAGGGAGCCCACGTCGCCATTCAGAGGCTGCGGTCGCGAGAGAGGAGTTGAGTTATTGCATTCATTCTCCGGGGCACGCGCCTGCAATTCGGCAGGCGAATTCGCGAAGCTCCCTCCTCCCCACCCGTGGGCCTCCAAGTCGCCATCTCCTGGCTGGCCAGGGTATGATGGTAGTACAGCAAGTGGGTTAATTTCCATCTTGTACGGAAGATTGAGTGTTATCCCCCCCTCCCGTCACACCCGTGGGTTTTCTCCGGACACTCCAGTTTTCTCCCACGTGTATAAACAACTCATCAATGGAGTTGGTGAAACATCCCGACATAGGACCAGAGCTTGGGCAATATTTGGCACAAGTTTCTTGCTTACTTCCCGCTTCTTGGTGATTTCCCGCGCCTCTGAAATTTTCTATCTCTCCCTGTCAGTGAATGCGTGAATTCTAAATGATTATTAATTCGCCAAACACCTGGAATTTCATGGCTTAAAAAAAATGTTCTGGTTAATCTTCCATCCAAATCACAAATTGAGAGTTAGCTGTCGATTCTGCTGTACGGTAACGTCGCTTGCAATTGTATTTGACATATACCCATGTCTGTAACATATTAGTACCAGAGCCACCCTAAATCTGCTCCATGTTTTCGTAATTTATTGGCAGAGATTTCAAGCTTGAATTGGAAATGGCGTAAAGTAAGACTTGGGCTCCGAACAACGTTCCCAGCAGACTCCTAATCGGTGACCCCGTTTTGCTCCACGTTCCAGGAGCTCCTCTAAGAGCTGCGTTGAACTCAAATGCCCTGGGAGAGCATAGAACTGCTCAGTTAATTTCCTGCAGAGGCTCTCGGCACGTGGATTGAAACATCAGACATCGCGCTGAACAACACGTGGTGAAAACCGAACACACGTCGGAGAGAATTACATTTTCTTGATATCGTTTCGGGGATAATTGGCGACTCTCAAAATGATACCGCTCGCGTCGCCGCCCTGTACCTTGCCGACCTTTCCCGGGGTCAAGTGCATGAGCTCCATGTTCTCCATACTCAATCGCCTCCTCGGCCTCGTCTTTTCGCCTGCCAAAACAAGCGTCGTGACGTTCACCTCTCAGTCGCCCGGAGCGTCGCTCTTACGATCCTCGGGCGCGTGTTAGTGGTCAAGGCTCGAAATCTGGCTCGGCCTATTAACGTTCGGGCTCAGCTCAGGCTTGAGCGGCTCGGCCGCTTCCAAAGACGCGCGAGTGAGCGGCTCGGCCGTGGCTTGGCCCAGGCTCAGCTCCCCGGAAATCCTCAGCGTGGCTGGGACCGTGTTTATGGAGTTGGCTTAAGTGATGTGTGGCTTTGAACCAAGGCTCACTTGAGCCAGGGCCAAGCCTGATCCGAGCTGTGACTAAGAATACGGACGGGGCTTCATCTCCCTCGCATGGACGCACTTGTATATCCGGTCAGGGATCATTTGAAAACACACACACGTTACACGTGCAGCCCATCTGCCAATCCACTGCTAGGTGATGGCCTCCCCACGCCCATGCGGGATGTCCATTTCCCAGGGACTGTCATCGACGTCAAGAATAATTTCTTCAAAATGCGCATCGCCGTGCTTGGGAAATAAAAATTGGAAGTGGAGCAATGCGAGGGAAGAAGCAGAAAGACAAGTGAAGTGACCTGTAGTGTGGCGAGTGGGTGGGTAAGTTTATGAGTGAGTGGGTGGGTGAGTGAGTGGGTCAGTAGGCGAGTGAGTGAGTGTGTTGTTGAACACAGTGCGGTGGTGGTGGTTGAACACAGTGTGGTGGTGGTGGTGGTTGAACACAGTGGTGGTGGTTGAACACAGTGTGGTGGTGGTGGTGGTGGTGGTTGAACACAGTGGTGGTGGTTGAACACAGTGTGGTGGTGGTGGTGGTGGTGGTTGAACACAGTGTGGTGGTGGTTGAACACAGTGGTGGTGGTTGAACACAGTGTGGTGGTGGTGGTTGAACACAGTGTGGTGGTGGTGCTGGTTGAACACAGTGTGGTGGTGGTGCTGGTTGAACAGTGTGGTGGTGGTTGAACACAGTGTGGTGGTGGTGCTGGTTGAACACAGTGTGGTGGTGGTTGAACACAGTGGTGGTGGTTGAACACAGTGTGGTGGTGGTTGAACACAGTGTGGTGGTGGTGGTTGAACACAGTGTGGTGGTGGTGCTGGTTGAACACAGTGTGGTGGTGGTGCTGGTTGAACACAGTGTGGTGGTGGTTGAACACAGTGTGGTGGTGGTTGAACACAGTGTGGTGGTGGTTGAACACAGTGTGGTGGTGGTGGTGGTGATTGAACACAGTGTGGATGAGAGACTGAGCCCTCAACACAGCCGGAAAAAATCAGCGAGTGAGATTCACGGGTACAAGAACCTGAGGTTGTAGTCGCGATATGAGAGTGACAGGGAGGCCCGCGTGTATACACAAGGCAAACTACGCCGCTCACCTTCAGAGTCCGACGCGGAGTCGTGGTCATCATCGGGCGACGCTCGCTCCACCTGCTCGGACGCCTGCGCCATGCCGAGCGTCGACTGCAGGTCAGCGAGGTTGAGTCGCGCCGTCAGCTCGCCGTTACAGTCGCCCACCTGCCCGCCACACGCAGCGCCGGCGCCAGGGACGCTCATCACTCCGCGTGGCGGGCAATGGTCGGCTCATCACCTCGCCGGCCGGCGCCGTCGTGATCTCGGCAGCGACGTTGACAAGTTTAAGGACGCCCAGAGGTCACGTCGTTCGCCGGCCGTCCACTGGCACGAAGGGTTGGGCCACGCTGCCAGAGTTCCGAATGGATTTATAGTCTCGTGGTCAGGATCGAGACGTCATCGTGGCCACAGCCGGTGATGCCATCGCCCCTCATCGCCAAGCGCTTTCTACCCTTCTGCCAGAACCGGCAGCTGCTGCACAGGTGACACACAGCGACCTCCAAGATCTGATCCAACCTAACCGTATCCCACCATCTGGCCTGAGGTCTTCCCCTCGATTTCCAGGATAACTTAGGTGAAAACTAATCACAAGAAATGTGATTTCAACGAAAATCAAAAGAACCCAGCTTCACCAGATTGGGGGTTCGTCTGCCCAGCATTGGTGTGGCACCGCGGCATGGCGAGTCACGGTTCGCGTTCGCCGGCGCTCATCGCTGAACAACATGAGCGGCAGCAGACAGACTCGCCACTTTCCGTTCCAGAGTAAATCCGGCGTCTGTCCAGTGCCACGGCTGTGGCTGGTGTGACTTTGTGCATTTGTGCGTGTCCGTTTTGTATGCGTGCGTCTGTGCATTCGTACATTGTGCGTGCGTCTGTGCGTCTGTGCGTGCACGTGGTGTGCGTTTCTGTGCGTTTGTGCGTGCGCGTGGGTCCGTGTGTCCGTGTATTTGAAATCACGAGCCGGTTCACAGCCCGGGGCACTTTGTCCGTTCCAATTAAGAGCAGGACATTATTGAATTTGTGCAGCTCTGCATGAGCAAGTTGTGAGCAAAGCCATGTCTGGATCGCTGGAGGCACTGTCATCTGCACTGCTGCTTCACCATCACCACCGTCAGCTATTTTCTATTCACCGCTGGATGAGAGGCCTCCCCACGCCGCACTGGTCATGGTTGGTTATTTGAGCATACTTTACCACTCGGTGAATGCAGCAAGCTTCAGACACGGTACAACAATGTATCGCGCTGCACTGTCCACCTACGTGGCCCGCAGCCTATAACAACCTGTCGTACATATTCATCGCCCTTCCAACCATTATCCAGACTCAAATCCTGCTTAGCTTTCGAGATCGGACGCAATCGGGTACATTCTGGACCATTTGGTCACAGCCTCATAAACTTACTACATCGCCTTAAATGCCAAAACTGTGAGTATCACTCCGGCTCCTATATGCAATGCTCCCGCATACTCGGGCACAGGCTACACAACACTTCCAACGTACAGGACAAGCAGGTGCTTCCGAAACTCGTGAAACAGAATCCAGCCGTGCTGCGCTAGCTGCTGAGAAAGCACGACGATCGTGAGGTTTACACAGGCTAACGCTGAGCCTTGCGGCCACAGGGGCAACATTTTCCCCATTCGGCAACAAAATGACAACAATCATAATCGTGTGCAGCACGCGAGCTTGTTTACCGCGAGCGTTATCGACCGAGGCCATGCAGCACACGCACGCACACACACCGTACATTCTGAGAATGCAAGGCTCTTTGATGCGTCAAGAACACGGCAACAACGTCGCAATTAGCCATACTTTGAATGTTTCAGAGTGACGCGTGTGGGGTTTTTTTTTTAAATATCCGTGGCAGGGTTGGGGAACACATCGTCCCCTCTTCACGTGTCATCCCAGAAACGCGGCGCGCGGACGTTGCCAATCTCCCTCCCCGTTACCCAAGCGACCCCTCCCCCCACCCCCCCTTCCAGCTGCGCCTCACACCACTCTGCCACTCCCGGGGGGGGGGATGTGGGGGGGGATATTCTCTCCGCGCAGTCCCGACGACCGATACGCGCGTCGCCCCCCGCAGTGCACGGGGCGAGCCGTCGCAGGTGACCGCTGAGCCGCGAGCGCGATTCATCTCTTTGGCGGCTTGACAGATCGCCACTTCTTCCCACTACGCCCGGCCTCAACTTCGGTGTCAATAAGTGATTAGCCCGGCCGGGTGGAAGCGATGAGAGTTTAGTCTGCTTGTTAGCGTGCGTTTATCTCGTCTAGCGGTAGTGTAAAGGTTAGCACGCTGGACTACGAACCAGGCGACCAAAGTTCGATTCCTGCTCACGGTCACCAACACCAGAGATGATTATCTGAACTGGTCCTGGGCCTCCCCGAGGTCGACTCAGCCTCTAAAGAGTACCTGGTGCGGTGTGTAAACATCACCACTCAGGACGTTTTCAAAGTCAGGTGCGATGTTGCTATGTGCAATCCCAAATTAGTAAATGGCTGTGTAATTGTTATGCAATGGTATGTGGTTTTGGCCGATAAGTTAGGTTTTTTTAGCTATGGAAGGAAACCAGAAAACCCAGAGGAAGCTCACGCAGATCAGGGGGGAGAACATGCACACTCCGCGCAGAAGCGTGTCCGAGTCGGGAATCAAATCAAGGAGCTTGTTGCCGAAATAATATAATAACAATTATTTTGAAGGCGCATATGATCCGTAGAGATCCATATGCCGTGAGGTGTGCTACCCAACCGTCGCAATAATTTATTTCTTCATGACATCCCGCCATTTGACACGTTGTAAACAAGCCGTGGGCCGGGAGGCACCGCCGTATGTCCACACGTCGCGGGTGGCAGGGAGGGCGGCGGGTGTCACTGCACGCTCGGCCGAGTGGCTCCCCCACGTCCTGGGACGGACGAAGGTCGGACGAACGGAGAGACGAACGGAGAGACGGACGGAGAGATGCTCGGACGGAGGGACGGAGGGGTCAGACGGACGGAGAGACGGACGGACGAAGAGACGGACAGAGCGAGCCGAAACGTGCACGCGTGTAAAGCCAACGCGACGCTTCAACGTCACAATTACTTTGCGGGGAGCTAAACGGGCCGGACCGCGCCTCCGTGGCTCTGCGCAAATCGCGCAAATTGAGACAAACGCATCATCCTCCGCTTCACTCCACTCACCCGTGAGTTTAACTCCTTGCCAACCTCTGCGTGCACCTATTCTCTATTCGTCCGTCTGCGTTCGTGGGCCGTGCCCCTACTTGCCATCGTCATCAAACACGGTCAATCCACTGCTAGATAAAAGCATCCCAAAGTCATCACCATCTTTCCAATTGTGTAGATATGAAATATAATGTAATAATTATACTTTCTTGGAATGTAAAGTTGCAATCATTAGAAGATTTGTGGCAGGCTTATGTAGTGAGAAGTGCAGGTGAAAAATTTAGAAGTACACCACAGCGTACACACACACACACACACAAGACAATAAACACGCAAAATATAAAGGCACTACTGACATTGCGATAATATTTGTATATCTTGATAACCGATATCGCATCATGACAACCGGTGCAGTGGTAACCCCGTACGCACGGAACCCACAAGAGGCCATGAGGGGCCGCGAGGGGCCGCGAGGGGGCCGCGAGGGGTCACGAGGGGTCGCAAGGGGTCACGAGGGGTCGCAAGGGGTCACGAGGGGAACACCGGCGCTGCGTACCTCCTTGGATATGGCCAGGTGCTTTGTGACGAAGGACAGCGCTTGCTGGTGGTTTCCCAGGGACGCGTACGCATTGCCCAGGCTCCAGCACGCACGACCCTCGCCCACCCTGACGGCAAACGCAACGCACAAAAGCGGGGGGGGGGGGGGGGACATCAGCGGGGCCGCTCGATCGCGCGCTCGCTCACTCACTTCCTTCCTCGAGGAGGCCACTCGCGTCCTCACGCGACGACGCGACGGGGGGAGGCCGCGCTGTTCAAGCTGGCCACCCCACGGGAGGCTTCGCACGGCTGGAGGGTGAAGTCATCGCAGGAAACAAACACCGGGGGGAGAAGGTGGAAGCGGCAACAGCCGAGCCGCCGCCAAAACAACTCGCGCCAAAACAACTCGCGCCAAACGCAGCGGCCGCGGCGAGCGAACGCGCAGGCACGGTGATGAGTACTGCACGCGTTTGTAACAGGCAGAGCCGCAACCCTGCAAAGTCCTCGCTCAGGCCACCGCTGACGGAAGAGTCTCAAATATAGACGGAGCTCCATGGGGCCCCTCTTCAGGGTATTTGGTCAAAAGTGAGCGCACCCATACTTTACCCCACCACATTTGCGACCTGCCGATCAACTTAGTTGTACCTTGTTTAAACTGCTGGGTGGACGACATTGGTTCGAGCGAGCCTGACAGCTGATGAGACGCCACGCGTCAAAACCGGTCCAGTTTGCTTGTACTGAACCAATGCTGGTGGAAATATGCACTGCCAGAAGGTCGTGCGGCTGATGGGATGTGTAAAAGAACACCCTTATCAATATGTTAACGTGGAGGGACAGACACGTGACTGACTTTCCGGGGACACAAAGGCGGCCGGACGTGATAACCGGCCACACCGCTCCCTCACGCGCCGTTCCGGCCTGAATAGGTGCCACTTCGCCAAGTGCACTTGCCCCGACAGCCTGCGCGGGCTACACGGGGGATCTGGGTCTATGCTAGCAAAGATGCTGGAGCGCCAGTTTCCTCAGGTAAGGAACATGATTGGAATGAAGCGGTGGCCGGGATTTTCGCTGAGACAGCGCCGCCCACTCTCCCCAGCTCTTTGCAGGGGCTCTCAACCGGCGGTGATCAGAATCCGTGGGGTTCACAGATTTAGCGATGCCCTCTGCTCAAGGACTCGGGGACGCAGCCCTCCCCTCGCAATTGCAAACGACCGACTGGCACGGAAGGGCAAACGACATGGCGTCACAATTCACAACGGTTCTAACGAGACCGGGGCCCATTCTCCACGATTCCTCGCCAACGCCGAGAATCCCGTATCCCCATGGGGTCGGCTGCTCGCATTTTCTCCCTCAGTGATCTTCTCCTTCTGCGCCTCTTCTCTGGTCACATCCGGCTGTCCTCGCCTCTCGCTCCACCGCATCCTCCCATCTCAGCCTCGGTCTCTCCCTACTCCTCCTGCCCTGTACCAGAGGCATCTCCATAGCCCTTCTGCTCTGCGAGTATTTCTTAGACATACCATCAGCCGCTTGGCCTTCTGCGAGCGCATACTTTCAGTCAAGCTACCATGAGAGATTCGTTCATGAGGCTATCCACATATACAAACACAGAGACAATTTCAACCGAGAAGATGGATTCTGGCTTAGCAATCATTGAAAGGATTTGATAAACCATTTCGGGTTTTAATTGATTGTTCACGCTTACGGTGGCTTTCAGACCGCATCCATTATTTTCGTCTCCCACCTCCACCCCTCTTTTCCGAACATAGATGGACTCGTCCACCTGAATAACTGCCAAATCGCTCTCCGTGGTGCTAACGTTAAAAAAAAACACCACTTTTTTCAAATTTTCTTGCTGTGGATTTCACACCTGATGATGATTCCCTGTGTTGCAGTCGAAACGTCGTGAGAATTTCATTGTTTTATATTTACCGAAAGAACCAAGAATATGGATCAATGCTGGCGAACTGCCCATCTTACAGGAAGTGACCCTCTCTTAACGATGTGCGTCCGAGTTCGACACAAAATGTAACAATACACAACTCACAAAAATCTTTATCGTCGTTGTGCAACATATACCTACTCGAATAAGCAAAGTCTCCTTCACACATCCGTGACAGTATGCACTCCCGGAAGGCTGTGCGGCTGATGGGATGTGTAAAAAAAATTGCTTTGTTTTGGAATTTGGAGAGACGGAAATGGGAAGATGTATTGTCTGCTGATTTATTTTTATTATTTGTATGCTCCACAACCATGCTAATAATTATTCGAATATATGCGTCTCTCTGAGGCTGTGGATCTCTGTGGTGAGTCTATGGGTCTCGAATCTCAAGAGTCCCTCAAATGACATTTTCTTAGACCCTTACCCTTGGCACTGTACTTATGTGAAACGGCTCCTCAAGACCTGTGCAAAAAATGACCTAAATACGCCGTGGACGGACGATAGAAGATTAATCTTGATGTTGACACAGGCTGCTGTGACACCGCCCACCGACTTTGCAGCGACAGTTAATGAAATTGCCTAATGGCACTGCCGAGCAGCACAAGGATTTAATGTAACGGAACATGGCAACAGAATGAATCGGTCATCCGGGATTGATGATGAAAATGCCCTTGGCTGTGAGAAAGTGACATGGGGAGGCATTCGTCAGCGGCACGAGGAGTGGTGAATCGGGCGAAGTTTTTCCCCCCCGAGTTGACATCCGTTTGACAAACGCATCTCGCCCTGTTTCTAAAACCAAAATTATAAAGTGACCGACGCTGCTGCTAGTTGGTTATTGTGGCCTGGTGGCTCGGAGGTGGGGCGAGCGGCAGGCGAGCGGCTCGCAATCGCAAGGTCGTGACTTCAAATCCAAGTTAGAGGGGGGCGTCGGCGGTTGATTTGGCCCATCAATGTGGCTCATTTGAGCAGGAAATCGCATTGATATTTGACGCATTTTAAAAAGACGTCAATTAATTTTCGCCTATGATCAGACCGCGTGGGAAACGTCCGATCTCATCAGTATCTCAGAAGCCAAGCACGGTTTGAGCCTGGACAGCGGTTGGATGTGCGCCCACACGTGTGCCAGGCTCCCAAAGACGGCTACGTTTGTGGGCAATGCAACACAATCCACCGTTGTACCACACTTGCTATGCTCCCGTGTTCACCCTCCCCACCTTCACCGACCCGTACTGACCAGCGTGCTGAGGTCAAATAACCCAACGGTGACCCGCACTGCGTGGGGGTTAGGCTAGGTTTATTGCGGTACGGGCAAAACGCACTGGACAATAATAAACACTCATTTTCTTTGGGGATCTGGTTACAGAAACCTGGTTACAGCAAAAAGAAAGCTCGAACAAAACAATCCACAAACAACTGCATAGGGTCAAATACCGAGTGGCAAAGTCGTGGATCAACATGGTAAAACCAGCACAAAGAACACAAGGCTAACAGATTACACCCCATACAAAATCAAACAAACATTTATAACTTGAAGGCCTGTAAAGCAGAGCGATCAATTGCACGTGCACACACGATGAAATCTGATGTAGAGTGGGACGAGGAAGGTGAGGTTTTGATCCCAGATGTTCTCGCTCGGTTATCCCAGAGATTATCAGCCGCAACACAGAAGGAATATAAACCACTTTTGGGTCCCACATGGGAGGGACTGAGCAGCAACTGGGAAGAGGAGGAGGAGCTTCTGGCAGATTAAATGATCTCGAAGATATTTAGCAGCAGATTTAATTTTGTAAACGCTTTGAGGATGAAGATGGCCCAACGCCGCACCCACGCGTAGACCCTCATCCAGCAGTGGATTGCGCATGTGTATGTTCATCTTATGCATATGTTTCACTATCTGCACACTTGTCTGCACAGCCGCTCTTAGCTGGCGAGTAAGATACTTTCCACGCGGCGCGACTGACTCGGCAACTAATGGTATTAAATGAAAAAAAGCAATTTCCTGGAAATACGATTTGCCTTTTCCAGCAAACAAGCGCGGAGTAGATCAAATTATTACAGTGGCGTCGAGTTCCAGACACTCGCCCAATTTGATTTGCCGCGAGGCCTCGACGGAGCTATCTTTACCGACATCAAAGGCGGCCGGGGACGGGGGCTGGTTTGCTTTTTTACTCGTCGGCCTTTCGAGGCGAGAAGACAAAACGGCAGTGTCGATGATTTCAAGGGGCCCGGCGTCTTTTTACTCGGCAACGTTGACATTTCCAAGCGAAATTACCGCGCGTCGTTTTTGAAGACAACGAGAGCACAGTTGGTTATGTATGGCGTGAAAGAAGTTCCACATGCGTACAAACGCACATACATACAATATTAACCGTTTATTATTTACATAGGAAGGGTCCTGCTCCATTGGGATGTTTGTCCAATACCCGTGACAACGTTTGTTTGTTTGTTTAGCTGTGGGAGGAGGAAACCGGAGAACCTGGAGGAAACCCATAAAAAACAGGTGCAGAACGTGCCAAACGGCACACAAAGACTCCCAAGTCGGGAATCAAACTCAGGGCCCTTCTTCTTGCTGTGAGACACGGGTGCTACCACTGCGCCAACCTGCCGCCCTACAATTGCTGGACGTCGCGTTGCGATGGGTCAAACAAAGAAGAAAAAAAATCATGCAAACGCATCAATTCTGTATTGCTGTCCAACATGCTCGGAACGCAGTTTTTGTTTATGAGAGTTATCGTGGCTAATGGTGTCATTGCCTAGCCTAATAATTCTGACCCCCCCCCTTTTAGTGCCAGATTTTTACCGACAAGTTGTGGCCCAACCCTTTTATCAATTTGGCCGATTATCTCCCGGGTAATTCCCTTACAGCAACACAACTTTGCACAAATAAGTTATTTACATCGGGTCATCTTTACCCAAGTTACCATGGCCATCCCAAGTTACAGACGGACGGACAGACGGCGCAAGAGCTAATGCATTCAAGGTTAAAAAAAAAACGTAAACTCTGACGTTGAATAGCGCGGAGTCAAATGATCCGACCCGTATTTTTTAGAAAAGAGCCCCATCTGGTTTAGTGGAGTCCACGCGCCACGCAAGTAATAATTATCAGACCTTCACCCTAATGGCCACGCTCAGCGAGCCAAGCTGCGACACCGGCTCCCTCAGCGATTCACTTCGAACTGGGAGGAGGCAGCGTGATCTACTCGAGTCGTTTTAGTTATGGTTATCAGTGAAACATCGCAACCCTAACCCTCCTCCGTTCTCCACCTCCTCCTCCTGCCGTCTTGCTGGACGTCTCATAAGTGCTTTTGCAAGAGGTTGACGGGGTGGTACGGAGGTCACAGTGCCTGATGTGGGCACCTCTGATACTCTGGGTCTGAATCCGAGGCTTCAAACCGGGTGCTCACGTGCGAGTTGATGGTCACAGCGCCATCGGCGATGAATGCAAAAAAAAACATATCACGTAAAAATTTGGCTCTGCACTTAATTTGTCTACATTCCAACTCTGAGAATCTGCACGTTGGCTTGGCCGTTACGCAATGGTCGTTATTCTCAGTGGTGGATCAAGTGGGAAAGTGCTGCCCCTTACTGTCTGGACCACGGGAAGCCTGAAGGTTATCTCAGAGGTAGCTCTGTTGTATCCGACTCCGAAGGGTTGCACTACTCTGCGAGAGATGGTGGATACTACATCTCATGATATGATGCTGGCAGCACAATCGGAATACAGACATCGGCAGGGCGAGGGCGGCGTGCACTAGCATATAGTAAACACTCGTTAATTGGCCGATAACACCTTTATATAAAAAGGATCGGAGAGCTACGGCAATTGTTGGTAGTGCCTCCTCACCATGCTGCTGCCTTTCCTGCTCATCTGTGGCTCCTCCTCGCACCTCTGAGTTGTTCTCTCTCTACTGTACAATGGTAGCGTGTTACAAGTTGAAATAACAATTATCATTGCACTGGTATTGTGAATCCTTTTCTCTTTGGTTTTCATCTCCACGGTTTGGACAATGCTGTGATCAATGTGTCAGGTTTTGTCTCGGGCAAGTCGCTAACAGCAACACAACTGCTCAGTGGAATTCTGTTAAAACAAGGGGCCTCACAAGTTATCGCTCGCGAGTTATCGTGAGCCACCCGCCCCCCCCCCCTCCCTCCGTTACAAATACACAAGTCAACCTTAGTTGAAAGGAGTTAACAAACAATGAATGCCTGCCCCGTCGCACGTGTGCGCACCTGTCGCTGAGGTCCTGCGCGATGGCCAGGTGCTTGAGGAAGAACTGGATGGCGAGTGGGAAGTCCCTGAGCAGCGTGTAGGTGTTGCCCAGGCTGTAGCACGCCTGTGCCTCGGCCGCTCGTTCCCGCAGCTGTCGCGCCAGCTGCAGCGCTTTCCTGCCACCACCACCACCACCGTCACCACCACCACCACCACCGCACACCACGAGCAATCGTCAGAGACCCGAGTGGCAAGACGAGCAGCATAGAGCAACGACGTTCGTTTGCACCGCCGTCGTCTGGATGAAGGCCTCGGCAAGCCGCTCTGCCATCACTCAGGGTCTCGAGATGCAACGATTGATCTAGCACCTTAACGGGGGGGGGGGGGGGTGGTTTGGGTTAGATCACGACGTTTTGCCGGTGATTACAACCAGCATCATCAGGCGACAGCCAGAATATTTAAAAAAATAAACCTCTATTATGGATATCGGTCCCGAAAGCCTACGCATTAAACTGATCGAGCATCTGCACGCAAGCTGATGTTATCGCTCCGTCTCTGGATGTCCTCCTGGGCGTGTGTGTAACCCCCCCCCGCCCCTTCCCCGGCTGGCACGCTGTCATGAGTCTGAACCATCGGCCGTCATTCCTTCCAGCGATGTGTCCTGCCCAAGCCCACTTACTTTTCTCAACAGGCAATAGGATGAGATATGGGGGGGAGCTTCGTGGGGCTTACATCCAGCAGTGGATTGATCACGGCTGATGATGATGACGAGAAATAAACCATTTCTTTGGTCAATATAGACCACAAAATACATCAACATCAAAAACGTCATCAAACCACCTGATTTAACCCCAGGATTTAAGCAAAGTTGGGGTCATTGCTCAGGCATAGGTATTAGCATTGTGCACATTACACTGTCATCAATTACCAATTAATAGGAAATAAATGTTTTATTGGTTCATAATTTGATCATGGCACTTTCCTCCTCTGCATCTCTGGTATAATATACACATTATCATTCTAATGCCCTGCCTGACACGATCACACAATATCACTCTGTACAATATCAATAAAATGCTAGTGCCCTGATGCTATCACTCTACACAAAGGGAACATATCATTCCAGTGCCCCGACACGATCACTCAACACCACTCTTAACAATGGGCAAAAAAAAAAGTATAATGCCATTACAACCCCGTCACACATTATCAGTCTGCAACAGTCATCGCAAATCCACGACGCTTTACGCATCGTCGGGAGGGAAGGCCGCTCACTTGTAGTACTCGACGGCTTGCGGAAAGTCTTCCAGGCGCACGTACGTGTTCCCCAGGTTGGTGTAGGCCCTCTTCTCCGCTGCTTTGTCCCCAAACTCCTTGGCGATTTTCAGCCTCTGTTGCGGAGGGCAACAGGGAGACCCCCGTGTTCGTTTTCCACGCGCCACACGACGGCGACGGCAGCGGTGTGCGTGGGTGGGTAACGCGCCCGTAAGGTAACAAGCGTCTCAGAGCGCAGAACCACACGCGGGGAACGGGAGGGAGCGAGCAGCAAGGCAAGGAGAGAAAGGAAGTCACTCACTCACCCACTCACACGCTCGCTCACCCACCCACTTCATCACCCACCCACTCAATCACTCATCCACTCACTAACTCATCCACTCATTCACCCAATCACCCACTCAATCGCTCCACTCACCTGCTCGTTTACTCATTCACTCACTCACCAATTCACCCGCTCTCTCACGGAACGGAAGCAATGGTGGAATCAGTGAGTGAAGTTCACAGGAAAAGTGCAAGAAGCAACATGGCAGTAGTCATAAAAGGGGGAAAAGGGGGCGATTAATTTATGGTGAACACAGAAGCAGCTTTTTTTGGCAGACGTAAGCAAAAAATAATGATTGCAAGTGCTACACTTGACCGTCAATAAAGAACTCTCCCAGCCATGGCAGACGGACACAGACGGAAACAGACAGACGATTGTGAAGGGCTCGCAGTCTCACCTCCTGGTGAAATTCCACAGCCTCGTCATAGTTGCCGAGGAGGTACTGGGTGTTGCCGAGGTTGCCGAAAGCCCTGCCCAGCGCCGCGCGGTCGTTCAGCACGCGCACGATCTCCAGGTTCGCGCTGCAACCGCAGGGACAACACTTGTCAAGAGCAAAGGGCAGTGGCGATGGGCAGCGGCGACGATGGGCAGCGACGGCAATGGCCAGCGGTGAAGGGCAGCGACCATGGGCAGCAGCGGCGATGGGAAGCGGCGAAGGGCAGCGGTGATTGGCAGCGACCATGGGCAGCAGTGGCAATGGGTAGCGGTGAAGGGCAGCGGTGAAGGGCAACGACCATGGGCAGCAGCGGCGATGGGTAGCGGAAAAGGGCAGCGGCGTAGGGCACCGATGGCGATGGGCAGCGTGTCAATAAACAAGTTGGTGACCTCCTGTATTGGAGCTTGTCTGCTGTTTCCAGCCCTGCAAAGTCAGTGGTGGAAATTCCACATTCATATGGCGGAAGCGAGTATCTACTCAGCCTTGACATCGGAAAACCGCTTTTGACTTCCCCACAACGTGAGACATTTTATAGACCCCGGAGAGATGATGGGCTGAGTCAATGAAGATTGGAAGTGGCAAACCTTGCGATCGCGAGCCGCTTGCTCCACCGCTGAGCCACCGGTCCGGATGGCTAGCAACTAAATTAAGTCAGACTTAAATAGTGTACATAATATCATTACATGTGGTATCTAACTTACACACCTCAGGGCGAATGGTAGTTTGTATCTAAATTACATGATTCCATTAATGCATAATGTGAATGTATGGAGCCCCCCATCTATGTAACTAGTAGGCATCAAACACGTCAAGGAATACAATGAAAGCAATTAACAATCCACGTCACTGTGACTGTGAATACGTATAACACCATTAAATCTCACGAATTAAGGTTCAACCGCAGTGAAGTTCAAAGGCAGCGGGGTTCAATGGCAGTGGGGTTCGTACTGCAGTGAACAACAACAACGAGATGCGTGCCGCTGCTGCGTTGGCAGCGGTGCACATGCACAGACAACCGGAGAGCCGGCACGCTCCGTGTCAACAACACTGCCCATTGCGCTCCGCTTACTCTCAAGGACGGAGCCATAGACCGGCGTGGTGGGTTTCTTTGTACAACCGCGCTGAAGTTTCACACAATGATTTTAATCAAAGATTGCCAGAGCTTGCGATCGTTACGTGCTATTATTTATTAAAGAAAATGCTATTAACCGTTTTAGCTTCTGTCAATGCAGCATAATATATTTTAAATTCAGCCCCCCCTCCCCTCCATTACATGAGCTCGCTTATCTTGCTGGAGTATTATCAATTTCATCACTGCAGTATATTCTGGCAAATGGTTGTACTCCACTCCAACATCAAGGCTGCCCACCTTCACCGGCCCACACTGACCAGCGTGGTGAAGTATGGTCAAAATAAACCCCGACGAGCGACACGGTGTGGGGGAGGGCCCTCATCCAGCAGTGAATTGACAAGAGGGGCCGCACGTGGCGACTCAGGGCTAAGTTACACAAATGGTATCCGGGCATGCCACTGAAAAAAATAACAGGCGTGGGGTGACGAGATTCTACTCTCAGAACGACCTTCCCGCCGCTTGCAAGCAAGCACGCATAGCAGCAGACACGCATGTCGAGTATGTGCATGTGTAAACAATTGATAATCACTCACCCATCCACTTTCTCCCACTTGAAATTACGCTACGGTACAATCCATTAACGTTCCCGTCCGCCGTGCTCTGGTTATCATTAGGCAAATCGTTACTCGTAATTTAGTGGCAATGTTATTCGACTTTCTTCGTGTTTGCTCAATTTGCTTTTTGTTTCAATAGCACGCCACCCTTGCGGGATCTTCCGCTACGCACGCCGCCCGCACGAACACTCTCCCTCTGCGCCTCTACTGGGGCGCCCTTCATCGGCTAAGAGCACTCGCGCTGACCACCAGTGTCATAAATCTGGCACTGCAGCGCAAAACCCCAGACGCCAGCAGTTTAGCCACGATCCAAAAACGTTTCAGCGGTAAAATCAATAACCGGGCCGATGCTGCGTACTCGCACGGACATGAAAAACAGCCTCCTTTTATGAGCGGCCATCGCGAAATTGCTCGCTAAATGACAAGGGGTTTAGCTAAAAAGCACACGCTGTGGCACATTCGCGACGGCAGAGTTTATGCGGCGAGCGCCGTGTTCGTGCGAGGCAAGCCCGTCACTCACGCTGCAAGCGGGGGAGGGGTTGCGGTGTCATTGTCGATCGCCATATGGAGGCAGCTACGTTAAGCTCTGCGTGACCCCTATGAGAGCTGGGAAACCCCACGAGCTGACAAGGCGCTTGTCTACCTGCAGGCTGTCCGCATATTATACGCAGGAAATGGTGAACGGAGTTGACCAATGCTGCAAAACCTGGCTTCCTCAGTTCGATTCCCTGCCATGGCTAACATCGGTGACGAGTAATAACCACACTGGTCTTGGGCCAGCAGTGGCACAGTTGTTACCAAACTACGCTACAAAAGCCAGAAACCCGGGTTCGATTCCCGGCCGCGGCTAACATCAGTGGACAGTAATAACCACATTGGTCCTGGGCTAGCCGTGGTGCAGTGGAAATCACACTGCACTACGAACCCAGCAAGCCATCCGCCCCCTTCACGGCCCACGCAGACGCTGACCGGGGGGGGGGGGGGGGGGGGGCATGGTAAAAAGTACAGTGAAACACGCCGCCCGTCTCCGGGGGCGCCCCCGCACTCACTCGTAGCACTGTGCGGCGGCGAGGAGGGCGTTCCTGGCCTCGTCGCAGAGCTCCCCGGGCTCGTGCGCCCCCACGGCGTCCGCCTGCTTGCCCCGCGTGTGGTACACGTTCCCCAGGTTATACAGCGCCTTGGCTTCCCCGACCTGTGGAGACAAACGCGTGGACGGCCTTCCGCTCAGCTGTGGGAGACCGTCGCTCGTGCCCGTGGTGGTTGCCGGTAGTCATTCTAATCTGTTCATGATTACAGGCTACTCAGGATCCCCTCTTCTTTACGACATACAGTGAGGGAAAAAAGTATTTGATCCCCTGCTGATTTTGTACGTTTGCCCACTGACAAAGAAATGATCAGTCTATAATTTTAATGGTAGGTTTATTTGAACAGTGAGAGAAAGAAAAACAACAACAAAATCCAGAAAAACGCATGTCAAAAATGTTATAAAGTGATTTGCATTTTAATGAGGGAAATAAGTATTTGGCCCCCTCTCAATTAGAAAGATTTCTGGCTCCCAGGTGTCTTTTATACAGGTAACGAGCTGAGATTAGGAGCACACTCTTAAAGGGAGTGCTCCTAATCTCAGCTTGTTACCTGTATAAAAGACACCTGTCCACAGAAGCAATCAATCAATCAGATTCCAAACTCTCCACCATGGCCAAGACCAAAGAGCTCTCCAAACATGTCAGGGACAAGATTGTAGACCTACACAAGGCTGGAATGGGCTACAAGACCATTGCCAAGCAGCTTGGTGAGAAGGTGACAACAGTTGGTGCGATTATTCGCAAATGGCAGAAACACAAAAGAACTGTCAATCTCCCTCGGCCTGGGGCTCCATGCAAGATCTCACCTCGTGGAGTTGCAATGCTCATGAGAATGGTGAGGAATCAGCCCAGAACTACACGGGAGGATCTTGTCAATGATCTCAAGGCAGCTGGGACCATAGTCACCAAGAAAGCAATTGGTAACACACTACGCCGTGAAGGACTAAAATCCTGCAGCGCCCGCAAGGTCCCCCTGCTCAAGAAAGCACATATACATGCCCGTCTGAGGTTTGCCAATGAACATCTGAATGATTCAGAGGACAACTGGGTGAAAGTGTTGTGGTCAGATGAGACCAAAATGGAGCTCTTTGGCATCAACTCAACTCGCCGTGTTTGGAGGAGGAGGAATGCTGCCTATGACCCCAAGAACACCATCCCCACCGTCACATATGGAGGTGGAAACATGCTTTGGGGGTGTTTTTCTGCTAAGGGGACAGGACAACTTCACCGCATCAAAGGGACGATGGACGGGCCCATGTACCGTCAAATCATGGGTGAGAACCTCCTTCCCTCAGCCAGGGCATTGAAAATGGGTCGTGGATGGGTATTCCAGCATGACAATGACCAAAAACACACGGCCAAGGCAACAAAGGAGTGGCTCAAGAAGAAGCACATTAAGGTCGTGAAGTGGCCTAGCCAGTCTCCAGACCTTAATCCCATAGAAAATCTGTGGAGGGAGCTGAAGTTTCGAGTTTCCAAACGTCAGCCTCAAAACCTTAATGACTAGGAGAAGATCTGCAAAGAGGAGTGGGACAAAATCCCTCCTGAGATGTGTGCAAAGCTGGTGGCCAACTACAAGAAACGTCTGACCTCTGTGATTGCCAACAAGGGTTTTGCCACCAAGTACTAAGTCATGTTTTGCAGAGGGGTCAAATACTTATTTCCCTCATTAAAATGCAAATCAATTTATAACATTTTTGACATTAGTTTTTCCGTATTTTTTTGTTTTTATTCTGTCTCTCACTGTTCAAATAAACCTACCATTAAAATTATAGACTGATCATTTCTTTGTCAGTGGGCAAACGTACAAAATCAGCAGGGGATCAAATACTTTTTTCCCCTTCACTGTAGGTGCCTTTACTATGACCATGCAATGACAGTGATGCAACAGTATACATGTTCCTTTTTCCAGCCATATATAATATGGGCATTGTCAGGAATATTGGAAAATGAAGAACTCCGCCATTGTCCAGGGAGTTGACCAATGGAGACACCCAGAATCAGAATATTTATTTATACTGGAGGAATCGAATGAGCTATGGAGCTCTTTATCACAGATTTACCTGGAGCCTGCTGTATTGACCATTATAATTGTTCCATTCCGTCGAGTACGCGGTACTCACGGAAGGGCTTCGCCTCTAACCTCCCGGTGGCTTCGGTTTAACCGTCGAACGGATAAAAACCCACGAGGCGAGATCTTGAAAATAACCAACTTGACTTTGGAGTCGTGGCACCCCCGAGGTAGCGTAGCAGCATCGCGGGCCTCTCACCTTGTCGCCGGACTCGCGCGAAATGTCGAGCTGTCGCTGGCAGCAGGCGGCCGCCTCGTCGTATCGCCCCAGCGCCTTGAGTGTGTTCCCCAGATTCCCGCTCGCCTTTGCCTCGCCGACCTGGTCCGCCACCGTCCTGCACTCCGCGCCATCCGCCTGTGGTTACCGCGTGTGCGCTTTCGCTGCATGCTGCGAGCTTGCCCATTATTCATAATTGTCTTTTTTGGTTAGATCGCCAAAATATATAAATGTGCCGTTAAACCCGCCACCACCCGACACAGCCAAATAGTCAGGTTTGTCACGTGAACTAGCACAGCGCACCGGTGTATTGGAGAACCCAGGTGGTTTAGCTCTCCAACACACCGGTGTGCTGTACTCGTGACAAATTGCCATGTTTTGTTTACGTGACAACCCTTACTACCGGACTGTGTCGGGTGATGGTGGGTTTAACGACACATTTACATATTTACACGATCTGACCCAAAAAAAAAAACCTTCTATTATGGATGATATTGGTCGCAAAAGCCTACGTGTTAAAATTCCCCATTATTTTTTGTTCAAGCCAAGCTAGAGAACTCAGAGAAATCAGGACAGTCTAATTCGCAAGAGTGGCCCCGTCGAAGACGAGCGATTAAATGGGCGAGCAAGTCACGGTCAGTGTAGCGGGTGGCGCACTGCGCTACAAAACCCGGCGAACTGGGTTCAATCCCTGCTCTCGGTCAACACCAGTAACGATCATCTGAACCGGGGGCGATGATTGCTGCTGCTGTATGTGAAATTTCAACAGAGTAATTTGTGGATAATTCTTCAAATAAAAAAAAAATCAACCAAGTGGACCCCCTATTTCAAATACCGAATGATCAAAGAGGGCAGTGGTGTTACTCATTGTTCCATGGTTTGCGATCGGTGACCGCAGTCGGCACCGTTTAGCTATTCTTAATTGTCCATTAGTGCATTAGAACGTCGCATCTCCTATGCGACGTTCTAATGTGCAGCACTAGATTCCCCACAATCATATGAGCCTTGGGTGGAGCTTATAAGCCTGCGGTAGTCTATCCACATCCATAATTGTGACTTCATTCCAGCGTTAAGTGCAGAGTTGACCCCCCAACCGCGATTCGAACTTATTATCTTTTAACCGTAAGTCAATCTTGCCGCCACGATGCCACCCAGCCAGATAATCTGCTGATGAATCGAGTTAAATGCTTTATCGGCCACTCACACAGAATCTCATCCGCAGGGTCACGATCACAGAAAGCAGAGCATTTTTGGAGTTGGTCCCATTGGGATTACGCGCACGAGTGGACGAGTCTTGTGCCGTGAACAGGTGGCCCGCCCGGTGAATGTAATGAATCGAGCAGTAAACACTGCATGCAACAAGGAACACATTCAAACACAGTCCTTTATAGGGTACGTCAACATAGCGAGTGTGTCATGGATAAGTTTTTCACCATTACCTCCAGGAAAGCCCCACTGAGCCTCAAGAAAGTTGAGGTTTTTTTTTTTTTCCCAAGAGGGTCCTGCCAAGTTTTTGCAGTTAGGTTGCGATCTTGCTGTGTCTCATCCCAATTGAGTCATTGGAAGGTCATATTTCAGTTTGGGGATGTTTGGCGAATACCGGTTACAATGGATGTTTTTAGCTCATGGCAGAGAGAAGAAAAACGCAAGACATTTCCCATTCCAAGACAAACGCACGACGGAATATATTTTACGCCACAAACCCTCTCCGCAGACCACGCTGCAAACCCCGAGCAGCGGCCAACCGGCACAGACAACAAACACCGCGGTCACTGGCAAGCCGTCTGCTGCCGCTCTCTGCGCCCCACAGCGACGTAACTGTGTGCGCGCTCGGGCACGTGTTTCGCAAGGCCGTAATTGGATTAATTAACACCGCCACCCGCGGAGGACAACGGGGGGAGGAGGTCTGCATGTAGCCCCAGGGGCTGGCGGTCGCGAATCTGCGCACGTCTCGACACGCCGGCTCCGCGGCACGCACCCGGCACTTCGGTGAAATATCTAATAATAATAATAATAGTCATCAGTGGATGTCATTAATGCAAACTGAGATTAATTTACGCCTTTGCAGTGTCGCGGAATAACTGCCCCGGGGGGGGGGGGGGGGGGGGGGGGGGGGCGATGGTAATGTCAGCGGCATTCGTTATCGGCGAGGGCCTTCTCGTTACGACAACAAGAAATGGAATTGACGGCGCTCACGCGCGTTTCCTCGACGCCATCCGCGGAATCTATCCGGCGCTGACAAAACCGTCTCTGTTTTGCCAGGGCGCGAATGAATTGAGCCGTCGTGAACTTAATCGCTGGGGTCAGACAGAAGCGTCGACTGTGGGGATTTGCAAATGCTAGCTCGCAGCCGTCGGGGCAGAGATGCGCTCTTCTAATTAACGCAATTATCACAAACGCACGTTGGTAGCACGAAAATCTGTTTAGAAAATCCTGAAGATCGGCAGGCGCAATATCCAGATTTTCCCCCGGCATAATTAAATTGCGTATTGTTAATTTAGCTTCCTCTGGGTGTTGTTGTACGGAGATTCGTGCGTCACTCTGCTTCACTGCATTCCGTCCCGCGTTTCTAATCTGCGCATCGCGACAAGTGCGATGGACGACTTCGAGCGCTGCAGCGCTGGACCATTTTGTGGAAAAGGGAAAAAAACGGACGCTAAAGATGCGGATTTAAAACACGGCCGCCGTGGTTGAACCTCACAACACGGCGGAAACAATCCACGGAAAACTTTGTCAGAAAATCAACAGGATGGTTTTAGAAGGCGGAAGAGCAAGAAGGTTAACTGTAGTAGGATTGTGAGAGTTGTGAATTTTCAAGTACAATCGAACGTGCACTCCAGTTTCCTCCCCGTATGCAAATAGTCAATACAGCAGGCGCACAAACACTCTCAAGACTCTTATGAGGAGCGAGTTGTAGCGCGATGTTTGGCCCAGTCCACTTTGAACTGTACGTGAGGGGCAGGATACCGGTGAGTACGACACGGCCCAGCTGTTGGGTCTTCACCGCTTGTTGCCGGTTCGAATCCGGCAGGCCACCCTGGGTATTACTGCAGTCGTGCGTACTAACTGGAAAACAAGCGTCTTCTGCTCCGCTCACAAAGATTCGGTGACGTTATTTGTAACGGGTAGGCCATTGTGTGCCGACGTCATGGTCCGCAAATTTTCCAACTTTTGAAACATTACGCTGCAAACTACTCGATTGAGATCACGCACAGCAGCAACATCGCACACGACTGTGAAACTACTGCAGCCTGTGAAACACAGCGGCGCCTTCCTTCCCGATGATTGCCTTGCAAATTACAAGAATGATGGCGCCAATACCAAATGTACTTCTTCGTATGACTGATGCTGATGTAGAGCCACAAATACAATTTTACATTGAGGTGGTTAATGAGCCGGATTATTGTGTGGAGTGGAAGATGGCAACCTTCACGACTAATGCCATCATCAACCCAGTGATCAAACATTGATCAAAAGCAAGAGCTCAAGCCAAATGCACGGAATCATTATTATCGGGTCGCAGAGTATTGCGCTCCAGCCTGCTCCAGGCGCTCGTACACAAAAAACGCTTGAAACACAATTGGATAACGCGATGCGCATCACAACCAGAACACTTGAGACCGCCACCAATCCCCTGGCTCCCCTTTCTGGCGAATGTTCTGCCGCCAAATATCCACAGAGACATCACCCAAACTGCAAGGGAGTTGACACGTTTTCTTGCCAAGAACAACAACCAATCCACTGTCCAAGGCCGCAACAATGTCACCACACCCCCGACCCCTTTCCACGGTCACACTGACATCATCCTAGAATCTCACCCAGACCCAGAAAAAATGCTGGTGAACGGAGTGGAAAAACACGTACGTCCAAAATAAACGCCTCATTCGAGACCCAGACATCGCATCTCCTGGCTTCGGCATTCCTCGAAGACACGAGTGGCGTAACCAGCAATCGCGTCAGAACATCAACAGGTCGATGCGCATGTCTCCTTCATGAATGGAAAACTGAAGACCCAGCCACAGTCGTACGATTGTAGCCTTGCAACCCACAGAGTAAACCACTGTTGTCTGCGCGCTTTGAACGGAGGAGCAGTGCAAACTACACAAACTCTCTGCTGAAGCCCTCTCGTCGTGGCAAGCAGCAGACCTTGACATTGGCATCGAGCCCCTGAGCACACATCGCTGCCATCACTGGCAAGGAATGATTATGGTGACTGTCAGCAGACGTACCGTGCGAGCGTGAGGTCGTGTCGGTGGTACTCAAGCGCCTTCCCCAGCTCTCCCAGGTAGAAGTAGGCATTGCCCAGCTGGCTGTAGATGGCGCTGAGCGTGCGCAGGTCCTCCGTGCCCACTTGCACGGCCGCCTCGAAGAACGAGACGCCCGCCCAGAAGTCGCCCGCCTTGCACAGGCGCTCGCCCTCCAGCGCCAACTCCAGGCAGGACGCCTCCATCCTATGGGGAACAGCAGAGGAGAGGGGGGAAGGGGAGGAGGAGGAATAGGGAGGATCAGCAGGTGGTGATTAAAGAGTACCAGTGGGGTACGTTAAAAAGTCTCGCAAAACAAGATGGCAATTTTAAGACGTGGGTTTTGTCTGACAATGTTACAATCAATTAATTGATATTTGGGTTGGGCCACGTAATAAACTGGCCAAACATATGTCATAAGACCCTCCACCATTTGACAACTGTCCCATGTAGAAGTATTGAACGTGCCAATTGCAAATTTTTCGGCTCACCAGTAAGTAAAAAAAACAATTCTAACCACCAAATGTAGTAATTAGACAGCTCAAACTTAATGGATCAAAAACTTTTACATTGGGAAATGTGCCACATTTTTCGTCGAAGGTGCACTTCTCTACTTGTTAATTTACACATTATAAGCATACGGCGTTCTTGTGTGTGACGCGTGTCCACTGAAGTATTCATGACCTGCTGACAGAGATGTCCTGCCGCACGCATCCAGAATGTGCTTCGTTCACAGATCTTATCAACCACCACGGTGCGGTAACCATCATCAATTCTCACCATCATCATCAGCCGAGGGCAATCCACTGCTGGTGGGTTAATGTCAAGCTGCCGATCAGTACCCGGGGACCGCCCCCACCCTGCAATCAGCTAGAATGTAGTCCCGGTCTCAATAAACAATCCCAATGCTGAATGCAGGCCAGGAAAAGCCGTCATCGGCTCTTGCGATCCTGCCACATCATCGTCCACGTAGCCCATGCACATACACCGAGTTCCAAGGTCCGTCTCCTGTTGGACGTGATCAACTCCTTCGGCTGCAGGTCCGTCGCTATGCTTGACCATTGCCCATCACCCCCTTCTTAGCTGCCAGGTCCTGCCCAGGCCCTCCGTCAAATGCAGGGATTATTCATCTTATTTTCCTATTCCCGTGTCATACCGTGAACCAACAGTTACCTACGCCATCACCCTCGTGAAGAATAATGACATTTAAAACATCCATGCAGGGAAAAACCAAGGGCAGGTGAGCAGATTTGTAACATCCACTCGCACCCCCCGTCATCGTGACAGCCAACAGCTCTGTGAATTTGGCCGTATGGGAGGAAGTGGTATTTAGAATTGATGGGACAGAGCTATTCCTGGTTTAGTGATGTAAACGAATGTCATGGCAACTGGAATTTGTAAAAAGAGGGTGACTTTTTTTTGCTGTTTTCAAAGTATTGACAGCAAGACCCAAAAGCAAATCCCCACTTCGCTAAGGAAATGTAAGCGAGGCCTCTGGAAAATCAACGAGAAATAGATTTTTTTTTGGGTGTGTCGTGGCATTTAAGCACGGTCACATCTGACAATTGATTTTAAAAAAGAACCTCATAATTAAGAAAACAGTATGATGCGTGTTCGGGTTGTACCGCGTGTTGTTCGGCACGATGTCTGACGTTTCGCTCCGCGTGCCGGGAACTCCAACTAAGCGCCACGAGGAGCTGCCACCCCATGGGGGGAGCGGAACGCCGGACGCCAGCGGCCCAACCCGAAAACGCGACGGAGAGCTATGGCGGCACCACGAACCGCAGTAAACCCACGCGGTGAATGTAATATCATTAATTCCCCCACAAAAATACCAGTGTGACACAAACGCTTCCAATGTAATGGCAACCTCACCGTGAAGATGAAAGAAAATGCAAAATCATAGTGCGTAGGTGAACCGTCGTGCCACCGTCTCGCAGATGGATGCGAGGTTTCCACTCCGGTTTCAAGTTGGCATGTTCCAGTGCGTATTAAGATGCCACAGCTTCTGGCTGCAGCAAGCCCGGTCATGTGCAGAGACCTACTACAGTGGCTATCCCCTAAGGGTGTCCTCGCCCATCTCACGAGTCATCAAGTACGCCATCGTCCCCGAGTGCGTTCTTCAAGAAAACTAGCAGCCTGCACGTGACCATCCGTCCGTCCGTCCGTCCCTCCAGCCAGCCAGCAAAACTTTTTTTCTATTAAAGTATGATAGTATGATAGTGTATGCTATACATTTGCATGGGATCCACATCCAGGGTGGATGACGGGAGGCGTGATGACATCAGCGCAATGCACCAACCGTTTCTCAGTGCTGCGGGTGACGTCATCATCACATACGCAGATACGCGCAGTGACTTTGTCACCACCGCGCACGTTCACCTGCATGCCAGCAAGGCAGACAGGAATCCAGGCAGGAAGCGAGACAGAATATATTTTTTTCTCATTTCGTACGAGTAGAATATATTTTTATATTATTTTTTAAAACTAGGGCACCAAAACAAAATTCAGTTCATTTTTAACAAGCAGCTAAATGGGAATTGCAGTGAAGAGCGAGGCAGGTGAAACGCCCCGTGCGCATGAGTTAGGAAAAGGCCGAGCTGCAGCTCGGCAAACACGGGAAGCGTCTCCACTAAGAGGGAGATCTAGGGGCATGCGTTGGCCTACTCTTCCAGGCTAACCAGTACGTCTCGGAGGAAACAGGTGGTAGTACCCACATTTTAGCCCATCACATGCAACCTGCCGATCGTAGCCCAACTGTAGAACACTGATTTTATACCGCTGGGTGGACAGAGGCGACAGGGCGATTTTATGAAACATGCAACATTGTTCCAACAGCCACCGAGCCGATACAGAGATGATCGAACCTTCAACCTTCGGATTGCGCGTCGAGCGTGCTCACCATTACACCGCCGAAGCAGCGTCTCCACCAGTTCCTAATGTACTGTGTTTTTACGAAGTTGATGCTTCTAGGAGACTGACAGGCAACGTGTTGACTATATTACACGAGCAAAGAGCGGCGTTGCATGTTTATTATATATTTAAGGAATGGTTTCAGACGCTGCAACAGGAGATGCTCATAGCAATGGAAACCATAGAGGCCGTAAGAATAGCTGCACCATGTAATATTTATGAAACACTCATGTCAATTATTAATATTCGTCATCATCAGCAGTCACGATCAATCCACTGCTATCATGATTAAATCAATTCCGGTGCAGGTGCTGGGTGGATTCATATATCGCAGGACCGTCACAGATAGTGATGGCTTGGAGAGGCCTTCATCCAGCATCGTATTCATTATGGCTGTATTGAAAGATCATGATACATATTGAACCACTGAGGTATCATATATTTCAATCTCTCTACTAATGTCAAGGATGTGGATCTGTGGTTTGTCTGAGCTAGAATGAGTCACATCTGGCAAGCTTGGGCATTTGTAAGAAGGTAAACGGATTGCGCACATTTCAAAACAGCACTGGAAAACACTGCATCACGGCACGTTAAGGTAAACCCTTGCCCTATAAGACACACAGGACACCACAGGAACCAGCATATATGATGATCGAAAATCCACCACAAAGACAAAGATCTCCCAATAACGGATTGTTGGAGCAAGTGTTGTTATAGCAAGCACCTACAAAAGCCAGCCAGGCTGCACAAGGCCAACACCATGCCCGACCACCTTTGTCTCCCCCAGTGCTGGTGAGATGTTTACACCACGAAAACAGTGAATGACACCAAAGAAACATTTCCTTCGCTCGTTAGTTTGCAGTCAATCCACTGCTGGATGAAGGCCTCCTTGCGCCGTGTTCGAGATATGGGAGTTGTTTGACCATACTTCACCACGATGGTCAGTGCGGGTTGGTAAAAGGGAAACCCAGGACCGATCCAAATATTGCTCGCCTATGGTGTTCGCTACGGCTGTAAATTGAAGTCAGACCGCCGGGTTCAAAGCGCAACGCACTAACCACTTCGCCACCATTCCACCTTTCGTATGGTCAAGCTCTTGAAATTTGAGACCAATTGGGGAACTCCAACAAGGTTGGGCAACGGCCAACATTTGAAATGAAAATAAGGAGAGCCTTGCCGCTTCTGTTATTAAACAGGACAAATGCCTGCGGTGAGGTCAAAGTTACATTTTATTCATCCGGCTTGCGCACAGTTTACAATTGCGAAATCCAGTTTCCCCACTTTTGAGACGTCTCTCGCGAAGAGCTTAGAGACAGGCCAGGGGCACTCCTTGTTTTCACCCGAATCCTTCGGCAAAAGCCAAAGAGGGCAGTGACTGAGTGCGCAGTTTTCTCCATGAATTGGATTTATTATTGGGAGTACGGGCAGCGCCACCAATATGAAAACTAAAACTTGAATTGGTTTCCCTGGGTAGTAACTCTGCCTAAAACAAACACACGCCTGCAGGCCCCGAGCTAGCATGCTGCCCTGTTCGCTCTCCTCCTCGGCGTTAGCGAGATCAACAAGCAAAACTTGTGGTGCACTACTTACTGATGGTCCTCATTCGAGAACTGCCCGGGTTGTTTACGCACGAACATCCACCAATCATTCCGAAGCCAAATAATCGACGTCGTTTCGGCAATTTGGAAATTATTTCGTGGAACGTTTACGTATCCAATGGTTACCAAAACTGGGCCAATTTTAAACAGAACCCTAGACTTCGCACGTCTGGGTCAACCTCATCTCAAAAGTTCCTTCTACAACAGAGACATCATAATCATGGGACCCTTTCTTGCCAGTATCAAAATATAACAATTGGGTTTACCCTTTCCGGCAATAAAACAGTATGTGTTAAGATGTTACAACACCAAACAGAAACCTTTTGCAAGGAATCAAGTCTGCATTAACCACACAAACTTGTGAACATGCAAACAAAAAAGGCCCCATGATGTAGCTGCTCACCCCAGCTATAAATGCCCTGACAGTGGCATTGTCTTTGTGCTTCATCATTAGACCACCTTTGCCAGTACCAAAATGTAATAATAGGGTTTTTCCCCTTTTTTTTCTGGCAACAAAACTGAAACCTTTTTACGAGGATTCATGTCTGCATTAACCACAATACTTGCAGTCAAAATGCAAACAAAAAACACACTATGATAATATATGCATTGTCCTTGAAAATGATTGGTCCACACCAAGGGATGGCTTTCTTTTGAGCCTCGACCCAATTGGTGCTCGACCAGATGACGCCAGAAAAAAGGGGAAAACCCTATTATTATATTGTCTTTGTGCTATTCGCCTTTTGTCGTTCTATGGTCTAACGCTGTTGGAGACGAGGCTCTAAAAGGCTGTCTGTGGTATGGACCAATCAGTTTGAAAGACAATGCATCATACACTACCAGAGCATATTTATTGTTTGCATGTTCACCACAAGTATGTGTGGTTAATGCAGACATGATTCCTTGCAAAATGTTTCTATTTGGTGATTTGAACATCTTAACACCTCCTGTTTTATTGCCAGAAAGGGTAAAACCAATTCTTATAAATATCATAAAAAAACGCAGACCCGTCTTGACGGAGAGTCACGGGCAGCTAAGCGAGCGCCATACATGGTTGACCTGTGTACACAGCGACGACCTTAATAATTAAGAGGAAATGTCAACATGGCGCAAGTTTATGTAGACCACAATTGGACAGCGGTGCAAGACAGCAGAGTTAATTTCACGGACAAAACATTAAAATGTACAGCGGGCTTCTCACCAAAAACACACACAGACTATGTTTTAAAGCTAATTTCATGGCACATATCATCTCGGTGTGAGCAGTCGTGTGACGGTACTGCTATGAGGGTCTACACATTTCCTATCCCCCCCCCCCTGGCCAGTAGCGCAAATGAAACTGCTGCAAGTGAAGAATGTGGCCTGGTTTACATTTTATATTTCCGACTTAAGACTAAACAATATATTCATACGTGCATTCACAACTCTCATGATACAAACTCGAACGCCCCAACCCCCGACCACACACATCACCTTTCTGGCCAACTTCACCCAAGTCTGAATTGCACGTCACCCTAACAAAGCCTCAAAACAACTTCACCCAAGTCTGAATTGCACGTCACCCTAACAAAGCCTCAAAAGGGATCAAAACAACCCGTTTTTACAATATTCAACAACACGACCGGAGTGCACCGTTAACAATTGACCGCCACGCACAGAACAACCCACAGTGTTCCCCCCGCTGTGTGGTCCAGGGGGGCGAGAGAGAGAGCAGGGGAGGGTAAAGAGAAAGAGGGGGAAGGGAGGAAACGAGAGCAGAGTAACTCAACTAACTTAAAAACACACGCGTTTTGACAAAACGAATTCGGCGTAACACTAGCGCACACAAAAACTGTATCATCGCCTTGCTCGCTCGTTCCGGCGCGCCAAACAAAGGGCGTAACAGTACCCGACCTCCCTGGCTTTTTGCACACTCGCGTTACAAGGCCTCGCGGATCTCTTTTCAGCGGGTGCGTACCTGTATCGCAAGCAACAATGTTGCTCTTCCAGCCCAGACAGCCCCAGCGCATTCCCTCCCGCCTGCATGACCGCTCGATCTCTCGCTCGCTCTCAAAAAAGCCACGATGCTCACTTCTCTCTTTGCGAGGCCTCGGTCAAATCAGTTGGGTGTCTTTGGCGAACACGTGGCGGCGAAAGATGAAACCGGCTCCGGCGTTCCAATCGGACCGAGCTCGTCGTCGCTCAACTCGGCTCGCCGCACCCCGCGCCGGCCGCTTTAACCGAGCATCTAATGCCGTCGTGGGACCGCTTCCAAAACAACCCCGCGTTGTTTTCACAGCTCCGTAAACCACAAAGTCCCGTGCGAGTGCTAAAGTACATAACGCTGACATTACAGACTGCGCCCGCCGCTGCCACTACCGCCACCACTCGTCCCAGCGGAAAACATTTCAAAGTAATCACCTGCGCTCGCGACAAGTTCACGCCCCTGCCCCGAGAACCTATCGGCAGCTGTGAAAACAGAGTTTGCCGTGCTAGAGCGCGACGTAGTACTTTCCAGCCGGGCTCCGCCTCCACCACCCCACCCGCCGCAAGGGCCCTACGCAGTGGGGCGGGAAGTGGCGCTGTCAATTTGAGACCCTCGTGAAAGCAGATGTATGAAAAGAAGAGAGGGGGGGAGAAAAAAAACTCCAACGGTCGCTGGGAACGCAGCAGCTGGGCCCCCGCGGTCGAGCAGATGGGTTTCATGGAGAGAGTGAGTGCGGGATGCCCAGTGGAAAAAGTGCGTGTTCTGTCTCCACGTTTGTGGCGTGGGGCTTTAAAAATCGGTTCTTTGCCGTGCGTTTTTTTGACGTGGATCGGCTTGCGATCGGCGTATTTCCGCACCGCGCTTTGTTTCAGTGATTGTGTGAACGCGGAATTATCAACGCAAAGTTTGGCAGCGTTGGGACCACGCGCGATGCATTAAAACAAGAGTGAATACGAGCAAAACTCTGGACTGGTTTCGACATTCAGCGTCTCATCAGCAGAGTCAGTCTTTCTTACAATAATGCTGGCGAAGTGCCAGTTATTTACAGGCGAACACCCTCTCTGTGAAATACGGGTCCTTGATTTAAATGGTTACCAAAGTGAATCTTGTACTCGATTTGTCTTTTTTTCAACGGACCCCTGGTTTAATCACAGGCGGCTGTGCAGATTCAAACCCAGCATCTCAGCGGTGCCAGCTCAGCGCACTGATTCACCTGTGGCAGTCAGACAGGACAGCCCGGAGACAGCGCAGCTCAGGTATGAACCTACACGTTCATCCGTTTCATTTTTGCCTGCTGCTGCTGCACACAGCAACCTTTCAAGGTCATCAGTACAGTCCCGATACCCCACGCATGACCCGCCGCAATTGCGTCCCATGCTGTTATGACCATAAACATCGACGACGTCTTACCTCCTCAAAGCGGACACGCTACAGTTGTCTTGAAGCATGCTGCAGGACAGAGAGAGAGACGCACCGTATTAGGAAAGGTACACAATTCGCCTCCAAATCTGTGTGCAAAATAAAAACTCCCCAAACGGGCAACGTTGTTTACACTCGAGGCTCTTCGCCATGAAAAACAATAACGCGGCAATTAGTCTCCACAATAGCCACCACAGTGCATCTTCACAGACCACGACGTTGCAATTAACAGTGGGAATGAAAAGTGTTTTGTAAACATGACAGCTCAAGGCAAAGCAGTCCTGCAATTGCTTGCTAACGCCACGGACGGCAGAAGGGCCCCCACTAGAGGGAGCTCTAGAGAGCCCCACGAGAGGGTATTTGATCGCTTTGCATATATATTGCACAAATATCCTGCCACATCGGTGTGGTTTATGATTTGTCCTCATGATACAAACCAAGATGTACCACTAGTTTGAGATCAACAACATACGTATATATGGTTTTATTCACATGGCCTATCAGAATATTTATTTACACTGGAGAAATCCAATGAGCTATACAGCTCTTTTTCACAGATGTCCAGTGAAACCCGCCCAAGAGGATGTCTGCCGCTGAGACGCAGCGATGAAATCCGCTCATGTGCGGGAGCGAGACAGATCGCCCCACCACCATGGCGACAGCTCAGGGAGGCATTCATCCAGCAGCGGATTGATCACGGCTGCCGATGACGACAGTGGTGATGGTACATCGAAATGTTATTCACGTTTCGCGTCACCGTCTGACCATCAACCGTTGATTCGGACGATGTTAGCGAGAGATATTCGAATTCTAAAACGCGACTGGGTAGTGTTAATTGCTGGGCGCCCTGAAGGGCTGTGTAATGAGCACCACTCAACGTTGGGAACGCAGCACAGGGCGCTCGGTCGTCCGCCTCGTAATCCGCGGCCACCTCCCGGGCAACAACGTCACGTCCCATCCCTTAATCCCATGGGGCGGCCCAGCTGAAATGATACGAAATGGAGCCCCCCTCTCACTTAACTACTCGGTGGCAGAGTGACTGCACTCCAGCCTGGTCCGGGCGATCGTACACAAAACCGCTAGATGCATGATTGAATAACGCGATGCGCATCGTAACCAGAACACTTGAGACCGACAAAAATCCCCTGGCTCCCTGTTCTGGCAAACTGCAAAGGAGCATCCACGTTTTCTTTCCAATGACAACCACCTACCCATCATCAGCCAATACCTCAACAATGTAACTGGCTGCCGGCTCAATTCTCGATTCCCCCTTCTGGTGTCACGCTGTAAATATCCCAGAATCTCACCCAGATCCGGGGAAAAAAAACTCTGGCGAACAGAGTGGAACAAGGCGGAAGTTCAAAAGAAACAACTCGTTCGAGACCCAAACGTCGCACCTCCTGGCTCTGACATTCCCCGAAGACACTGGTGGTGTAACTGTGGTAATTGTCAGGCGTAATACGCCGTCACCACTACTCGAAATATGTAGCTCCAGCCAGGGCCCAACAGGGGGCAATAGCGGTTTCGTCCTGTACCAAGTAGGACTGGTGGGTCAGGCAATCTGGAGGGCGGTTAGCAACCGGAGGTGGACACCCCAAATCCCCAGTCGGGGCTGGGGGATTACGTAACAATCTAGGTCCCTCCAGAAGGTTCCAGAGAGTGGGCGTGGCCAGGGACGGAGTGACCCTGGGAGCCCAATAAAAGCCAGACCCCAGAGCGGCTCCGGCAGTCAGCGTCAAGCCGAAGATCGAAGAGCTTGCCTGAAGACTAGGACCCTGAAGATCCCCGGATCCGACGTCCTTATCAGGGCCGGGTCTGAGTGGGCCAGTGGTCGAGACCCGAGGACCTTGGCTGGGTCGGGTCAGCCTCCCCTAGGTCCCGTTAGCCGGAGGGCTAAGATAGGTGGTCCCAGTGACGAGGGCACGTTAGCCTGGAGGCTATACCTCTTCAGGTCGTCGGGTAGAAGGGGCCATTACCCCTTCGTGTTAGGGACTCCGTGTGTTAATGTTATTGTTAAATAAATGTGTTACCTCCTAAGAAGACTCCGTCTCCATACAACCCACGCCATAACCATGAACTGCATCAGAACATCAACTGGCCGATGCGTACACCTCCCTCGTAAATTTTAACATTAAAGACCCAGCCACAGTGCGACTGTGGCCATGCAAGCCAAAATATTGACCATATTGTAAACTACTTTAGTCCGCTTGAATAGGCGCTCGCAAACACAGTGCATCTTTCACAGCCCCACCCCTCTAACTTGGCTCTTTGTGCCACGTCGTTTCTCAAAGGCGTTGGCGATCATGGCCTCCCATTTAGCTCTGTCCACGCAATGCATCAGATACTAACATAAGAAAATCTAATAATTACCTTCCCCATACAACCACTTTCTCAATTACCTGCTGTAACATGGGTCAGAAACATCTGGCCGAGTAATATATGGGTCAGAAACACATGGGTCAGAGTATGGAACAAAGGCTGAAAACTGCACAAAGGCGCATTAGAGATGCACGCTTAAAGTGTTTCTTTTGTATGGTGGGGGAGTTGTCAGCTATGTTGATAAGCTTAGAATTACAATAAGACAAAGAGGAATCCATGAATTAGGCTATATACACAATCGAGATACATCCTATTGCCTGTTAAAAAAGTGGGGTTTGGATTGGGCACGTCGCTAAACGGAATGATGGGTGGTGGTCGAGACTAACTCCGTGGCATGTGGTGATAGGGAACTCGCCCAAGAGGACGTCCATCGGCAGAGATGGAGCGGTGAAATCAGCTCATTAGCAGGAGCACTGTTGCATCGCTGGACCATGAGAGATTGTGACGACTTGGGGGAAGTCTTCAATTAGCAGTTGATAAATTGTGGCTGATGATGACGATAAGAGACAGACTTTAAAATGCATATATCCAAACAGCTTTGAAACCATGGCGACTAAAAGTCTCACGTTCAAGGAATACCGTTGTGTTTGCACGGCCTCTTCTGCCACAAGGCATTGATCAGCTGACAAAGAGCGGTGGTGGTCACGCGTTCTACACTTGTACCCACTTTAACCTGCATGTTGTAGTTATGTCGCCATCTAGGGGACGCGGTGAAAATCCACGACACCGGTTTGAAAAAGTGGCCATATTTTCACAAAGCCAAAAAGTAAATCCATCGCAAGCGCGTGCTTTAAAGCGTGCTCCCTTGGTCAACCCAGCAGCAGTATCATTGTATATGGGTGCACCACTGTTAGTCGTAAAGCGTGGGTAACTCCCACTATTTTCTTCCAAGACCTCTGGCCAACGTCGAAGAATTGGTCAAAATACCTCCTCCAAGAAGAGGGGGGCTTCCGTATCAAGCGCCCTTCTGCCAGCGGTGGTGTGCGGCGGCACTTGCGGGGTTGCACCTCTATCTAAGCCTTCACACCGCAACTCCGCCAATGTGACGTTCAGACATCTAACAGTAGCACGAGGTTTATCCCTCCTCGTCCGCTTCATCGACAAATAATTCCAGCGATGACACTGGTAAACACTGAACAGCACAGGGCATTAACACTGAACCGGCTTCTCAACGACAGCACGCTGGCACGCTCCCGTGTATAAGTCGCACTCTGTTACCCCCATTGTAAAGGCGCGGGGTGCGTCTTATAATCGGGCTAGGTGCCTGTGTCCGTGTGTTCGCGGCCTCAAAGGGGTTGGCACAGCATGGGGCACAGGTGGCACATCGGCCAGTCATCTCAGTCAGTCTACACATGGCACCTGGGTCTGCGTCCCGTGACCTCCTTGCCAGCGGGCGTTCGACCACTTCACGTGGCCTGAACGTGCACATGGCCTGGCACAAGCGCCGTGAGGACGTCACCTTAACTTCATAGCGGATGTTGTTGTGGCCTCAAAGCGGTTGTTGTGGCCTCAAAGCGGTAGTTGTAGCTGCGCTGCAACCCTGGCCACCCGAGTTCGATTTCCGCCCACGGCCAACACCGGTGACGAATATCTGAAACCGGTCCTGGACCTCCCCTAAGTCGACTCAGCCTCAAATTGAGTACCCGGTGCGGTGTGTAAAAACATCGCCACTAGGGGATACAAAGGCGGTCGGGCGTGCGTTGCTGGCCACCCACCCCCCTCGTGTGCCCCAACAGTCTGTTAGTCTATAGGGGGCGGGGATCTTTTGTTTTTTGTGGACTCAAAGTGCACCTAGCATGGCACAATCGCCGTGGTGACGTTCCCGCCACTTAGTGAATGGCGGTTGTTGTTGTTGTTGAGGCTGAACCGGTGGTGGTGGTGGTGTAGCGGTTAGCGGCACTGCACCCACCGCGAACCCGGAGCGCACGGATTCCCGCTCACGGCCACCAACGCCAGAGACGATCGTCTTGAAAGCGGGCCCTCCCCAACAGGTTGAGTCGGCCTCAACAACAACGACGACGACAAAGCACATCGACCACGAAGGGAGGCAACATGCGACCCGCCCTCGTGTTGTGCCGCCGCGTCCTTGAGAGTATTCGCGACTCGCCAACAGCACTCGGCGCCAACAAGAAGAGTCTTCAGGCTAAATGGAGAGAGGAGGAGGAGGAGGTGGGGGGCGATCTTTTTCTCTTTGTAGCGAGACGGCGGAGACTTTACTGACCCAAGAGCACTTGGGGGTTGGGGGGGGGGTGGTGGTCAATAAAGTTAGAGCACTCGCAAACGCCGTCGGCGTTACCGCTCTCAACGACTACCGCTAGGCGCGACAGATTCTTGCGTGCGAGCGCTTAAAGACTGTAACCATTTTAATTAAGATTTTGTAATTTAAAAAAAATAATAAAAAGCGAAGTTTATTATCGTGATGGCAAAGGCGCGGGGCCCTGCGATTGCCCGCTCACAGGGGTCCTCCACTCGAAGCCGCTCTCGTCGAATGGCCCTTGGCCTACTCTTCCACGCTGGTCCGACAGACGTCTTACAAGAGGTGGTGGTGGTTGGGTAAAGAGTTCCCACACCTTACCCCACCGGCGTACGTCTACCCGCGGTGTACACACTTGGGTCTGTACTCACTCTCACGTGGACACAGTTGCGGGCGGGAGGAGAAGGGGGGTGGGGAGCAGCGAGCGAAGCGCCTCTACAAGAACTTCGCACTCGCGTCGCGACTGCCGCGCCCGGAGATCGAAGCAGAAGCGACGCGGCCTCTCCCTTGGCCTTTGCACGTCGAACGTTGCCGAAACCACCCCCCTCACCTCACGACGCCGCGGCGGAGTTATCGCGGGGTTCTAATGAGGCCGACATCGCGGTGTGGGCGCGCGTTGGGGGGAGTCGCCGTCGACTCGTCGCGGTCGCCTTCGTACCCGGCCGAAGTTGAGCGGCGGTCGCTTCCCCCCTCGCAGGCCCCTCCCCCTCGTAACCCCCTCCCCTCGCAGCTCCCCCTCGCATCCCCCCCCTCGCAGGCCCTCCCCCCCCCCTCGCAGGCCCTCCCCCCCTCGCAGGCCCTCCCCCAGGCCCCTCGCTGCCCCCCCCTCGCAGGCCCTCCCCCCCCCCTCGCAGGCCCTCCCCCAGGCCCCTCGCAGGCCCTCCCCCTCGCAGCTCCCCCTCGCTGCCCCCCCCCTCGCAGGCCCTCCCCCCCCCCTCGCAGGCCCACCCCCTCGCAGCTCCCCCTCGCTGCCCCCCCCCTCGCAGGCCCTCCCCCCCCCTCGCAGGCCCTCCCCCCCCCCTCGCAGGCCCCCCCCCCCCGCGCCGGCCCCCCCCCAGGCCCCTCGCGGCCCCCCCCTCGCAGGCCCTCCCCCCCCCCCCTCGCAGGCCCTCCCCCTCGCAGCTCCCCCTCGCTGCCCCTCCCCCTCGCAGGCCCTCCCCCCCCCTCGCAGGCCCTCTCCTCGCAGCTCCCCCTCGCCGCCCCCACCCCCTCGCAGCACCCCCCCCCCGCAAAGTTATATACGAGTTGAGGGGGGTGGGGAGGGAGGGACGACGACCCGTCCGTCCAATGGGAACGCGCCGCTCGCGTCACGCGCCCGCGCTTCGGCCAATAACGGAGCGAGCCTCGTCCTCGAAGTCTTCAAAACACAAACGGACCCCCCCACCCGCCCCCACGCCGCGCGCGCGCGCGACCGCAATCGGAAACGTAGCAAGCGGCGAGCGCTCGCGTCCGTGATCGGAAACGTAGCGAGCAGCGAGCGCTCGCTCCAGCTGCCACCGCTCGTCCGCACACGTTAAAGCGAGATTGTCGGTGGCAAGGTGACCTGTGAACTAAGACGGTTTACCCCGTATTCTTGTACGGGGAAAATTTAGTTTAGATACGGGCAAAATGAAAGTGTTGTCGATTTATTCTTAGTTTTTTTCGGTAAAGTCACGTTGAAGAGAAACAACAAAATAATAAAATATATATGAAACTTATATATATTATTATTTTGTTGTTTCTCTTCAACGTGACTTTACCGAAAAAACTAAGAATATGAATTACTGCAGTCACGAAAGCTTTAAATCAAAATTTGTTGTCGATTTGTTTGTGTTTCTTCCTTGTGATGGGACTTTGTAGGATGAACGTTGAGATTTATAAGGACACGGGGTGATCAATAAGGTATGTAATCAGGTAGGTGTGGGTTAAAGCCATGAATGACAACGGTTACATCGCCGCCACTTAGTGGCGATTGTTGTTTTGTTGTGACCCGAATGGCATCTATAACTTTGTTGTCACCCAGCTACAAGTTTGGGGTGCGTCTTTCCGGAACGTCTCATATTCCGGATAAAACGGTGCATTAAAAAAAAAACCACATTAACTGACAATGCGACAATTATCAAATGACATTCCATTTTAATTGCACGGCGAAAATATAAAGCGTTCAGATATTCACAGCGATAACAGCGCACGTGGGAAGGAGTGGGAGGTCCCATTATTCGTTCTCACCGCAAGGCCACAAAAAACTAATAAGCCCTACGATTGGGGTCGGCATCGCGCTTCCACTTGGTGGCAGCCTTGGCCGTGAAAGTGCGACACCGCAGAAGGAGGAGGAGGCAATTGAGGCCGGGAGCAGAAATAAATCGGCACCACGTGGAGTGGCATCGCTTTAGTGCAGGGGTCGTCAACCTCTCGAGAAGAGCCATTGTTACTCTTTGGTTCTTTCGGTAAAGTCACGTAGGTAAAAAATTAAACAAAGTTAATCAAATCACGACGTTTCGGAAACAACACAAGCCTCCGTCACCAGGTGGGATAGTCACAGCAAGAAGTAATTTGCAAATTACTTTGCAAATTACTTTGCAAATTACTTCTTGATGACGGAGGCTTGTGTTGCTTTCGAAAAGTCGTGATTTGATTAACTTTTTTATTTCTACCTACGTGACTTTACCGAAAGAATCAAAGAGTATGGATCATTGCAGTCACGAAAACTTCAAATCTAGAAAGAGCCATTGTTTATTTTGTCTTGTGCAAAAAAATAGTTCGTGAGCCGCATCACGCGCAGAGCTACTTGTACACAAGCACGGCAGCATGTATACAGCATATACCAAATCACATTTTGACTTTTAAATAGACAAAATAGGTGATGGAATAAACTGTGTCTGTTTAGTGTGTGTCCCCCCCACCCCCGAATTATTGTTTAACACAGTTTAACTGTTGTACATTTCGTTGTCAACAAGACGCTTCATCTTGACCGCATTCCCTGCCGTATTTAATAAATTATCTTAACGTCAATTTTTTTTATTTCAGTCAGAATTTTTTTTTTAAAACGGCTACCCAAAAAGGGGGAAGCCAAAGGAGCCGAAGGTTGCCGGTCAGGCCACAACAACATCTTGATGTGGCCTGGCCGCCAACGGGGAATCACGGCGACAGCCTTTTGAAACGGGTGGGCGGGCGGCGGAGGAGGAGGTTATCGGGCAATTTCTCTCGTGTTAGCCGTGTAAAGTAAATCGGTGCGGCTCGAAAGCGCATACCTTAGAAGGTGTGGTACTAATTTATGTTCTGGCCCATAGACTAAAGATTTCATGGGGGGGAAATCCAAATCCCTTCCTATTCCGTTTACTTCATTAATGGCTGTAATACACACCAAGCAACGTGATGTGTACGGGTTCTTAAAATAAATGTTCTGAGGTGAAAGCTCATGCAATGAACTCGTCCGTTGGTGCAAGAGGAGCTTCTGTAAATCTTTGGTGAAATAAAAACTTCCAACCTCGTGGGTTAATTAGCTGGTTTGTAATGATGCATCGGTTTTTATGTGTAGCCCTGTAGTGTTTTCCCGAAGAAGGATTTCCCAGCAAGCGGAGAGAAATGTCGGCAGACACCGCGTTTGTGCCGACACGTGGATGAAGTGCCCCCATGTGACTTTCGTCCAAATTCATGCCATCATCATAAACTGCCTGCTTGGCACAAAGCATGCGTGCAAGTTATCTAGTACAGTACCTTGTTTCCATGGACAGACAACTCAAGTCGACTCGAGTGGGCTTTAGTTGGCCTGCTTTACCTCCGAACTCGGGTTGATGAGGGGCAACTCCAGTCGGTAAAATAAAGTGGTATTTCCTCAACTCCCCGAGTTACCTGAATTACTGCGCAAGTTGGACAGATTTTTCCCAGAAATACTTTCCGAGTAAAACTTTCCCAGCAACACTTGCAAGTAAAAGGTCGAGACTGCATTGCTGAAAACTGTTCAATGACAGATAAAAATGTTAAAAGTTGAACGTTCCTGCCGCCTACGACGTTTGTAATTGTAACGTGTTTAGCGATGCGTTTTTGCTCTGCCCAAACTCTAACGGAGGGAATTCAGGCTACTCCGTGTGGCGAAATCAACCCCAGAATATTTGGGCTGTAGCCCAAATTCACGGCCAACCAGATTTGACTAGGAAATCGGATTCCATTGTGAGTACTAGAGCCCCGTATCTCATGGAAACGCGGTGTAAGCGGTACTCCATGACATAGTCCACTCAGTTCACATGGCCGTACGGCATTTTGGGAAATCAATAATTTGACGGATGGAAATCCTTTATTATGGGCATCATCAGAAATTTATATTTTATTATAAACGTGTTTCTAACCAATAACTTAACGATATGCATATATTGCCACGTCGATCATGCACAAAATTAAAATACAGCAGTTGAGCTGTAGCATTTTAACTTTTAGCATCGTGGCAATCTTTAAGTAAAGCACTGTAAACGACATCTGTCAACATTTCTGAAGTTTATCATTTAAGATAGCGGCCCGTGCACAGATGCTGCGCGGATTGTTACATCGCAGGACCGTGAGAGCTGACGACTTGGGGAGGCTTTTATCCAGCAGTGGATTGATGATCGTGGCTGATGATGATGATGACAGCAAAAGCAGATCTCAGTGTTGAATCAGGGCACTACATACCTGCGAGAAACCACTCTGCTCCGCTGTAGATACGTAAACAATCCTGACGTCGGTTGAGGTAGTACGCAGAAAAACTATTATTGTTCACCTGTGACTGGATAAACTTCACAAATATATGGCAGAGGCCAAGAGCAGCTGAGGACTAGGATCATGGTTTGGAAACACATTGCTCTCCGGTCTGTATTTGTCTATTTTGGCCCACGCTAGGTCTGGTTAAGTGAGTTCAGCCGAACACAATCGTTTTAAACGCAAGGTCAGCTGCACCAAGCCTGGGCCTACCAAGGTGAGCACGCGCTTTCAGTGGTGTTTCTGACAAAAGCAGTGCACCACAAGCAGCTGCCACTGCGGCCGCTGCTCGTGAGATGTCAATTTCCAAAAACACAACCACGTGTGACTCGGCAGCTTCTAACGTGAACATTAATTCACCACTCAGAAATAGCAGTCACTCAACAATAGCAGAATCACTGAGCAATAGCAGCGTCATTCAGCACTCAGCAACAGCAGAGTGACTCAGCAATATCTGCCATGACGAAAACAGGGTGACTCAGAGTCACTCGGCAATAACGGAGTTACTCGGCAATAGCAGAGTCACTCAGTTATCACTCGGCTGTCACTCAGCACGATGGCCGCGGGGGCGTCACTCAGCAATAGCACGGCCACTCGGCAATATCGGCGGTGGAGGCAGCGGCGGCAGCGTCACTCCGCGTGGCTGCGCGCCCACGCGCCGAGCCGCGCCGCGTAGTGGTCGGGGCTCACGGTGGAGAAGCTGGTGCCGCAGTGACGCACGCTCTTCCACGCGGCCTCGAGGCGCTTGCGCACGCTGAACACCGTGAAGATGTCGATGATGCCCACGTAGTAGCGCGTGCACGGCCCATCCAGCACGTGCAGCGCATTGCGGCATGCCGGCAGCAGCCGCCGGTTCTGCCGGGCGAACGTCTCCACGCTCACCGACTTGTCGTACGGGAAGCCCACCACGTTTTCCGAGTCGGCGCCGGTTCTGTTGGCGCCCGGTCTATTGGCGCCTGGGCTGCCGCCATCGTCTATGCTGTTACCGCCACCGTCACCGTCGTCGCTGTCTCCACCCTCGTGGATTTCACCCGTATCCTGGTCCTGGACGCTGCCGGGAATCGGTGCTCGCGTGAGACCGCCGTTGTCCGACGTGCGTAGCGCGACCGACCTGTGGGGCGAAACCGCAGCCACGGCCAAGATGAGCGTTAGTGGAATGGCCTCCCGACAAAAGATAAATCCCGGCGCCTTCGGTATCGCTAAGGCCTACCAAATTTCTGGGAGACTCAATCGGGACACACGGTCGAACTGGCAGCCCCTTTGCTCAATCAGGCTCGCCCACATCCCCACTCCACCACTACTCCGCCCACTGCCCACGCACCTCTACCAACATTATAAGTTGAGCATGAAGCCAGAACATTTTAAATCGGCGACAAAACATATCCAGATGCATGTGGTACGGGGGTGTGGGGTGGCAGGGGGATGTGGGGGGGCGTGGGGACTAACACCAGGATAGACTTTCTGAAACCGCAAGGGACTGGTGTGGGAGCACCTCTTTGTGCGGATGATGAGGTTGGCGAATGAGTGGTTCTGCATCTGCTCGTCGCTGTGCAGGTCCTGGCTGGCGAGCAGCAGGCTGTAGTCGAGCACGCTCAGCCCACGCAGGAACGCTGTGTCCAGCTCCAGCTGCCGCAGGAACCATGGCTGCTCGGGGCCTGCGCGGCACGGACGCGGACAGAGAACGCGCGAGAGAGAGAGATGAAGCCCACGCGGGGAGGGGAGAGGCAGGGAATGTGGAGGCGCCGGCACGGACACCCAGAGGCAGCCGCAGAAAGAAAATGCAGACTCCGCCTGTTCCACGCGTACGGGATAGAGCGTTGCTCCCTCGCACGCATGGGTTTTCTCCGGGTGCTCTGGTTTCCTCCCACGTGTGAACACTCATTAACTGGCCGAGAACACCTTCATATATAGAGGACCGCAGAGCTTGGAGGTGTGAGGAATTTGGTGCCAGCTCACCATCTGGCTGCTGCCCTTTTCCGCTCGTCTGTGGTTCCTCCTTGCAACTCCGAGTCGTCCTCTCTCAGTCTCTTTGAGAGCGAGGAGTGAATAATGTCGCAGTGGCAGCGACAGCGCGGTACAAATTGAAACTATTTTATTATTTTGGTAAATTGTAAAGAGGACGTTCAAAGTCAGAGGTGGATCTAGAAACATTCCAAGTCGGGGTTGATCCCTGACTTTCAAGTTTTTTTTAAAACAGGGCCCTAAATTAATAACATATTTTTTAATCACCTATTTTTCTCTGCTAATTATTAATAGTATCCCAATTGTCAGGGTCTCAAATTGGGCAGGGGGGAGAGCACTCGCACCCATCCCCCTCCTCCCCTTGGATCTGCCACCGTTCGCAGTGCCGAGCCAGGATGTGAAGGACTGTGGACTGCACGTGGAGATGGCAGGGACATGTTGTAGAGAGAGAGAGGAAGGCCGCGTGCGAAGACGTCGAGTGATGAACATGGAAGCAACCAGGGTGGAGATGGAGAGATAGTATTTTAGAGTATGTGGCTGCTATACATTTCCACGTGATAAGCCACTTCGTTGAGCTATCATTTGTGGGCAGGTCGCTTCTGAAAAAGAGCTGTATAAGCTCAATGGGCCTTACCTGGTCAAAGTAAAAAATAAAATCGTTTAGTTTAGGTACACCTAGGGGAATTGTCATTCGAAGCGGTGAGCTAGGACATGAAGGGGTGTGGAGCGGGCATAGAGATGATGGCCCAGGACAGAGGAGCGAGTGGAGGAAGAGGAGCAGGAAGATGCCAGGAAGAGGAATAAGAAGACAGCCGACATTTGTAAACCATCCTCACTTGACACAAGGGGTGCCACTGTGAAGGTAACATGCCTATGCCTAAGTAGCATGAGAAACCATTGCTTATCTGTCAATATGCAACCCACAAAGACAGATTAGACCCTTACAGGCCAGGGGGTTTCTGCCAGGTTGGAATTGCTTGCTTAATGTTCGGGTTTCTGGAATGCATGCAGTTGGTGGCAGGCATGCAAGGTTCACCAAAGCTCTTAAATCAAATATTTGCTTTACAGTCTGAGATTAGTGGCAGCAGGGGGGCAAGTGCAGTGGTAACATTCAAGCCTCACGGCCAAAAGCTCCTGGGTTCTGAGTCCCGACTCGACCGTTTTTAAGCTATCCCCCTGTTCTGCATGGGCTTCCCTCTAGGTTTTCCGGTTTCCTCCCAAGGCTAAATAAAATTTAATCATGCAATGTATGTATGTTGAACTTCTTTCGCACCATATGTAGCCAACCGTGCTAAAATCGGAGGTGCACAATGTAATTGGTATTTGACCAAACATCCCACTGCTGCAACAAATCCTGCAAATTACTCAATTGGGATAACACAGCAACATCGGCCTCCTCTCGGAAAACCCACGCATGCGGGGGTGCAACAGTCTATCCCAACACACAGATGGAACGGGTTGGAGACCACACTTCACTATACAGGCTTCTCCTGGCACAGCCAGAGTATGGCATCCTCTTCGACGCTCAGCCACGGTAAAAAAGGGAGTTTCGCAACATCTCTGTGCGATCCACCAATCCTCCTTCCACAGCGCTGCTGGATCACAGGCTGACCACGTGCTGGATCACAGGCTGACCACGTGCTGGATAACAGGCTGACCACGTGCTGGATCACAGGCTGACCACGTGCTGGATCACAGGCTGACCACGTGCAGCAGCATCGTAGCCACCACGACCAGCGCCCGTCCAGCGGTGAAAATAAACTCGCCAGCCAAAAACAGTGGCGACGTGATTCTGCCGCCAGCTCATCGAATTAATATTTACATAGAGCGCCGTCTTCGCTCAAGGCACTTGACCTAGCTTACACAGCGCTGACACAGAATGGAACGATGCAGTTGTCAGGGGCATGCTACAAGGATTGAGGGATGAGTCACAGCGATAGAGGGGTACTTATGGGTCACGAAAGGTTAGGGGGAGGGACGGGAAGGAGTGGAAGAGGAAGAGAATGGGCAAGAGAGAAGAGGTGAGGCTTTAAGAGAGGAACAGAAGGAGGTTATGGAGGGAGACTGCTTCAAGTACAGGAGAAGTGTTGATTCTATGGGAAATGTACGTCAATGGGCAGTGTCGAGTCTATGGGGGCAGTGTGGAGTCTATGGTGCAGCGTTGGGTCTATGGGCTGTGTTGAGTCTATGGGCAGTGCTGAGTCTATGGTACAATATTAAGTCTATGGTACAATGTTGAGTCTATGGTACAATGTTGAGTCTATGGTGCAGTGTCGAGTCTATGGTGCAGTGTTGAGTCTATGGTACAATGTTGAGTCTATGGTGCAGTGCTGAGTCTATGGTACAATGTTGAGTCTATGTTGTAGTGTTGAGTCTATGGTGCAGTGCTGAGTCTATGGTGCAGTGCTGAGAAGATGGCACAATGTTGAGTCTATGTTGCAGTGTTGAGTCTATGGTGCAGTGCTGAGTCTATGGTGCAGTGCTGAGACGATGGTGCAGTGTTGAGTCTATGGCCAATGCTGCTCAAGGTACAGGGGCAGTTGATTCCAGTGGAGGGGTGCAAGGAGGGAGAAGGAGCGAAAAGGGGATTGGGCACAGGGAGAAGGAGGGACAGAGCGAGAGAGAGAGAGGATTGGGAGCGAAGAGGCCGAGAGGAGGGGATGTGGAAGGAGATGAGAGAGTAAATGGCAGCCGTACCGAGTCGGACGGAACTCGCTCCGAAGTTGTTGTCCTTGAGCACCACGATGACAGGGCTCCCCTCCGGCGCAGGCTGAGTCCAGCGGCCCAGCTCGCAGCCCTTGATGTCGTACCTGCGGCGGGGGAATATGCGCCGAGTGGAGACATCACGGGGCCCGAGGAACGGAAGGGCGTCCCGGAGGGGACGTCCGCTCAGGGACGTGGACCGATGAGATCACGTTTCAGGATTGTTTTTCGTCACCGGGGTGGGAGTCTCATTTGCTAAGAGTGACCTGGGTCACCATCGTGACAGAGGCAATGATAGAAATAGCCTACACAGGTGCGGCAACAACGACGAAGCAAATAGAAACGAGGGTAAAAACAACAGCATTGCAGATGAAATCGAAAACGGTGCACAAACATAAATAATTAATATTACACAACCCGTCGGTCTCACAGCCCTGTGGTAGTGCATCATTCCAATGCGAGGGGGAATTATTGTGATGTCACAGGAAAACAAAAATGATTAATTAATTCGATTATAATTCCTGTGTGTGTGCGTATGTGTTAGTAGGGCTGTGTGCGAGTGAGTGGTGCTGCGTGCGTGCGTGCGAGCGAGACTGTGCGCGTGTGTTAGTGGGGCTGTGTCTGAGTGAGATCGACTCAGCCTCAAATGAGTACCTGGTCAGGTGTAAACATCGCCACTGGGAAGACAAAGGCGGCTGGGCATGGCGCTGGTCGCCCACCCCCTTCGTGTGCCTTGGCACCCTTCATAGGTGCTCGCTAACAGCACTTGCCCCAACAGCCTGTTAAGGCTACACGGGGGATCTGTATCCTTTGTGACGCGTGTGAGTGGGGCTGCGGGCACGCGAGAGCGCTCCGTGCGCTGCTCCCGCGAGAGAACTGTCGTTACCTGACTGCGATTCTCTCGTCCGGATAAAACACACTCTGCATCACAATGAAGTATTTCTGGGAATAAAATGGGACAGGACGCGGAACGTAACGTTCAAAATGCGCCAGTTTGCACTTCAAGTGTTCTGGCCGTTTGCAATAAAAATGTGAAATGTTCACGCGTGCGTGCGTGCGTGCGATGTGCATTTACAACACAGGGCGATCCGGCTATAGATACCCCGCTAGAATCATGAACAACAGGGAAAGCAACGCCTTGGCACCTCTCTCAACGCTGCCCACTTATTAAATCTATTCGCACTCTTGCTCCGTAACGTATTGCACGTGCAAGAGGGCTGCTCCATCCAGCAGTGGATTGACCGTGGCTACCGATGACGACGACGACAACCACCGCCACTACTCGATCCGTGAGTTCCAAATTTCTCCGCGACTCTTTCCTCCCAACCGCAGGACACGGAGCCAAACAGCTGCTGAGACGATGGTCACGGGGTGGGGGTCATAGAAATCTGTTGGATATCCGTATACGGATCAGCCTGGCGGCTCATTATGGAATAGGCGACGTTTCAAGCAATGGCCCTGAGCACATTAGGAGAATGTGAGATGGGGAGGGTCCATTGGAAATCAGTGGGGCATCTATAATTGGATCGCCCTGTATCATCGCTTCAACAATAATTATAACCTCGATTTTATATGCGCCCGTCATGTTGAAGTATCAGAAAGCGTTGTACGTAAAAATGTAACTACACTCACAAGTATATCTACAATCTAAGCGGAACAGAAAGCTGATAATAACAATATCCAAATTCCAATAAAATGATGAGCTATGATCAAAGCGAATACTAATAATGATAGAGTAATCCAATCGGATAACAAAATTGTGATTTAAAATTTTTACTTACAGGGAAAGCCTGTAGTACTAATAGGTTATTTATAAGACGTGATTTAAAACAAAGAAGATCCCACAAACGCTGAGCTTGGCTGCAGAACGCTCCGTCTCCCATAGAACAAACTACAGGAAACCACAGAACAACTTATAATTAAGGCTGCAAAGTGGAATTCAACACAACTACGAGCAGAGGCTGTACGCGGGATCGCACCGAACAGAATCGGACATGCCGTGCACTCTCGTGCCTCTACCGTCTCACTTGCACAGTCAGCGCTATCAGACTAAGCGCGGCGTCCTTGCATCACTTGTGCATTCATTTTCAGAAATCGTGAGCGAGCGATTCTCATCCGAAACGACGCCATTGAGCATAGGAAAACGTGCGTAGGGGGGGGGCTATCACTGCAGAAGCACAGCCGTCGCTCACAAACAATACCTTTGGCTCGTTGGAGAGAGATATTCTGTGCAGTCCTGTCGAGAGATAAAAACGTGCAATGACGGCATGTTATAATATGACAGTAATTGTATGTAAGAGACAATTCCAGTGATGAAATTGAGTGATGCCGCCGCGTGGCCCTCCCACGCGTTGCCCGGGTTGTGCCGCGATGCGTCGTGCTCGGCACCGCGCGCGACATTTCCCCCCACTAGGCAAGAGCTTCTTCATCGACCGAGGCGTCGGACACCGTGCCGAACAGCACGCGCGTGTAAACCCGACAGCACGCGACGGAGAGCTACGCAGCTCGCGTATCGTCAACCTAGCCGGGCACGCGGCTCCAGCGGTAGGGCGTGCTGCTCGCAAGCGAAAGGCTGCCGGATCAAATCCTGCTTTGGGGCGAGATGACTCGGCTCATCTTCCCTCCCTCCGGGGTCGATAAAATAAGCACCACTTCGTGGGGCAAGTTAACAGTGGTTGTACGATGAGCGTACAACGGATAAACTCGCCCCCATCACAGGAATGAGGAATTTCAACCTCTGGCTCTGCAGGGCTGCGAAGGGGAGACGAGCGCCGATGGCTCGATGCTCGCCGCGAGCAGCGGAGAAATCACGTTGATGTTTTGAGCGATGTGAGCAGTGTCCAGGAATCGAACTCAGGTGGCCGCGCAGCACGAGGACCACGGCGCCACCTGTGCCCAGCGTCACGGGAGCGCACGCCCACGGTGCCCGCAGCGCTCCTCACCCAGGATCTTGACGAGCAGCGTGTGAGGGTACTTCTCGAAGTGCTGCACGTACTCGCGCAGGTGGCGCAGGAGAAATCGGTACTCCCGCCTGTTCTGAGTTTTAAGGAAAAACCTCTTGTCGTTCCTGCGAAGGGAAATCGCGAACAGATTCGTAATCGTCATCCTCCTTATCAGCATCAGCAGCAGCAGCCATGATCAATCCACTGCTGGATGGTGGCCTTACCAAGCCGCCTTTCTCGATCCTGCTTTGGAATAATGTAATCCACCAAGGACCTGCACGCGAATTTAATTCATCATCCCTCCATCTCCACGGTCGACCAAATATAGTTAGCAAATTTTTAAATAACATTTGCTATGTTGCGGTAGAGGCGGCGGGGTTGTTCGACCATACTTCATCACGCTGGTTAGCGCGGAGTTGGTGAATGCGGGAGCCCAGAACCGGTTCAGGTATCGCTCGCCACTGACAGTAGCCGTGGCCGGGAATCGAAGTCAGGTCGCCGTGTTCGTAGCGCAGTGCGCGAACCGCTTTGCCAATCGTATACAATTTGACGCTAAACAGATCTACAAATCTCTCCGTGTATTTATGGGTATCTATGGGACTCTATGGGTCTCTGTTATGAGTCTGATTTTACGTGTAAGTCTCTGGGTCTCCATGTGAGTTTATGGGGGTGCTGGCCCTCTGGTTGTCACAGCAACGGTATGTTCCACGGGCCGGGCCGTTTGGCCTTCTGAACTTGCACTGACGTGAGGAAGAAGTCGGCCTTGCTCTTGGAGTTGCTGATGAACTGCAGGTAGCAGCCCGGGCTGGCGAGGGAGCCCACGTAGTCGTCCTCCCTCAGGCCCAGCAGCTGGCGGAACGAGGCGAACACGGGTCCCGCAAATGTCTCCAGCACAAAGTCCTGCAGGGTGGGAACGGTGGGGGGACCATGCAGGCGGAACTGTGGCGGCGGCAGGTTTTGCGTGGTGGGATAAAGTGTGGGGACTCCAAAGTTTTCCAGGCTGTCTGGCCGGCGTGGAAGAAAAGACCAAAAAAACCCTCCGGAGGGTGCTCTCTCGAACTTCCTCGAGCGCTCCCTATAGTGGCGAGCGAGCCCAGGTAGTCGTCTTCACTCAAGCCTCGAGAGCTCCCTTAAGTGGAGGCCCTTTCACCGGCACCAAGGGGAGTGGTGAACGCGCGTGATGGGGTGCTTCCGAGTGGCGTTTACCTACCTGGTGCGTCTGAGTCAAAACCGCCTCGTAATCAGCGTCCCGCAGCTCCACCTGTCCACAAAGACACAGATTCCCCCGCATAGCCGTCACAGACTTTAGGGTCAAGTGCTGTTAGCAAGCACCTACACACACACCACACAAACCGTGCCCTTTGCGCTCTTCGTTCACCACTCAAGTCGTCTAAATGCCAGCTCTGAGAGTTTCAAAAACGCACGCGTTGACCGTCAACGCGACGGAGCGTGACTCTCGCATGACAGAGCTGGGTGGGAAATCGCTGCCCAGGTCAGTTGAAGGCATCCCAACAAATGTTGCTCTGTGGTATCTGCTGCTGTGGGCCGCTCTCGAAACGCAAGGCCCCGAGAGATATCCAAATGGATCCTTTATCTTGTGACGTGACACCGGTGGCACAATTGGGCTAAACTTGGGGGTAAGGGTTTTTTTTTATATACACACGGGGTGGCCCAAACGACAGGACACATCGGGTTATTTCATTAATGTTAACACTGGCATTAATATTTGAATTGTTTATTCGTGAAGTTAATATTTGATGTATTATCATTATTCATACGTATTTTTCGTCTTTCTTTGGAGTGACCTCAAATCCCTCGTTTACAAAACTTGACCAAGAAGAACCTTGAATGAAATGAGATTAAACATAATTGAAAAATGTTCAAAGATTACGTGTATCATAAACCTATTCATCCTAATTGTTAGGCCACCCTGTATAATAACCCTTTGTGTCCTGGCTTTTGGGCCACCCTGTAACAATAACCCAATGTGTCCTAATTTTTGGGCCACCCTGCATGATAACCCTATGTCCTAACTTTTGGGCCACCCTGTAACAATAACCCAATGTGTCCTGACTTTCGGCCACCTGTATAAGAACCCTATGTGTCCTGACTGTTGAGCCACCTTGTATAATAACCCCTATGCGTCCTGGACTTTTGGGCCACCCTGTACATCACACTTGTTCCAGTGGGCAATGCCCAGCAATGAAAGCAGCGGGGCGTGCGTGGCGCGTGCGTGCGTGGAGCGTGCGTGGAGCGTACTGGCGGCGGGCTGGCACGGCCGTGCTGCAGCGCAGCCGAGAGGCCGCTCTTGAGGCAACAGGTGAGCCAGTAGAACTCGTGCGACAGCTCGATCTCAAACAGCCCCAGCAGCTTCCACTTGTCGCGGAAGCGCTGCAGGATGCGGCTCTTGAACGTGCGGGAGCGCACGCTGGCACGCCCGGCCTGCGAGTCCGTCTGGGGCATAGGGGCACCGGGGTCAGGACCAGGGCCGGATTAGGGCCACCCAGAGGATAAGCCAGGCCTCGGGCCCTCGTAAGGTTTGTGAGGCCGTGCTTTCGATGCCTCCCGTTCCGTAAGAGCCGAGCGGCGGCAGCACGGCCAGCGGATAATTTTTTGAGCTGTTGTTGAATTACGGCGACGTGATGCGTGCACTTTGCCACAGCGGCTAAAGCTCGGGGAAAAAACATTTGCTTGAAGAAATTAGTGCAGCAAATGATTTATGCTTAATGAATGCACCTTGAGTCGAATACACTTGTTAATTTTACACGGCTGAATACATAAATGTTTGATGACTGCATAAGGTTTTTTGCCATATACATACTTAGGCCCTTCCCTTGCATCAGCCTTAGCCTCAATCCGGCCCTGGTCGACCACGGGAGGGCAATGATTGCTTCGTGCAGATTCCAAACGAGTCATTTACGGCATAAGCTTTCAAATTTGGAGGGGGGGGGGGGGGGTGGCCCCTTTTCAACCTACTTGCTGTACTGCCACCTTAACAGCCCAATGGGGTTTGGGAATTTCACAAATTTACCTGATCCCTTGCCCCCAACAAAGTACGGGCGTCCATCGGGGCTGACCGCTACTAACACTTCCTGTCATGTTCCAGAGCCTCTCCCTTGCTCTGCCGCGTGCAAATGGTAATGCTTAGAAGGGTAGCAATGATCCCCCTTGTGGATCGGTGCGACGCTCGCTCTCCGCTTGTCTGACAAGAACTCGAATAAGGACGGTGGTTCCCGCATCGCATGGCGCTTTCGGATGCGCTTCTGCGGCCGTCCGGGAGCCATGCACTTTTAAATAACCCAGATTATTGAAACGCTCATTTCTTTAAAACTGCTTCGTGCGTCGCGTTCGTTGTCCTTCCCACCGCGCATCTCCAATGGCCACGTACGGTGCGAAAGAAGTTCGACATATGTACGTACAGACACGGCAGTTTGCACGAATCATAAAAGCGAATGCTGGTGAAGCACCGATTAGGGAGCGAGACGTTGACCACGGCAGGGCTCGCCAACGTCCATCTCCCGATTTGCCAGGCAGCAGACCGCATTGTGTGCCAGTTTACAGGGAAAAAAAACAATGACCTTAAAGTCCCAGGTATTTTATTTCCCGCTGGAAAACACGCCACTCGCCAGCAGAAATCAAATGTTAATTACATAATTACTCTTTTGGGGGGTGGGGGGGATTTGAATTTGCAGTTATTAACGAGGAGGCAACCGGTGGAGAATCTCCCACCGGGAAAACACTGGAGTTAATAAATAAATAAACATCTCCACGCCGTGTATCTCCACGTAAAATAAAGTTTATTTTTAGTATGTTGGCCAACCGAGGCCAAAACACGACCAGTTACGAATATAGAAAATGACTTGCAAAGACAGTGTACTGTACAGTGTGTGTAGCTGGGCGGTGGTGGCGATGCTGTGGAGGCAGCAGTGGCAGCGGGGGTTGGTGGATCACCGCCCAGACGGGCTGTGAAACTCCCTTCCCGTGGGTGTCCAGGAAGTGCCATACCCTGGGCTCGCCAGGAGAAAGCAGTATAGCAAGTGGACTAAATCGTTGTCTGTTTATTCCATCAGTACGGAGATAGAGCGTTGCCCCCTTGCGCAAGACGTGGGTATTCTGTGGCTGCTCCGGTTTCCTCCCACGTGATATAATTAACACAATTAATAATTAATTGGCTAAAAAGCATCTTACAAATACAAGCCCAATGCAGCAGCAGTGTCAGGATTCAGTGTGGCTCTCCTGGCTAATGAAGTAAATTCAGTAACAATAAGTCAAGGCTGTGGAGCCTATTTAGGCTAACTGCCTCCACCACATCGGCTGGCAGTAGTGGATAGATAGTCTGATGATGACGATGAGACTAAAATATATATTGTAGTTTGATGCGGAGAAACAGAATAAAAGTTCACCCGAGTTCAATTCTGAGGCATGGCCAGCGTGCTCGAGTGGATCGTGATATATTAACCGGTCCTGGCCCCCTACCAGGGTGGTGAAGTATGGTCAAAAAGCCCTCACGCCATAGGGTAGTTGTCATCCACCCACGCAAACGCATGGCCATGGGAGAGATGTGAAGGTCCTATCTGTGTAAGGAGGCCACGCTGAGTCATGGCACGAGGGGGAGATGGCCTTGGCTTAGGATGAGTTACAATTTTACCAAACATCTCCGGGAATGAATATTTCCAGAGTGGATCGAAGACACAGGGTTAAGGAATGAAGACCTCAAGAAAAAGAACAAGGGGAGTCGCACTGATGATGATGCTGCTGCTGCTGTTGAAGCAAAGGAAAATCGAGCGCAACTGTGGCAGGGACGCACGTCGTCAGAACCACTGACGTGAGAAAAAAATCAACTCTGGAGCGGACAGAAGGGAAGGGAGGCAGCGGGAGAAATAATGGAGAGAGGACATCACAGAGGCCACAACTGAATAGCAACACATAAGGGAATAGAAGGAATAGGGAGGATGGGGGAGGCCTTCCCAGCAATGGGGAGTTCCAGGCTTACACCATCACACTCGACCAGTCGCTTAGAGACCTGGGGGGGGGGGGTAGAGGAGGGGGGGGGGACAGCCCTCAGGGCTTCGGCTAGACCAGGGGGTCTGTAACCAAAATAACAAGAGGAGCCATTTTTTTTCGAATTCAATAACAAAAAAACTCAATATTTCAAGAGCCGCGGTGCACGACATTATGAGACGGCGGTCCCTTAATGAACAACGTCACGAAGCAGTCGTCCTTAAAGAAGCCGCATGCGGCTCCAGGGCCACAGACTGCCGACCCCTGGGCTACGTGACCACCTAAAAGACGCGTCCGCACTCACCCTAGCAATGTGCCGCGTCGCTTCACCTGCGTTGTTTGAACGATACCTGCCAGGACGTTTAAACATTTACTTTTTGGTATCACCCAAGCAACAGCGACAGACATTGTTTAGTCTTTGGAGGCCAGGGTGTGGTTCAGAGGTCACAGGCGCTGAGCCGACAATGCTGAGGACCTGGGTTCGAATTCGGGTTACGGCCACTGCCCATGATTACACCGTGTTCTAAAGTGCAGCGAGTTGATGGTCCCAGCTCAGCCACCAATAATTTACACAGAGACCCAGAGACTTCCACATAGAGACCCAGTGGATTACACATAGAGACCCAGTGCATTACACATAGAGACCCATAGACTTCCACATAGAGACCCATAGACTTCCACATAGAGACCCAGTGCATTACACATAGAGACCCAGTGCATTACACATAGAGACCCATATACTTCCACATAGAGACCCAGTGCATTACACATAGAGACCCAGTGCATTCCACATAGAGACCCATAGACTTCCACATTAAGACCCAGTGCATTACACATAGAGACCCAGTGCATTACACATAGAGACCCATAGACTTCCACATAGAGACCCATAGACTTACACATAGAGACCCAGTGCATTACACAGAGACCCATAGACTTCCACATTAAGACCCAGTGCATTACACATAGAGACCCAGTGCATTACACATAGAGACCCATAGACTTCCACATAGAGACCCATAGACTTACTTATAGAGACCCATAGCCTGGCATAGACTGGACTGTGGTTAACCTGGGTTCTCAAGCGTAGTGAGTTGATGGTATCAGCCCGGTGACCAGTGACTGCACAAAAAATACTAAACGCATTCATTTGGTTATTTACTTGAATTCGATAAATAAAAATGTTTAACTTTGACTATCATGCGACGAACATTAAGTCTCATTGGCACAGTGGGTGGGATTAGTGTGGTGCTGCGTAGTACATGCACTTGCACGTACGTGTACTGCATGTGTGGATCGGGAGCACACATGCAGTGCACGCACTCCACGCATGTTCCACATTACAGACAAAGTTCAAAGTAGTTTCCTACTCATTGCACTGCCTTAAAAATAGGTATATAACGGGCGACGTTTTGGGAAACGGCCCTTTCCGATCGCACGTTTCTCATAAGTTTTTTTGTTTCCCACTGGTAGTCATAACGTTGACGGAGCGATCCATTTACAGATGCCCCATTAACTTCGAGCGACAACCCCCCCCACATTCTCAATGTGCTATCAATCAGGGCCACTGCCCGAAACGTCACGTATCCGTGTTTTTAGTTGTAAGACCACACACAGTTGTGTCGTTATCGACGAATGTGTATTCCTTCACAGACGAACCTCACCCCCCCTCCCCCCCCCGTTTGTATCTCACCCAGCAGGGCCGACTCTCTCCAAGAGGCCGGCCCCGGTGCCCAGAGCCCCCCTCTCTCTCTCGAGCAAAACGCCGCCAGCACCCGGGGCAACAGGCAAAGTCCCAACGGCGTTGCGAGGACGCTGCTGTTGGTGGCTGCTGCTGCTGCTGCTGTTGTTGTTGTAGTGGCAGTGGCAGGGTGTTGTCGTAGCCTCGTTGGGTTCGGTGGTGGTGGTGGGGCTCGCGAGCGGCTCGCAACCGACCCGATGTGGTTGTGAGCTTCAAGTGAACGGGATTGGGATGGGTTGGCGCAGCCCATCATCCCTCCCCCTACTCTGGGCGGGGGGGGTCGATAAAATTGGTACCACGTTGAGGGGCACTCAACGGTGCGGGTGTTATGGAGAGACTCGCCCCTGCCCCACGAATGTGGAATGTACACCGCTGGCTCAGGGCTATAAGCATATGAGCACCAATGCCTCAATCGATGCTCATTTGAACGGGAAATAGGATGGAGCGGTGGCGCAGTGGTTAGCGCGCTGCGCTACGAACCCGGCGACATGAGTTCGATTCCTCGTCATGGCTAACGTAAAAACACCTTCGCCCAAAGGTCTGTCAGTTACTATTATTGTGTAGCATGTATGTGTGGTGGACTTCTTTTGTCTTTGTCTTTGTGTACACTGTGGTGTGTAACCGTGAGTAGATGACCACACGCCCAATACAATGTTTAATAATAACAACCATCATTTCAATATCCTATCTCAATAGTTTCTGCCTTTGTGTCCGCAGTACATAAATTCGCATTGGACACAGGGAAAATAACGTGCATCCTGTGTGTATATATAAGGTTTTATTCAGAGATGCCAAGCAGGTCTGTCCATGATTGGCAACACGGAAAATATATCCTGCACACCCGGCCGAACCACATCCAGTATCGCCCTCGCTGGTATCGTCACGTGCCTACATTGCAGTCTGTACCGGCGAACCAGGAATATATCGAGTGATCAATGAATCCCCGCTCCCTGTTGTTTACATAACGCAGGAGACACAAGCACACCATCGATACACACCCGGAAAATGTTTTATCATCCGGCACACCACATCCAGTATCCTTCCCCTCTCTAAACTAGTGATAAATGAAGCCCCTGGCCTTAAAGACATCACACGCCGCAGATGGACACAACACACACTGGTCATTTAAATTCATAAACATTGACCCACGGAGAGCTTCAACTTACACAGTACCGGAACGTCCCCCCCCCTCCCTCGCTTCACAGCGACAACGCACCGGCACCCCCTGCGAACACCGCCGCTGTAAATGTTTTACCAACCGGCACACCACATCGAGTGAACACCGCGAAGGAGACGCAACGAGCACACAGCTCCCACCCCACCTCCCTCCACCTTGTTGTCGTTCTCCATGCTGGCGGTGGCGGGCAGATCCTCAGCGCGCGCCCGCTGCAGCAGCGGAACCCCGGCGGAATGCGAATGGGAAGGTGGGGGAGGTGACCGTGGGGGTAGGGGGGGGGCCTCCTCCCTCCATCCTCCTCCACGCCCCCACCCCCCCCTACTCCTGCCTCAAGCACAGCCCACCGGCTAGCAACGGAACGTCACCAGAGGGACTCCAAAGACAAAGATCCCCCCCGTGTAGCCTCAGCAGACTGTTGGGGCAAGTGCCGTTAGCGAGCACCTATGAAGGCCGGCACGGCATAGGAGGGGGTGTGGGGCCAACACCACGCCCGGCCGCCTTCGTCTCCCCAGGGGCGATGTTTACACATCGCACCAGGTACTCATTTGAGGCTCAGATAATCGTTGCCGGTGTTGGCCGTGAGCGGGAATCGAACCCGGGTCGCCAGGTTCGTAGCGCAGCGTAGTCCTAACCGCTACACGACCGCTCCAGGCACACACACTGACACACACTGACACACACACACTGACACACACACTGACACACGTGTGGGTGGGTGATGGGGGTGTGTAGCGGAGCAGTGGTGTAGCGGTTCTCGCTACGCTACGCTGCGCACTTGCCCCGACAGTCTGTTAAGGCTATACGGGGGATATTTGTCTTTGGACAGAGCCATGCAGCCAGAGCGGTGGGTGATGAGGGTTAAACAACAATAATAACAATACAAATATGAGACGGGCTACGCGTTGTTGCTCTGTAAATGAAAATAAACAGCCTAGCTCTCAACCCATACGGTTTACGCCGTATTCTTGTACAGAGATATTGAGTTTACAGACGTTTCAATACGGGCAAAAAAAAGTTGTCTGCTTGTGTTTCTTGTGATGGGACTTTGTAGGATGAACGTTGAGATATATAAGGGCACGGGGTGACCAATAAGGTCTGAATTGGTGTGTAATAAGGTAGGCACTGGTAAGGGGTTGACAGGTATGTAATAGCGTTGTGTATAGTGTAGTGTATAGGATAAACGTTGAGATATATAAGGGCACGGGGTGACCAATAAGGTCTGAGTTGGTCTGTAATAAGCTAGGCACTGAGTAGGGGTATGAATCGGACAGCTGTCATCGTGGTCGTACCCTTCCCACGATCTTCCGGTTCTGGGAGACCTCAGAGTGCGTCCGCCTTTTCATGTAATCATAAAAAATGACCTGATAATATGTATCGTGAGATGTTTTTGTTTTAGTGTTCTTTAGGATGTAAAGAATATTCTGGCGAAAGAATGACATTCATTAGGAGCACAAATTGAAATGTTGAGCCGTGGTCAGCCTTCTGTATTCGTTACATCCCACCTCTTCGGTGCCGCTATCTATCTTTAAACGTCTTCCCAACTTCCTCTTGCGCCGTTTCAAACTCAATGTTGATTAAACGACACCTAAAATTCCGTGTAGCCAGTTACCCTGCTAGCTTCAGTGGCCTCTTCGGTCTCGCCATCAGTCGTTAAACGTCTTCCCAACTTCATCTTGCGTCATTTCAAACTCAATGTTTATTCGCGACACGGAAAATACTGTGTAGCCAGTTACCCAGCTAGCTTCGGTGACAGCAGCCATGCCAGGAAACCAGCGGCATGGATAATGTTTTATGTATGGGTGTACGTTGAACTTCTTTGGCAGCAGTATGAAATTCATGAAATTCCTTCATCAGAGGCGGTTACCGTGTAACAACAAGCATGCGGAATCTTTTTTAATTATAAAAAAGCAATGATAAATCAGTGCAATTGGAGATCGCGGGATTCCCATAGCGCAGGGCGATTCTCACGAAGGAAGGCGCGGCTGTGTTGCACAGTCACGGCCTGCGCTGGGTTCACCAGAGTCGCTTTTATTGCAGAGTCTCGCGGTTCGAATTCAGCAGGCCGCTCCGGTTAATACTTGCGGGAAGAGGTCGTTTTTTGCCGGCGTCATGGTCCAGTTTGTTATTTTTTATCTTCAAATTCGAAAAACGCGCTGCCACTAGACCGCGCCACCGACCCCCTTAACACACGACTTTTTTTGTCAAAAATTCACAGCTGCATTTAATCCTTTCCCTAAAACACCGTGCGGGTCATGGAGTTGCCATACTTCACCACGTGAATGTGTGACGACATCAGCGTTCATTTGTTTTGATTAACAAAATCAGCGGTGGAAATATTCATCAACAAAGTGGCTTTGTTTCGAGTCAACGGTGATCATGATTAAGATAATCGAGCGCAATAACGACCGCTGCGATTGCTCACCAAAAACATCACATTTACCATCACCACCATCTCTATCATCACTACCACCACCATCACTATCATCATCAACACCACTATCCATATTCTTGGGTCTTTCGGTAAAGTCACCTAGATATGTTCAAAGAAAATAATTAAAAAAATAACAGAAAAACTACGACGTTTCGATCGCAACGCAAACGTCTTCAGGACGACCGCTTGCGTTGCGATCGAAGCTTCGTAGTTTTTTCTGTTGTTCTTGATTATTTTCTTTGAACATATTTACGTGACTTTACCGAAAGACCCAATAATATGAATTCCTGCAGTCACGAAAGCTTTAAGTCAAGATTTAACACCACTATCATCACCACCACCATCACCACCACCACCATCATCACCATCACCACCACCACCATCACTATCATCATCATCACCACTATCACCACCACCACCATCACCACAACCGCCATCACCCGCGACTGCAGCCTGACAGACTGTGACGAGATTAAATCATCGAGTCCTAGTGAAGGCGCAGACCGAGACAATCCGGTAACGTTACCAGACACTGCGGTGCACTGTGCACGACCAAGCACGGGGAGTCGGCCGTGTACGCATTGACCACGATTCACCGACTTCACTCGACTTGGCTGATACATTGGGGGCTCAGCACCGGTTCAGGCATCACCTGCCCCTGACCTTTAGCCAGAGGTTGAGAATTGAACTCGGGTCGCCGAACTGAACAGCGCAGTGCGCAAACCGCTGCGCCACCGCTCCCCGTTAACCCCCCCCCCCCCCCCCCCCACCTGTAACGAGAACGATGAGAATGATGCTCGCGACGACGAGTGGCGCGCGCGACCCTTACCGACATTGCTGCTTCTCGACGTTCCGCAAAACCTTGTCCGATCCTCCCTCGATCCTCCTCGATCCTCGCTGGCCCGCAGATCCGACTCAAGCGCTTACCATGAACACCGATCGCAACCTCCCTCCCTCCCCCTCCGTCTCATCTAAGCAGACATCTCTCTCTCTCTCCCCCCCGTTGTCGTTCCCTTCCCGCGCCGAGTTTAAAATTATCGCCAGCGAGTCGCGTTTCTCTTCGGCGCTTGCTGCCAACGCCCGCTTTAGTCGGAGGGCGAGGGCTCAACTGGTAAGGGAACTCGGCAGAAATAGCCCGTGGCGCGCCACTCCCGTTGATGATCACCTCCAGAAATTCCCCCCTCCCCACCCCAAAATAAAATAAAAACGACCTCCCCGCTGCTGTGTGTCAGCGCACTCGGACGAGCGCGGTGGAGTGCCACGCGAATTATTCTGGGCGCGCGTTGGCCCCGCCGATCCGGTGTCAAGGCTTTTTTTGTTTGACCGAGGACGTCAACCCCTTAAGCAATCTCCGTTTCTCGCAGAAACACGAAGCTGCCGACCCCACCGGTGGGGAGGGAGGCGGGGTTGGTACGAGATGACGGGGAATGGAACGTGCGGTTTACATCATAAACGAAGGAGGGATATGGATGGCGGTGACTCGAGTCAAATTTTGAGGGGTGGGGGGGCAGGGGGCTCAGGAGGTGATAGTGGTGAGCCGGTACCGTTGACAGCCTGCGTTCGAATGCAGGGTTTAGCCACTGCCCGTGATAAAACTGAGTTCTCGAGTGTGGCGAGTTGACGGTATCAGACCGGTCACCAATGACTGCACGCAAAAAAAAACACCACATCACATTAAATCTGACTCTGTGCTTTATTTGGCTAAATTCCAGATTTGGCAACGAAATACCGTATTGGTTTAACTGCCATTCTACGAACATTACTCTCATATGCAGTGGGTGAGGCAGCACTTCCCCGTACTATGTGGCCCAGAGGATTACTATGAAGGATGCAAGAGGTAGCTCCATCACATCCACTTCCACGGGCCGCTCTCCAACACAGAGGGTTGCTCTGCTCCATTAATGGATGCCTCATCTGATAAACGCCGACAGCGAAATCGGAATAAAATTGGGGAAGGGTAAAGAATATAAAGCCAGCGGTTATGAATGCTAAAATGGGTTCTCGTCTCTGTCGCAGTTATATGGCAGGGGCAAGTCTCGCCGTAGGAAAATCACTGTCGAATTAGCAGCAACTGGCTACCGTGAGGACGCGACGTTACCAATCGGATGGGGCTTGGGCTTGGCCATGATTCATGGGGTTGGGGGGGGGATTCCCAGGGTACACTCGGGTTGTGGAGGCAAGCGGTGGTAGTGCTGGTCTCCATCAAGAGGGCCCTCTGCTTTGTGGCCTCAAACTCAGGACAAGGACATGGAGTGTCATGTCGTTGCAGTGTTCGACATCGCTGTGCTGCTTGCCGGAAGCACCGGCTTCAATTACCGAGCCGGGAAAGCCTCACTTTCTCAGGAGGGTCCTGCTCCAATGGCATGTTTGGCTAATTGCGTTGGATTTGGAGTTTGGCTTCGTGTGCGGGAGATAACCGGAGGACCGAGAGAAACCCCAGCACCGCGCTGCTGTACACGAGGGGGTGGCACTCGGCGCTGTCACCTCCTGGCCACACCTTGCAGCCACCACGCCTACAGCACCTGGCAAGCCCTGGCGGCAGTGAACCATCGGAGCGCTAACCAGGCTCAACACTGCTTAGCTTGTAGAGATTTTATGAGATCGGGCACATTTAGGGGAACAAAAAAATCCAGCAGTGGATTGACAAAGAGATCTGCGCGTACAATGACCGGTTACATCTGACGCACACCGCAAAACTCTGGCAACTGCTGATACGCAGTGCAGCGGTCCTCAACAGCAGTGCTGGCCAGGTTTATTGCAGATACGCGAATCCTAAACAAAAGGCTATTTGCATTAACATATGATCGCCGTCATACAGATCGCGAAAGCCTACGTGTTAAACCAAACACGATCGCCGCTCGTTTCTAAAACTGCACCGTGACTTGGCTTTTTACAAAAATATATATTTAAAACAAATAATTTTGTCGACCGGTCAGTTAAGACCCCGAGCGTTCCATTATTACCCCGATACTGTGACCCCCCTCGGCCCGCGCCACGAACATGAACGTGATGTTTACGGTGGAAATTCGCGCAAGCACCTTGCAAAACGCACACCGTCAAAATGGTCAAATGGTGGCGAGCCATTGTGTTTGTCCGTATTGTCTTCCCCCCCCCCGCCCCCAGCCACTCCGCGGGGCCCGTTTTACCCAAAACAGCGTGCGAAGCAAGAAAAGCAAAATAACCGGACAGCCGCAGAGCGCGAGATCATCGCGTTCGCAACCGGCAGCGCCCGAGCCACCCAATTGACGAAAATGCCGCGCTGGCGTGAGCGCGCCGGTATCGCGTCCATTGTAAAGCAGCGCCGCGTTGTCCCATGGGAGACAGCGATCATGCCCCCCCCGGCCCCCCACCTGCTCGCTCCACAGTTACATCACCGAACGGTTTAGAAGGGCGTGGGTGGGTGGGGGGGGGGGGTTTCCACTGCAAAATCCGAGCCGTGCCGCCGACGTCACACGAGACCGCGTGTGGACGATGCCGCGGCGTAAGTATGCATATGTTCGACTTCTTTCGCACCGTACGTAGCCAAACCGTGCTAATCGGAGGTGCGGGGGAAGGACAACAATCGATACACGCCGCTTCCTCATGACGTCACACACCACGAGCTAGTCATTTAGCACCTTCCCTGGCCCTGCTTGGCCCCGACACAGATTCAGATGTCTTGCGAAGCCAGCTCGCTCATCGTGGCGTACGGCAATCATACCAGTGGAAAACCACCCGTACCGGTGAGGGCCTCGCACTGGCTCGGATGTGCCAGTGCAGACGGGCAGATAGCCAACCCAAGACGACAGCTGCCAATTCTGACAGGAGCACGAATTATGCGTTGCCTCGTGGGCAGCCCTGTAATCTCTACCGGCCTTCTTCGTCGCGTCTCCTTGTCCAACCTATACGGGGGTCTTTTCCCCAATATTCTGCACAGGCCACCGCGTATAGTGTTGGCACTGACAATTCTTGAGGAAGTGCATCGTGGTGCTGCAGGGCAAATCAGGAGACGATCCATGGTGTGATCTGTGAACATTCATCAAAGTGTGTTTTGTTGTCTCGATTAATTGCAGGGTTCTTCTTGGACGAATTTCGCAAACGACGGATATAAGGTGACCCCCCCCCCCCCTCCCCCATGAATAAGAAAAACATATTAATAACGATAGTAGATACGCAACAACTACTTACTTTAAGAGTAATTAAAATGTTTTAATGCCAGTGTTAAAATAAATCAAATGACCCCATGCGTCCTGATTTTTGGGCCACTCAAACACACGTGGCAGATGGCGCCACTCTGGCGTGACGACTGCGAGCAGTTTACGACGAGGGCAGTCACCGTGTAGCGACCCGCACAAAGCGCGCGTGACGATCAACATTGTTCGCGAATTTTCTCCGTTAAATGAGCATCAATTTTACATGAGATTGGTGCACCCAACACCAGGTGTTGGGTTATGAATTTAGCAGGTGCTGGACTCGGTTGCAGTGACTGATCAAAGACAGGAATTGATATAATATATAATTATATACACGGGCGCGCTCACACACGCGGTTCAGGAGGTTACCTAAAGTCAGATGTATCTTGTTGTTATCATACATCACACGCTTTCGTTATTTGGGCTCGTGCCACGTTATATCACCAAAATATTATAACACGATTCGACCGCGCTTGTAAAATGGATAATGGATCTCTGTCTTCCTTGTGGTGTAAAAAAAAACAAGCTCGCGATGAAAGTGAATTCCTGCTGCTCACAATGAGACGCGTTGGGGCATCGGAGCTCCTTCTCATGCGTACGTCCCCTGTGCAATTTCATCCGTCTGATCGTGGCCTCTTTCCCCAACCCCCAAGCCCTTACAATAAACAACCTCGCCCTGCTCCAGAAACGCGTTAATTTACTCTCATCACATCTATTACAACTTCTAAAGTGCAGTTTGCTGCCGCTCGCTTGACGTTCCCCCCCGTTTGTGTCCGGGTCTCAATCAGGGGTCGGAAACCTGCGGCACTTTGAAGCCGACCTCGTGAAATATTGAGATTGAGTTTTTTTTTCAACTTACCCAAGTCGAACCAAAAAATGTCTCTTCTCGTTATTTTGGGTTGCCGACTACCTTGGTCTAAACAAAGGGCATTTAATCAGCAGTTGGGGCCATCAGACACCGCCAGGTGACATTGACACCGTGGCAAAAAAATGTCGCAATAAAATTTCCACGCAACGTGCAACAACGTCATGGGGGTTTTGAGTGGACCCCACCTTCCGCTCTGTCGCTCATCACCTGCAACAGCTGCCCCTGCGTACAACCCTTGCTGTAGCTGCTGCTGCAGCAGCAGAAATAACCTCGACTGGTGAGTGGGTGGTGGTTGACTCATCGGACTGGTGTGCCCCAACAGATCAGCTTTCCCAGCCATGACGTCAGCCACTTTAATATCAGGCTACAGTCTACATTATAGACTGCCAGTACACTCACCAAACTTAATAACCAGGCTACATTCTAGATTTGAAGCTTTCGTGACTGCAAGGATTCATACTCTTTGGTTTTTTCGGTAAAGTGACTTTACCGAAAAAAACAAAGAGTATGAAACCAGGCTACAATCTGCATTATAGATTGCCAGTACCCTCACCAAACTTAATAACCAGGCTACAGTCTGCATTATAGACTGCCAGTACACTCACCAAACTTAATAACCAGGCTACAGTCTGCATTATAGACTGCCAGTACACTCACCAAACTTAATAACCAGGCTACAGTCTGCATTATAGACTGCCAGTACACTCCGATTAAGAACCTGGCTGTAGTCTACATTCGTGTTTTTTATTATTGTTATTTTATTTTTATTATATGTATTCACTTTATTTTTATTATTTTTCTATCTGCGTGACTTTACCAAAAGAACCATATAATATGAATTCCTGCAGTCACGAAAGTTTTAAGTCAAAATTTAAGTTGTGTAGAGTTGGTTAGACAAGACTCGTTAGTGTAGGGCTTTAGTAACTTATTAATAACCTCTTCCCCAATGCCATTAGTTCTTAACTATTACTTAAATAACACCATCACGTAATTTGTATTTCACTCCGCTATTCATATGTTAAATCACGTGTCTGTTATTTCAACATATTAACAGCCCACAATATAACTAGCCCACCTTCAGGAATAAGTTTTGCATTTGAGGGCTTACCTGTAGGTTTAGCCTTCACCTTCCAAAGCTTCACAAACTTCACCAAACTCGAACCTTCAACTCGACGTCGTGACAATACTTGATTTAAATACGCCGTGTGCGAGGCGTATACACAAAGTCTCCTGAAGCAGCGCCGCGATGGTGGTCACACTTTGAAGAGGACTGACGCAGCTTTGTGTCACTGTGCCACATTGTTTACCTACGTGATGCTCAGAATCGTGTTGCAAGTGCAGCCAGGGCCAAAGTGGGTTAAACGCAGAGCGGGGGGAGTCTGCATTCTCCACGGTCAACACAATCTTATTGCCCCATCGATTGTCGCGCGATCAATTATAAATCCCGTCGTTTGTCAATGATCGCACACGGGCTCCGCGATTAGCTGAGCACAATGACTTCCCGAACCAATGCACAGTGCACACGTGCCCCCCCCCCCCCCCCCCGATCATTAATCACCACGATTACTTATTTACAATATGATTATAATTTAAATTGCTCATTACAGAAGAAAGGGGGGGTTAGTTGGGAAGCAATTAATCGTGATTGGAAGAATACGTGTGTGTTATGTGTGCTAAGTGACAATAAGGGGGTGAACACTGCACTATTGAGCCTAGTAACTTAAGTTTTAATCCAGGCAGCGGCGAACATCAGTGGCGAGTGATATCTTTGTATCAGGGTGCTGAGCATCCTTTATTTTGACTTTCTCACATTATTTTAACCCACTGTTGTTGTTGCAAATCGCTCTCATGTGCTGCTATTGATGCATCATCATATTGTTATATATTGACCACAACAACCCTCTACTCCAAAAATGGGGAACCTTTTTTCTGCCAAGGGCCATTTGGATATTTATAACATCATTCGCGGGCCATACAACTTAAAAATGAGCCTGTTATATTTGGTCAAACATTTAATGAACTCACCCCTAATGCGATGGCTGGAACTGCTTCTCTTTGGCGAGGCGTGTGGTGATGTTAGCCGGTATTGACGATGTTGCTACTCGCAACTGCTTTTCCAGGTTTGCTCCCTAGATTTATTGAATTTCGAGTCCCGCCTGCGGTTGCCTTGGCAGGGCCACACCAAATGATTTCGCGGGCCTCATACGGCCCGCCTGGCAGACGTTCCCCACCCCTGACTCTACTCCACGCACTTGCCTCTCTCAGAATCATCTCGCGAGAGCGGTAGAGCACAAATCACAGCCTTGTCTAACTCCGCTCTCCTGTTTGCTCTCAATACCAATTCTCTATTAATCTTAGGTCTTTTCCTTAGAGAATAAAGGATATTTTCGTTAGATGTCCTTACACTTTTCCAACCAGGTTCAAATTCCCAAGCGCTACCGGTAACAAACAAAAAACAATATTATTGGCCACAAATATTTGGGCACTTCGGGACTAAAGATGGGACTTGCTGCCTTGCGTGGCAGCGATTTCTGCTCTGACCCAGGCGCTGAGCTAAAGGGGCTCCGCAGAGCTCCCGCTGGTGGAGCCACCTTCTGCCAGCAGTGGCGTGAGCACGCCACTTGCAGGGCTGCGCCTTCCCCCATTTGAAATGCCCGTCGGAGGCGTGGGGCGAGAATGAGACGTTGCCTGTCACGTGGAGTTGACTATTGACCCAATTTCTGATTGGAAAGCCGGTGAGAAATATATAGATTTTGATCATTCTGGTACAGTGTACCAGTTTTTTTTTTATCTTTACACGATTTAAATGCACGATGTGTGTGTGTGTGACACTTTGTTTGAATTATGACGACAGAGACCAAAACAATTCAAACTTGCCTCTGCTCCCAACACCCGCTTCGTCAAACTTTCAGCTACAACACGACGTTTTACGTTTTCATCACAGTTTTCACTCGTATAAACACAGTACATAAACGGTTAACATTCGACAAAAAAACACATTTGCATCGCAGCTCACGCCTAATTATATTTTTTTGACTAAACAAATTGTTTCGCGATGCTGCTGCTGCAGGGGCAGTGGCGCACAAGCACAGCCAACAACAACAGCAACAACAACTCGGCACCATTCGTCAACAACAACAAACGCGACGCGCGGCCTTAACAAGAAAACGACGTCTGCCGCGCGAATTTCGGCGGCTAGCTTCTCCTGATAATGGCCACTGCTCGAAACGTCGCCAATCGTTGTCGTCAGTCAGAGAGCACGGGGTCTGAGAGCGAGCGATGTCCCGCGAGTATCGACGCGTGTACGAGGAGGTTTCTCGCGAACGAGACGCGGCCTCGGTGAGTCTCACAGACGCCGACTCAGGACAGGGGGCCTCCGTCTCGCCCACGGTGTCGCAGGAACCAAGGTTGGCGGGGTGGGTAAGGGGGAGCGCGAACTGACGCCAAACGTGCGCGCGGCCCGCTTGTTCCATCCACTGCTGGACGAGGGCCGTGAGAGGTTGTGTTCGGCCCACACTTCGCCACGCCGCTCGGTGTCTTTTGTCGAAGAGTAACCATGCTCGCTTCATTGGAACTCTTTGCGCTCCGCGTTGAAAGAGCTTAGTGGCATCATCTCCCCACCACCGAAAGTGGCAGAATGTAACAGCGCATTTCATCCACTCAATCCACGCAAAAACCTCCGTACCTCGACACTGCGTTCTGGGGCAGCGAGGTTTTGCGGGTTATCAAGTCTTACCAGGACACCAGTCGATTTGTAAGTTATTTTATTTCAGGAATATCAAGGGTGGCCCAACATTCCGTGACAACGAAGCAGTGGCCATGTAACACAATACAAACACCACCTATCGACAGTACTATCAGAGTTTAATATCGCATATGACAATCCCATAACCTATTCCCATATACAGCATCTGTTTAGGATATCAGTAGTTTAAATGAACAGAGGGCGGGGTCACCGACCCGAACAAAAGTATATCCGCACCCGGCACACCACATCCAGTATACCCCCGTCGCTTTGCCTGTGGCTACCAGCCGCGTGCCACCTTGTCTTACCACAGCGACACGCGTCAATATCATCGTTCACGACTGCGCCTGTGCGGCGTTGTGCCGGCAAGCGTCCGGAGGGCGTGAAACGTCGGACTTCGCGCCGGCCAAGGCGCGACATGAGCAGAAGAGCGAGCGAGACAGACGCTCCCTCTAAGGTGGACAGATTACAAGTTGCCGCTCGGGTTATTCGATTCCATGCCCTCCAGAGCCGCGTCCACAGCCGAGCCGACGAAGCTGCCCGACCAAATCCGCTCGCCGATGCGTCGCATCGCTACGAATCGCCAAGCCAGGCAGACGCTTGACAGCCGCGTCCACCTCGACCGTGAGAGCGGTAGCGACCGGTTTGCGCCGCTGCTCCCTGCAACCGGTTGCAGAGACGCGTCCACCTATGAGTCGCGCGCAATTTGGTTGCACGCGACTCATCGCTCGCGTGTGGGCCCCGGTTGATCGATATTGCTCCCGCCGAGTTCTGCGATCGGTAACACGGGGATACGAGGGTGTCGCAGCGCAACGCGACGGTGTCAATATAAATCCTCCTTCCCTGTGTCTGAGTCTCAACACATTGAGCCCTCCCCACTAGTAACTACTCCCCCACTAACCCCTCACCCCCCTCTAACGTTGTGTAAACATCGTTTCTGAACCAGCAGAAGAGCAAGCGTTTGCCTTCTTTCTTCTTCTTCTTCTCTCGTCTAGAACATTCCCCAAACTCCGCCACCCTCCGACAACTCTCTCGCGATCTCCACCCCTGTGCCCGCACAGGGGATGGTAGACGAGGCTGAGAGAGCGCCGCTTAGAAAGCGTTAAAAAAATAAACAACTACTGTCGTCGTCGTCACCACCACCACCGTCGTTGGCGGCGTTGAGGTCCGCAAAGTCGCTGGAACGTCACCGTCTTCGCTAAAACGGCAGAGGCGCTGCCCTGCAATTTCCCGCTCGCGCCACTGCTGGCGGAAGGGCCGTCTTCTCCACAACTCCTGGAGGAAAAGCTCCCGAGGGAGAGTCGCTCCGTACAGAAGGTGCTTTGGCCTACTCTTCCCGCACGCGGCCCACGTGGGGGGACGGGGTGGGCTTGACCCGCTCCAGAACGGCCACCGCACGTGGCCTGCCGATGGGACACGAACTCCGGTGGCACCCGTCTACCGGACGCCGCTGTACGCAGCACAGCAAGTAGGACCGGCAGAGGGCTCGGGGACGTCGCTGTAAACAAGACTAACGCACCGACGCTGTCCGTATGCGACGCGCGCGCTGAACGTGCGCTTACAAATCAACGTTCCCACACGGAATGCCCCACTACCGCGGAGCGATAAACAACATAGGTATCACCCAATCACCGCGATATACGTACAAGTACGGTCGCTACATAGCGACTGCAGCGGTGTGTGCACTGCTTTTTTTTTCCACTGCTGACGCTGAAAATAAACGGGTGCGCGACCTGTGTACGCTTGGTCTCCACTGCTGAAGACAAGACGGGATAAGTCTGTGGCCATAGCCGTCCGATTGTCCGTGATTACTTTGTGCCACAAACGAGCGGGGAGTAAAATCGCGAATAACAGGACACGCGATAACGGTACCCCACATCACCACGGGTAAGAGGAGCTCTCCTGTGCAAGTAAAAAAAAAACATGGCCAATAATTACCCAGGGAAATGACGCGGTGAGTCTCAAGACTCTTCACCAGGAGCGTCCTGCAATGGTATGCTTGGCCAATGCAACGGTGACCAAGGAGTGTTCGGCTTCATGTGGGAGGAATCCTGGAGAGCCTGGAGACAACTCACGCCTACGAGGGGGACACTCGGCACTGCCAACGCACACCCCACACCAAAGCGGCTGGCAAGGCCCTGGTGATGGTCTCCCATCCAAGTACTAACCAGGCTCAAAATCCCTGCTTAGCTTCTGAGAACATGACGAGGTCGGGCGCGGTCCGGGCAGGTTTGGTCTCTCTCTGGGCTCCCAGCTAATTGATCGAAATTCTGGATTCTTGGCACGACAGGGAAAGTGCATTCATTGGCTTCGGAGAAGGCATTCTCCCCCTGTGGAGGCCTTCTACAGGACATTGGCACCTTGGCACTTGCAGTAGCAAAGGCAAATTGTTTGTGTGTGTGTGTAGCACTATGCGCTACCAACGACACTGCCGCTCCCCAACAGCCTGTTGCAAGCTCTACGGCGACCTTTGTTTTTATATATAAACGCCGAGCGGTAACCTTGTCAACACTCGGCACAATCGGTAGGCAACGGTGAAACTTAAAACGCCTCAAAACAAAAACGCTAAATTTTCGCTGTTGGCTTGAAAAAGCCCCTACGGCCCATATCAAGTCAAAGCAGCTCAATTGTTGTTTCGTTAAAAAAAGTGACCTAAACCTCTTGTTACACTCACATTTTTAAAAAAATTACCGTTTACAGTTATCGAGATGAAATGGTAAATTATATTCCAGCTGGCTGGAGCCCGGCTTCGACCGAATAAATCCCACATGGCTTTTCCGCTGCACAGCCGAGCCGTGCCGGGGCCGGGGCCGTGCCGGGGCCATGCCGAGCCAGCCTGGTGCACGGTTCAAGAGGCGCCCGGTAGTTTATCCACTGTAGAAGCCGAGCCGAGCCGTGCCACCGACTTCTCGTGTCGTGAACGGGTCGAGCCGCTCGTAGACGGCGTGGTTACACGTCACACTTGCTTGACTACTGTGACGTCGCATGCATCCAACGCGTCGTTAGCCACACCCCTGGCCCTGCTTGGCCCCGAGCCAGATTCAGACGTCGTATTGTGAGGCAAGCAGTGGTGTCACGTTTTGGCTCGCTGTTCGGCTCGGCAAACAGCCAGTGGGGAAAAACCAACTGTACCTTGGCTGGCTCGGCTCAGATGTGCCGTTGGAAAATGCTTACCTGACCTATAGTTTTATTTTACAGAGATCTGTGCTGCTGATAATCACTGCAGCTGGGCAATAACGGCAAGTCCATTGGAGTCGACGCAACGAGGAGACCCGACCCACTGCCAGAACGGTGGACATTCAAATTTTGGGGGGCTCGACTCATAACCTCATTATCCCCTAAGGGTTCATTAAAGTGAATAAATCTTTGTGGGCAACCAAACAGTGGATACTTCGTGCATGGTGTGGCTCCCACCATAGGGATGCGGAATTTCCACCACTGGCTCAGTGAAAGGAGACGGGGCTGTGACGCTTCTGCTGACGTCTCTGCCCCCCCCGAGGCCCAGCGTCCCGCCGCGCTCGCGTCCGGCGACGCGCCCTTGGACGTCCAGTGAGCCGCGCGCGGGCGGCAGAGAAGCGGACGTGGCGCTGCCCTCTACCCCCGGGGGCCCACGGGGTCCGTGGGTGGCGTCCGACGTGCCCATGAGGAGCCCTCGCGGCCGCCGCCGCCGCCGGCGCCGCCGCCCAGAGGCTCAGCGCGCGTCTCCGTTCCGGCTGATCACGACCGGCTCGTACGGCTCTGGGGAGATCCTGACAGGCGAGACGGCGCACGGGGACCGCCAGCCATCGTTACGTGCTGGCACTGCGGTGATGTCACAGGATGTGCAATGCGTGATGGGAAGATTGATCCTGGTGTCGCAATCGGGGTTTTGTGTGTTTTTTACACAGTTGCTTGGTGCCGGTCCAAAGGCCCAAAGCACCAAGCGGCCAGCGATAAACAGTGCTGTCAAAGCTGTTGTAGATGAGAGTGAAACACGTCTCTTGAACTGAGCGAGGGGTTTGTTATGAGAGCTTGGGGGGAACAGAGACGATGGAAGGGAATTCCAGAGTGCAGCGGTGCGGAGGAAGAAGTGGAGTCCGTGAGTGCTTGTGTCAGTGGGTGAGTAAGTGGGTGGGGAGTGGGCGAGTGAGTGTGTTAGTGGTTGAATGAGTGGGTAAGTGAGTATATCAATGGGTGAGTGTGTCAGTGGGTGAGCGTGTCAGTGGTTGAGTGAGTGGGTAAGTGAGTGGGTGAGTGAGTGGGTGAGTGCATGAGTGAGTGGAGTAGGTGGTGAGTGACTTTAGTATCCACAGCGAGAGGGTATACTGGATGCAGTTTGCCAGGTGAGCAAATATTTTCTGGGTTGCTGTTAACAGAATTAGTAGGCGACATTTGGGGCTATGGCCCGTCGTATACGGTATTATATTTTTATTTTCAAGGCCACACACACACATGCAACGCACACGGTGCCAGTACAGTATGCAGTGTCTATGTATGTCACGCGTGTTTATGTTATATGTTACACTTGTGCACGTTACATGTTACACGTGTGTATGTCGCATGGTTGCACGTGTGTATGTTATCTGCCGCACGTGTGCACGTGATGCGGGTTACCCGTTTGCGATCTGGTGGCCGCGCAGTTCCCACGTCCCGTCTCGGCCGACGAAGAGAGTCAAGCCGTCCTCTGTGGGGAGCAAAGCAGGACACAAGTGGATGACCCAGACCCTGACGCTCACGGCGGTCACGGCGATAGCGGCCGAGTGGCAAATTTTCTCGGCCGTGTCGGGTGGCGGAGGGGACGTGACGACACGAATATGGTGTGTGATCATTACGTGGGCTTAACCCACCCCACCCCCGCAAAAAAATGTACAAATTAATCGACGGCAATTGGAGAAAGAGACGAAAATCTACAAATACAAAAAGGCTGAGGACAAAAAGGGCACAAGAAAGACCTTCGTTGGTGCTCTTGGCCGTGAAGTCCTGCATCTGCAGGATCTGGTCCACCACGTCCATCGCGTCCACCCTCGTCTCGTCCACCCGCGACTCCGGCCTCTCCGACGCCTCCGGCGGACGCCTGCGCACGCTGACGGACACACGGTGACACACACGGTGACACATGGTGACACATGGTGACACACACGGTGACACATGGTGACACATGGTGACACACACGGTGACACACACGGTGACACACGGTAACACACACAGTGACACACACGGTGACACATGGTGACATAAAGCTAAAGCTCCCCCGTATAGCCTTAACAGACTGTAGGGGCAAGTGCTGTTAGCGAGCACCTATGAAGGCCGGAACGGTACACGAGGGGGTGGGTGGCCAGCACCACGCCCGACCGCCTTTGTCTCCCTAGTGGCAATGTTTACACACCGCACCAGGTACTCAATTGAGGCTGAGTCGACCTAGGGGAGGCCCGGGACCGGTTCAGATAATCGTCACTGGTGTTGGCCGTGAGCGGGAATCGAACCCGGGTCGCCAGATTCATAGCGCAGCGCGCTAACCACTGGTGACACACACGGTGACACACACGGTGACACATGGTGACACACACGGTGACAGACACGGACACACGGTGACACACGGTGACACACACGGTGACACACGGTAACACACACAGTGACACACACGGTGACACATGGTGACACACACGGTGACACACATGGACACACGGTGACACATGGTGACACACACGGTGACACACGGTAACACACAGTGACAAACACGGTGACACACACAGTGACACACACGGACACACGGTGACACACGGTGACACACACGGACACACGGTGACACATGGTGACACACACGGACACACGGTGACACACGGACACACGGTGACACACATGGACACACGTTAACACGGTGACACACACGTTAACACGGTGACACACACGTTAACACGGTGACACACACGTTAACACGGTGACACACGGACACACGTTAACACGGTGACACACACGGTAACACGGTGACACACACGGTAACACAGTGACACACACGGTGACACACACAGTGACACTCACAGTGACACACGGTGACACTCACAGTGACACACACGGTGACACACACAGTGACACTCACAGTGACACACGGTGACACTCACAGTGACACACACGGTGACACTCACAGTGACACTCACAGTGACACACACACGGTGACACACACAGTGACACACACGGTAACACTCACAGTGACACACACAGTGACACTCACAGTGACACACACAGTGACACTCACAGTGACACACACGGTGACACTCACAGTGACACACACACGGTGACACTCAGGCCGGCGGTTCTCGAACCCGGAAGATCGCGCTGCCCACCGCGCCCGGCCGCCTTTGTCTCCCCAGTGGCGATGTTTTTACACACCGCACCGGATACTCATTTGAGGCTGAGTCGACCTAGGGGAGGCCCAGGCAGCTGTTTATATAATCGTCACCGGCGTTGGTGTCAGTGGCCGTGAGTGGGAATCGAATTGGGGTCGCCGGGTTCGTAGCGCAGGGCGATAATTGCGACGTTGTCGCTTCCCCTACACTCACAAAAGACAAAGATCCCCCGTGTAGCCTTAACAGACTGTAGGGGCAAGTGCTGTTTGCGAGCACCTATGAAGGCCGGAACGGTACACGAGGGGGTGGGTGGCCAACACCACGCCCGGCCGCCTTTGTCTCCCCAGTGGCAATGTTTTTATCCACCGCACCAGGTACTCGATTGAGGCCGAGTCGACCTAGGGGAGGCCCGGGACCGGTTCAGATAATCGTCACCGGTGTTTGGCCGTGAGCGGGAATCGAACCCGGGTCGCTAGGTTCGTAGCGCAGCGCAGCGCTGACCGCTACACACACAATCTTGATTTGAAGCTTTCGTGACTACAAGGAATCCACCATACTCTTTGGTTATGTTGAGAGTCTGCCACACACACACACAGACACACATCGCGCACGGCACCTGCTCAACACCGGCACGCGTGGGCTCTGGCGGCTGGACTCGCAGAGAGGGGCAATTACCACGGATGGCCACCGGGTGGCACTGCTGCACAATTTCCCTCAAGAGGAGGACTCCTCTACCTTGGCAACGCCTTCGTCAGTACAGCCGTGGGCCGGGCAACGTTTTGGGCCACGGCCCTTCTTCGTGGCACGTGAATTAGAGTCATTGCCTGAAACGTGGGCTATTTTTTACTTTTCCGTTTGAAGGTCCAGACTTACAGTGTTGCTGACACGTGTGTGTGCATCAGTGTGGGGAGCAGTAGTGTAGCGTGTTAACGCGTCGGCTTTCGCGACCAATATCATTCATGATACAGGTTTTTTTGGGTTAGATCGCGTAAATACATAAATGCGTCGTTAAACCCGCCACCACCCGACACAGCTAATTAGTCAGGGTTGTCACATAAACAAACCTGTATTATGGCAGTGTAGCGGTTCGCGCGCTGCGCTACGAACCCGGCGATCTGGGTTCGATTTCCACTCACACCAGTGACGATTATCTGAACCGGTCCGAGGCCTCAGCCTCTTTGTGATCCACCGGCCCTTGTGCAAGGTTGCACTTCAACTGAACTGTACTAATAATCCACTTTACCCAGGAAAAACCCCGACTCTCATGAATCATTTTCAAGAGGGCCCAGCGTTAAGATGTTTGTCAGATTCCATCAACGAGTGCTTGTCTTTAATGTCTGCATTTAAATCATCGCCGTCGTCGTCAGCCATGATCAATCCACTGATGGGTGAAGGCCTCCCTCAGCCACTGCCACCACCACCGTTGCCACCTCCGCCACCACTCACAAATCCATCCTGCACCTGCTGCACGTGAACTACCGCGCTCCGCAAACATTTTGGTCGGGAAATTATATATTTTTTTAACACCACGAGCCCCGCGTCAGAAACGCCTCGACGGCCGTGGCGCCGGCGGCGCCAGAGGGCCCGGCGTGGCGGCACGACGTGGATGCTGCCGGGGCACCTTGCGGGCGGAGGAGGCCGTGGGGGCAGCCGGTTCCGGCCCCGCGGCGGTGCGGCGCCGTGCGGCTGGCTCGCGATCCACGGGGTCGACGCGGACGCCGTGATGGCCGCCGCCTTGTGCAGCGGCGACGCGGGACCCGGCATGAGGTCAGAGGTGCTGGAGGAGCCCGAGTGCTCCGTGCTGTAGCCTGCGGGCGGGGAGAGCGGGAAGGGCCCAGCGAGCCGTGAGGTGCCGTTCTGCGGCTCACGGTCGGGGTCACCTCCCCCGCCCGAGGGCGAATCGAGGCTTTGGTGCCTGGTTACAGGCCTGCGGGGCCGGTGGTGGAAATTCCACGTTGCTATGGCTGGCGCAAGTCTATCCAAAGTACAGACAACCACAAAGTCCTATCAAGTCTGGCACAGCGCACGAGTCGGTGGTGAGGTCAGCACCACACGTGGCAGCCTTTGTCTCCTCAGTGCTGAGGTACTTTGCTCATTCGGGCCGAATCGACCTAGGGGAGGTCCCGGAACGGTTTGACCCGGACAGTGCGGGAATCGGCGTCCGTGCGTCAGGTGGCGGGAATCGATTTTTGCCGAGAAGTGGGACTGTACCGGCATTGCGTTGAACTCGTTCCGTCTCCACCAACAACAACAACAAGCTGCAGCTTCCGATCCTCCCTTAGAACAACCCCCATCTCTTCTACCCTAGCCCAGCATCATCCTGACACTGCGACTCCCTGCCCCCGCCCCCAGCTATGACCAGGCCCCATCATTATCACTCCCCCTCCCACTATCCCACCACTATCTCTACCACTACCTCAACCCCTATCATTACCCCAACCCCTATCACTACCCCAACCCCTATCACTACCCCAACCCCTATAACTACCCCAACCCCTATCACTACCCCAACCCCTATCACTACCCCAACCCCTATCACTACCCCAACCCCTATGACTACCCCTATCACCACCCTAACCCTAACCCCTCTCACAACCCCTCCTTTACCACTCCCACCTGTCCTCCTAACGTGTCACCATAACTTCACCACTTTTAATAACCCCACTGCTTATTCGACCACTATTGTCTTATATACAATTTCACAATTGCTGCAAAGCGCCGTTGAATTTAGGTGCTATGTAAATGCAGTGTAAGACAGGGCACTGTACCGCGCAGCATCTACGCAGGCCTGCTGCTGACTCAGAAGCGCGCGAGGGTCGGGTCTGTGGTGGGGACGGGTGACGAACCCAGGCACGAGCTGCACTCCGGGGCTCGCCAGAGCCACACTGGAGGAGGGTCGGCCGTGAGTGGCGACCTCGGGACTCCAGCGGGCGGGCGGGCGTCGCGTTACCGGATGTGCAGAGACCGTGCCACTCCATGGCGGTGTAAAGCTCGCAGCTGTTCTCCAAACACTTGGCCCAAATTTTCCTAAATCAATCTCCCCCGCTGGCGTCGATTGCGCGACGCGCGGCGTGACCCCCGCTGCCAGGGGGGGGCCGTGCCGTCCGCGTGAACGGAGCACCGAGGAGCGGAGGGGGAAGTGTTAACTACCTCGCCTAGTGTACAGAAGGTTATGGGTTCGATCCCGACCATTGATGCCTGCTGTATATTTGGAATTTGCATATTCTCCCTGTGGTCACGTGGATCTTTCTCCGTTTTTTTTCTTTCCGCATTTTTAAACACACGTTTAGAATATATAAATTTCCACTCGATGATAATTCCACTTCCGTTGAGCTATCATTTGTGATAGCCACGTCGTTTCTGACAAAGAGCTACATAGCTCAGTGAGGCCTTACCTGGTGAAATAAAAACAGCTAAGTTTATATTCTACAGTGGGGCCTTACCTGGTAAAATAAAAACAGCTACGTTTATATTGGCAGCCGGGACGGTCTGCAAAGCTGTTATCGGGAACTTGCGTCGGCATGCCAAATTATTTGATCCTAATTCTGTCCTCGCTCTGCCCTAGATTCCCACAAAGCTGTTGTTCATAGAATTAGAGGAATGGAGGAGGTACAATAATAAAGTATTATAACGGAGAGAGATTCTTTGTACGCTTGTAGTAGCGCCGGCCCAGCAGCGTTCGGGGAAATATCCAGCGAGCAACGCAGCGCTGATGCAGCTCGTTTACCCAGGAGAGCCTCGCTCACAGAGTCTCAAGACTCTTTTTCAGGAGGGTCCTGCCCAGTGTTCGCGGGAGCGCGTGACGACGCCGCGGCATGTGATCCCAATCGCGCTGATTTGCCGGTAGTTTTTTTTTATCCCAGCAGCGTCATGTGTGGCCACGATAAGAGTGACGACACGAGTCACACCACGAGTCACACCACGAGTCATGACACGCTCACCGGACACACGCGACCGCTCACTGGACACACGCGACAGCTGACGGCTGCAGTGGCTGGGGCCGCGGGATGGCAGCGTGAAGTAGCCGTCCTCGGGGCTTGGCAGTGGAGACTGCGACGAGTTCACAAGGGCTGTGGCCATGGCGAGAGGGAGAGAGAGGGAGAGAGAGAGAGTGAGAGGGAGTGGGTGACAGAGGGTGACAGAGAGAGGGTGCGAGGGAGAGTGCGAGCGGTGAGATTCAACAAGAGACATTGTGCCACCCTCTCGCAGTCCAACACCTGCACCTGTGCGTCAATTATATCCACGAACATTTGTGTCGGGGATTGTCATCAAAACACTCGGCGAGACTTCGCCATAACGGACGGCGCGATCGCGACGGGCCCCGCGCCGTGCGTTCCGATCGTCGCGGCGGGCAGAGGAGGCGTGCAGGCAGCATTTTGAGAAACTCGGACACCGTCGTTTCAACCGCGCCGGTTCCATTCCATCTCCCGGCGCGCACCCCGGATCGCGAGCCTGGGCATTCGGAAGGGGCACGGACGTCAGTGTCTGAATATTTACGAACATTGGTTCCTAGGGAGAACCACTGATCCTACCGAGAACCACTCATCCTACTGAGAACCACTGATCCTACTGAGAACCACTGATCCAAGGGGGGACCCGAAGGGTTCCTCGCCACGTGTGAGCTCACCACGAGGCGAGGGAGTGCCTCAATAAAGAGTGCCCATTCTCTCAGAAGAGGCAAACAACAGTGGCTGGAATGAAGTCCGACCAGAGGGACGCGCGGCATTGTGGGCGCGCTCCGGAAACGGGGGAGGGCGGCGGGGTGGGTGGGTTAGTGGGTTAGAGGAGGGAGAGATGTTGGGGGTGAGTGGGTGAGCAGGTGAGTAGGTAAGTGGGTTAGACGGTTAAGGGGAGGGAGAGATGGTAGGGGCAGGGGTGAGTGGGTGAGTGGGTTAGAGGGTTAAGAGGCGGGAGAGATGGTGGGGGTGGCGGTGAGTGAGCAGGAGGGGGGGCGGTGAAGGCTGCCGGTATTTGGCGTGGCGACGTCGCCGCTCCAAGCCGGCCAGGGTCACCACCACGGACGTTGCCACACACACCGCCCCCTAAGCACCTCCCCCCCGGGGCACTGGAACACCGTGCCCTGCTTGAAGAGCAGATGAGGGTGATGATGATGATGGTGCTTGGTATGATGGTGGTGGCGGTGATGATGATGGTGGTGGTGATGATGATGATGGTGCTTGGTATGATGGTGGTGGCGGTGATGATGATGGTGGTGGTGATGGTGGTGATGATGAGGTGGTGATGATGACGATGGTGATGATGATGACGATGGTGATGGTGGTGATGATGACATTGGTGGTGATGATGATGACGATGGTGGTGGTGGTGATGATGACGGTGGTGACGACGACGATGGTGGTGGCGACGACGACGATGTGTTCGTTTGTGTATTCGTTTCTCGACGAGGTCACGGCCAAGTTGCGGTGTCCCCCTGCGCCTCCGCTAAGCGGCCCTGAGTCAGTGGTGGAATTTCCACATTCCTATGGCTGGGGCTAGAACGCGTGCGAGAGGACTCACGTCTACTCGTTCATTCCGTGCGAGGTTTTACCTTTTTTTCCGGGCGATCCGTCAAGCCCCCCCCCCCCCCGGTATTGTTTCTAAACGCGTCCCCGCTCTGGAATGTTTTGTAAGTTGCGGTTTTGTCACATTTTTGCCCGTCCAGGAAATAATAAAGTGTGTCTCCGGGCGGCATAGCTGCTGCTGCCGCCACTGCTCTTGCTACAGGTGCTACAGCTGTTGCTGCCACCGCTGCTACAGCCGCTGCTACAGCTGTTTATGCTCCAGCTGCTACAGCTGCTGCCGCCACTGCTGCAGCTGCTACAGCTGTTACAGCTGCTACAGCTGTTACAGCTGCTACAGCTGTTACAGCTGTTACCGCTACTGCTACAGCTGCTGCAATAGCTGCTGCTACACCTGGTAGTACAGCTGTTGCCGCTGCAGCTGCCGCAAGCCGTTCCCCGCAGGCGTGAACGAGAAGACCGCGGCCACCCCAAAACGCTCCACTCGCTCCCCGCCCCCCGTTCAAATCTGAGATCAACTTCAAGAGTCTCGCTCACCGTCGTTGTAGCTCCTCCCATCGCTCCTCCTCCGAGCCCCGGCGACGCTCGACGCATCCTGCCCAAGCCCACTCCACGTTCCTCTGTATGGCCAACGCACGGCTGGCGGGCCGGCCGGGGTGCGTGCATGCGTGCGTTCCCTAATCCCCATCTTCCTCTCTCTGACGTCCAGGGTCATTCCCAGCGCGCGGCTCTGCACGCTTCATCGCGTACTTTCATCTGCCCAGCGTGCAACAGCAGACCAAGTACCCTCTCGAGGGTCGCTGTTCCAGCGGAGGCCCCAGCAGTGACGCGAGTGAGCGATTGCAGGGGCTGCGCCTTTACCCTGTGCGAATCACCATTCACGAGTTCCGCTTTTTTGGAATGTGCGATGCGAGTGGGACGCTGGCGTAATGCTGGCGTGATGCGAGTGTGATGCTGGGGTGACGCTGGTGTGACGCTGGGGTGACGCTGGTGCGCCGCGGGTGCGACGGTAACGCGACACTGGTGCGCCGCTCGTCTCACCGAGCGGCAGCACGGACGGGCGTGGGTTGCTTGCTCGCGGCAGCCTCAGCGAGCTGAAGCCGCGGGACAGGGCGGAGGAGGAGGAGGCGCCGGCGGCGGAGGCGGCGCTGACGGCGGCGCTGGAGTTGGCGCAGGGAGACTCGCCGCGCAGCGCCGGCTGCAGAGGCTCCTCGACCGCGACGCCGACTGCGCTGGCCACCGGCGGCCTAGAGCCACGGCACCGGACAAACAAGAACGAGGAATTAAAATCATGCACACGCATGGATGCAACGCTCTTCGGCAAGCGCTCGTCCCCGGAGGTGTTTTAATCGGCGACGATGGCGACCAGCTGCCAAGCGGCACAACCGGGGTGACGTCACCGCGAGATGACGTCACGGCTAAATGACGTCACAGCAGGGTGGCATCATACCGAGATGACGTCACACGCGCAGGGAGGCGAGCGACTTCATCGCCTTGGCCGAAAAGGCTCAGCGGAAACCCCTAACCGTTGGCGGTAATCGTTGCGAGTAAAATTACGGAAGGTGGACGGGCCAAAGGTTCCTGAGCGAAACGTCAGACATCGTGCCGAACAACACAGAGCAGCGCGACGCGATAAACGCGCCGGGGCAGCGGACGCGTAGGCAGGACCCCGCGGCGTGAACTTGGCGGTCGATGCAGGAGCGCCCGCGCGATAAGAGAGCCGTACTCCGCTCGTGTGCACTCTGCTATATTTAGTGAAGTGAGGACGTCACCGCCCTGCGGCACGGCCTCCCTGATCGAGGACGCACCTCGATCAGGGTGGAGCTTCACTTTGTCATTGTCGTCGTCAGCCATGGTCATCCCACTGATGGACAAAGGACTCCCCATGTTGTTGCCATGCGTCACGATCCAGTAATGCAACAATCGGATTTCACCGCTCTGCCTCCTCCGCAGGGCGTCCTCCCTGGGCGCGTTCCGTTCCTTGGCCGTGGTAATTCCGCGACAGTGTCATTTAGCCCTTCGTACGCTCTCAAACCCACATGGTGTTCCTCTCCCTGTCATCCCTCGGTGTCGTCACCAGCGTGCGTCACTCTCCACGCTTCTTTGCCGCACTTTTCCGATTTAGTTCGTTTCGTTGTTTTTGTGTTCGTTTGTTTCCCGGGGAACGACCGCGAGCCGCGTGCCACGTGCCGTAGCGGCGCGGCCTAGCGGCGCCGTCCCCCTGTAAGCGAGAAGCATCGGCCTCAGTGTCAGGTTCTATCCGCTGCGTCTGTGCGGTCGTCGTGGGAGACGATGGGACTCACGTTTTGAAACACGGGTCACCGGAAAGGAGGTGCATCCCGATGGTCACCTGAAGGTCAAGGATGAAGACATCATCATCATCATCAACGGTATCATCGTCATCATCATCTTCGCTGGTATCATCATCAACAAACACTGTTATAGTCATTGTCATCATTGCCGTCATCCTCACTGTAATTATCATCGTCATCTTCACTGTTACCATCGTCAACATCGTCAACATAATCATCACTGCCATCTTCATCATCTTCATCGCTGTTATCATCGTCATCCTCACTGTTAATCACCAATAACATCCTAATCAATATTGTAATCATAATTGCTATTTCAAGTGTTGCAATAATCATCATCATTATCATCATTACAATCCTAATCATCATCACTCTTGGGATCATCTAATGCCCTTTAAATAATTACGTCTGTCATCTTAATCAAACGTGCTTCCCACGTCATTAGAACTGCTTTTTGTGTGCTAGTTTGTTGTTCTTCCAAGCACCTTCGATTAGCACGGTTGGCTACATACGGTGCGAAATAAGTTCAACATACATACATGCCCGGCGTTGATGTCTACACACTGCATCAGGAACTCATTTGAGGCTGAGTGGACACACTACACCACAAGGACAAGTGTACCCCGTATGGGGCAAGTGCTGTTAGCGAGCAGCACCTACGAAGGCCGGAACGGCACACGAGTGGGTGGTCAGCACCACGCCCGGTCGCCTTTGTCTCCCTAGTGGCGATGTTTACACACCGCAACCAGGTACTCATTTACAAAACTCTCGCGACATTGTTCCGCGTGTGAACCTAGATCTACAAACACAACAAAAACAACAACAACAACAAAGAGCTGCTCACTCTACAAGCAACCAAGCAAGCAAACACAACCCCAACGTTTACGGTCAACACGGCCGCAAGCATTAACCAGGGCGGCCGCGGGGATTCCGAACCACCGCGGCGGCATCACCTTGAGCGTGGAGTTGTCCTGGCGCGTGTGCTTGGTGTCGTAACCCTCCAGGAGGAACCGACGGCACGTGCTCCCCGAGCCGGCAAACTCCGCCAGGTTCACATCAGCGAAGCCCAGCTGCGGGGCAGAACAACGCGTGGTCAGCATGGGCAACACGCGGAGGGGCAGCCACGCGGCACGCCTGGGAACACGCGGAGGGGCAGCCACACATCACAGCCGGGAACACGCGGAGGGGCAGCCACACAACCTGACTGGGAACACGCGGGGGGGGGGGGGGGGCAGCCACACGGCAGAGCATCGCTCCCTAAACGGGCAGCAGCGCGTCGACCGCTCCGTCGCCGATATATTCGCGGTTCGAAACCAGCGGCCGCCACGGTTAACGCTGCGGCGTGCGGTCGAGTATCCATGGAAGTACCACTATGCGGTGTCCGCCTCACAGCGGACGTCGAAGATCCCGCGATGCAATTCGCGAGGGTGGGCCGTCGTGCGCCGGCCGTGAAATGACGCCGCCAAATCACTCAATCGGGGGCCCGCACGCAGCAACCGTCGCGCGCCACACTACTGCGAACGCTCGGCAAGACCCTGCTGGAAGAGCCATGAGACTCGGCGAGGCCTTTCCGGTCATAACAATAAAACAACCTTATCTTGACTGTAACTGCGAGACTTGTCCACAGACTTTACCCTCGCCCCCAACGACCCCTCCATTTGCACGGCGGAGCTTATCACCAGCAGCATCGCCCCAACCCCCACCGACGATTTGTTGCGAGTACACTTCCTTCCCTGCGCAACGGACGCACCGACGAACCGCCGGCCCCCCTCCGTTCGTTAAACCCCCCCCTGCGGACGGCGACCGCCGCCGAGGCCGCGTCAACGCCTCCGACGCACGCCGAGCGAGTGGTGGAGAACGAGCGGCTCGCGATTAAAAACTAAAGCTAGACTTCGTATTTTGCCAGGTGAGGCCCTCTGAGCTGTACAGCTTTTTTTCAGAAGCGACTTGGCCACGGATGATAGCTCAACGAAGCGGCTTATTTATAGTAGCAGCCAAATACTCTAAGCCCACGTTCCGAAATGTGGAGGGGAAAAACCTGAAGATTCGGAGAAAAATCCACGCAACCACGGGGAGAACATGCAAATTCCAAATATGGAACTGTCAGGATCGATATCGAACCCACGACCTCCTGTATAACAGGCAAGCTGGTTCATATATTTGAATGTCGCGGATTCTATTCCAGAATGGGGGGTGATGGGGGGGGCTGTCTCAGTCCATCATCCCGCCATAGGAATGTGTAATTTCCACTGCTGGCTCTGGACTGTAAACGGGATGTGACCACCGATGCATCAACGCTCACGTGAGCAGGAAATTTGCTTGACCTCTTTGACTCACACGACTTGCAATTGAATGCACAGCTTGTTCGGGAAGTAGTTCTGTCGTATAAACTTCCGGGACTAGTCTCCGACACGGGGTGATCGACGGCACAATGGGCGACGTGACCTCGGGACTTCAGATGAGACGGCAACCTCAAGGTCTTACCTTGGAGTAGGTCTTCCCACCCTTGGTCTCCTACAGCGTACGGGGGTGGGGGAGGCACAGAGACAGACGATGGAGGTGTGGGACAGATGACTCGAGAGACACCCATGGCGGTGTGGCGCTCACGCGGGGACAGCGACGACACCGCAGCACGCTCATCAGTCGCGCCGTGGCACTGGATGGATCACGTGTATCGGTGACGTTTTAGTCCCTGACCCTTCTGTAGAGCACCTCTCTGCAATTTTCCACGAAGAAGGGCCATAGCCCGAAACGTCACCTGCGCCATATCATTTTTTTATACGCTTCATATTTATTTATTTATAAGCACAAGGGGCCGGCCGAGGAAGACGGCGAATTAAATCGCGTAAGCAATTTGAAACGTCTGGATGCAACTTGGAGGAGAACCTGATGAGTGACATCACCGAGAGGGCCGAGTAGAGGGAAGGCCACGGCCGCCGACGTGTTTGAGAAACGACGGAGAGAGAGCGAGAGCACGAGAGAGCGATCCTTGTCCCTTGAGGGCTCACACAGAGAGAGAGACAGCGAGAGAGACAGCGAGAGAGCGACCCTTGACCCTTGAGGGCTCACACGGAGAGAGAGAGCGAGAGAGCGACCCTTGTCCCGTGAGGGTTCACACGGAGAGAGACAGCGAGAGAGCGATCCTTGTCCCTTGGGAACTCACACAAAGAGAGACAGCGAGAGAGCGACCCTTGAGGGCTCACACGGAGAGAGACAGCGAGAGAGCGACTTTTGACCCTTGAAGGCTCACACGGAGAGAGACAGCGAGAGAGCGACCCTTGACCCTTGAGGGCTCACACAGAGAGAGACAGCGAGAGAGCGACCCTTGAGGGCTCACACGGAGAGAGACAGCGAGAGAGCGACCTTTGACCCTTGAAGGCTCACACGGAGAGAGACAGCGAGAGGGCGACCCTTGACCCTTGAGGGCTCACACAGAGAGAGACAGCGAGAGAGCGACCTTTGACCCTTGAAGGCTCACACGGAGAGAGACAGCGAGAGAGCGACCCTTGACCCTTGAGGGCTCACACAGAGAGAGACAGCGAGAGAGCGACCCTTGACCCTTGAGGGCTCACACAGAGAGAGACAGCGAGAGAGCGACCCTTGAGGGCTCACACGGAGAGAGACAGCGAGAGAGCGACCTTTGACCCTTGAAGGCTCACACGGAGAGAGACAGCGAGAGAGCGACCCTTGACCCTTGAGGGCTCACACAGAGAGAGACATCGAGAGAGCGACCCTTGAGAGCTCACACGGACAGAGACAGCGAGAAAGCGACCCTTGTCCCTTGAGGGCTCACACGGAGAGAGACATCGAGAGAGCGACCCTTGACCCTTGGCGCACACGGAGATAGACAGCGAGAGAGCGACCCTTGTCCCTTGAGGGCTCACACGGAGAAAGACATCGAGAGAGCGACCCTTGACCCTTGGCGCACACGGAGATAGACAGCGAGAGAGCGACCCTTGTCTCATGAGGGCTCACACGGAGAGAGAGAGCGAGAGGAAGATCCGTTTCAGGAAGTTGACACTTCGATAAACCATTGAGGTGAGGGGTGGCGGCCCGAGGGAAGCTCAGATCAGACGAGAGGTAAGACACCAACTCGCTTCGGCCGCGTTTGCTCGAATTTATTTCGGTGGCAGATTGAAGAAGGCAACGGGACCAAGATGCGTGCAGTTCCTCAGGAACTGGTGTGAAACCAATCGGGGGAGGCGGGTGGGGGGGAGGGCTTGGCGGACGGAGCGCGCGCTGGCGGCGGGCACCTTGCGCACGGACACGCGGAGCACGCACGGCTCCAGCACCCCCGTGGTGGCGTTAGCCGTCATCTTGCATGGGAACTCGAACGTCTGTCGCCACTGAACCGAGTTCTCCTCCACCTGCTCCCTGCGCTCGTCACGGAGAAATCGGGGGTGGTGGGGGGGGGTGTGGCGGAAGGAAGGTGGAGAGGGGTGGGGGGCAGGATGAGATTATTAATAAATTATCATCGTCATTATCATAATTATCGCCATCATTATAATCATCACCGTCGTCGTCATTGTACTCCCACGGTGCAATGACTTGGTGTCGTCCGTGAGCGGGAATCGAACTCGGGTTACCGAGTTCGTAGCGCACGCTGCGCTACGAGTTCGTAGCGCACGCTGCGCTACGAACTCAGGTTACCGAGTTCGTAGCGCAGCGTGCTAACCGCTACACCACCGCTCTCCACAATTTGTTACACCCAACGTTCTTACCGACTCACGCGTTTGGGAAGCGATAACCTCGTAACATTCCCATTGCCTGGGCGCTCCCGGCCTGTAGCGTAAAGAGGGGATCCTTGCCTCTACGATGGGCCACTCACAGGAGGGGATTCAAGCAAGAAGCGTGACTTCTGCTGATGAGGCAGTGTGCGTCCAGAGGTTTTCTTGTATTGAATCCAATGCCGCTCAAATTGAGTCACTCCCAGAAGGCCGTGCCGCCGCTGGACCGAGCCAGGCGCGTGCCTTGCATGCGCAGAGACGGCTCTGTGAAGGAGGCATCGTCTGCCTACTGACATCGTGAGCCCTGCCCTGCCTCTGTAAGAACGCCTCTTGGATCTCGGGCGCCGCGGTTACGGTTGTAACACCGTAATCCGTACGCGCATTGTGCCGCTCGCCTTTTTGTTCGTTCTCTGGTCTAGCGCTGGTGAGACAGGGCCATAAAGAAGACTGTCTCTGGTGTGGGTCAAAAGTGTCAAAGACGACGCGTGTACAGAGCGTGTCTGTGTGCCTGGTTTGCCGCAGGTACGTGTGGTTAATGCAGAATTGACGCCCTGAATTAGGTTAGGTATCCATGTGGTGTTTGAACATCTTAACACCTCCAGTTTAATTTTCAGAAAGGGTGAAGCCTCTTCTTATGTTTGCTCATCATTGTCTGTTGGTTTAACTTGTTGCACGCAGGGTCCTCCTCGTCCGCTCGTGTTTACAATGGGGATAGAAACCCGAACTCCATTCCGCTTCAGCGGAGACGTCTCCGCGTCTCAGCCGAGACATCTTCACCAAGACGCGGAGACGTCTTCACCGAGACGCCGAGACGTCTTCACCAAGACGCAGAGACGTATTCACCAAGACGCGGAGACGTCTTCACCGAGACGTCTCTGCATCTCAGCCAAAACATATCCGCGTCTTGGCCGAGGCGTTTCGTTCAGTATCTCTCTTGCGGTTTAAAGTTGGGTCATCCACTTTCGTGTGTGGCTGACGCCTGCCATGTTGCACGGTCTCCCCGTGGATTTTTCTCCGGTTTTCCCATCCACGTTAATAATCAACATCACGCGTTTAGAGTATTTGGCTGCTATATAGAAAAAAAAATGTGCACCATAGACACCTCCTCCCCCCCCCCCAACGACTCTGCACAAGTGGAAGAGCCTGTGGTGGCAATACGCAGACCCTGGACCCAGCCGCGCGGATTGTCCCATTGCCATAGCGGGGGGGGGGGGGGGTGTCTATGGTTGTGTGTTGAGGCTGTGCCTCTGTGTGAGTTTGTGTCCACTGCACAAACCATGGCAGCAGCAACAGCAGATGCGGTGATACTCGACGACGACGATGATGATGATGATGCACAAATGGGAGAATAGAACCTCAACGGCAGTGACCAGAGACCGTGGTCACATCACCACCACCACCTCCCCCTACTACGCCATCAGCATCCGGTGTGAGAAGGCGCTCATTCAGCAGTGGACTTACAAACGAAGAGAAAATCATCATAGATAACTCGTGTTAATTATTGTGAAAATTGGTGATTCGCTGCTCAAATAACCATTGATGCATCGGTGGACATCTCCCGTTTACAGCCATTGCAGGTCCAGTGGTGGAAATTCCACATTCCTATGACAGGGACGAGCCGCCCCGTAAAAGAGGCACCGTTGTTGATCTTCCCCGCAAATTTATTCCGGGTTTATCCCCACCCCGGCTGGGAGGGAGATGATGGGTCGCGTCAACCCAGGCACGCAACCAGGACTTGAACCCGCTGACCCTTTGCGTGGCGGAGCCGCTCGTTCCACCAGCCGGCCCGGGTCGCTCGGACAACATCGGGCCCCGTGGATTATCGGAGAGAAACAAATTCCTCGCGCGGCATTGTGCGGCGGATTACAGAGGGACATGGCGTCACGCCGCTTCAGCCTGCACCGCCGCGAAATGTGCGTTGAGCTCGGCTCGGAATGCGCGCTGCGTGTGACAGAGATTAGCGGGGAGCTGTCTAACGCAACCACCGCGGGTGTTGGGTGATTTCAGATCATCGTCGCTATCATCGTTGTTGACAGATATTGTCAATCCACTGCTGGATGAAGGCCTCTCCCAATCAATTGTAGGGCTACACCCTTACATACGAATTGGTTTGAGCTTTTGTGGCAATAAAACAATTTGTGTTAAGATGTTAAAACACCAAACTGAAACCTTTTGCAAGGAAGCGTGTCTGCATTGTTCTGTGATTTCCTACGGATTTTGCCCTCCTCCTCCACGTTGAGAATCAACTCGCGCTTAGATGATTTGGCTGCTCCTATAAATCCGTAGGTGCTCGCTAACAGCACTTGCCCCAACAGTCTGTTGAGGCTATACGGGGGATCTTTTTTTCTGTGTGGGGTGTTAGGGGTAGTTGTGCGCGTTGGGGGATGTGGGGGGAGTGGTAGTGTAGCGATTAGCGCGCTGCGCTACGAACCCGGCGAACCGAGTTCAACACCAGCGACGATTATCTGAACCGGTCCTAGGCCTCACCTATGTCGACTCAGCCTCCAATGGCTACCTGATGCGGTGTGTAAACACATCGCCACTGGGGGAGACAAAGGCGGCCGTGCGTGGTTGTTGGCCTTCATAGGCGCTACTCGCACACAGCACTTGCCCCAATAGTCTGTTAAGGCTACACGGGGGATCGTTGTCTTTGTTGGGGGGTAAATGTGTGTGTGTGTTAGGGATTCGTGTGTCCGTGTTGTGTGTGTGTGGCGCTTAGGAACACGAGGCATTTGTTGGTTTTCCGAGCGAAAGAAGTCTCTCTAAAGTTCCAAGGAACAAAGGCTCCCTCCCTCCCACGGCAACCATGCGCACTGCCAACCCGACTCTACCGGCCCGCACTCGCCCCACCCACGGAGCCCTAAATGCACACGGGGTACGGGCTACAGGCGGATGAAGACGAAGAGGGGGGGGGGGAGTTGCGATAGTCGTGTCGAGGAGGTGATGTGGCCAGCACCACGCCCCGTCCGCCGTTGCCTCCACAGCGCCGAAGATTTCGACACCGCGACCGGTAATCGAACCCGTGGGTTCTCTGAACCTCTCCCGAGGCCGTCTCTGCCAGAGCGCGTTCGTGGCTGCCCAACGCTGCCGCCACCAGGCGCTCTGCTTAGGGCGCGTTAGACCAAAGGGCGCTTCGCCACTCTAGAGTCTAGAGCAGGGGTGGAGAACGTCCGGCCCGCAGGCCGTACGAGGCCCCGCGAAATCATTTGGTGTGGCCCTGCCAAGGCAACCGCAGGCGGGACTCGAAATTCAATAAATCTAGGAGCAAACCTGGAAAAGCAGTTGCGAGTAGCAACATCGTCAATAGCCAGCTAACATCATCACATGCCTCGCCAAAGAGAAGCAGTTCCAGCCATCACATTAGGGGTGAGTTCATTAAATGTTTGGCCAAATATAACAGGCTAGTTTTTAAGTTGATAATTTTGTATGGCCCGCGAATGATGTTATAAATAACCACATGGCCCTTGGCAGACAAAAGGTTCCCCACCCCTGGACTCTAGATAATTCGCGCGGTTTTTGCTACGTACGGTGCGAAAGAAGTTCAACGTAGAGTCCATACAGCTCTGATTGTATTGGTGGGCCGAAGGGCTCACGTCACGTCTGAGGATATAGCAACAAATCACATCGGGTGATTTCATTTATTTTAACAAACGTTCAAACCGACTTCCATTCACATTCATCCACTGCGTTCTCATTTGTTCTCATTTCCAAATTAAAGGCTACAGGTGTCATCTTTGAACGTCTGTCAATGACATGTCGCCGTCTCAATTCACTCCGGATTCTTGGTCGAGTTTTGTAAACGACGAATTTGAGGCGACCCCCCCCCCCCACAGAAGAAAGATAAATGAATAACGACAATAGATTAAATATTAATTAACGAATAAACATAAATTAAGATGGTTTTTTTCTTCATTTCAGTGTTAACATTAATGAAATAACCCTGTGTGTCCTGACTTTTGGGCCACCACCCTGTACATTCCGTGAGAGATTCGTCAACGGAGACACGTGGCACGCCTTCTCAAGGCCGTGCGGTGCGGGCGAGGGGTGGTGGCACAGGAGTTGGAGGGTAAACATCGGCCACTTCCAGGCCCCTATTTAGTCTGTGTCGTCAAGGCCAGGCGAGCTGCCACGTCACTCTCTGACATCTTGAACTCGATGCCATCTCTCACAGCCACATCTGTAGGGTTTTGCGTTTTATTTTTATCTGTACACATGCAAAGATAAATATATCTCACCCCCCCCCCCCGCCTCCCGCCCCCCATCATTCGTATTATGTATTGTTGTATATTGCGATATATGACTCTATATGCACTGCATCGCAGTTATCGGCACGCTGTGTGGCGTCGTTAACCGTGCACGCACCAGCCCCGCCAGCCCTCCCGTGTCCATCGAGAAGTGTCAAGTTGATTTCATTGAACCAGGTGAGAACTCAAGAGGCCAGGATGAGTCTCATTTGTGATCTGGGGCATGTGTCTCCTGCCAGCAGTGGGGCCATGGTTGGTGCTGCTGCTGTGTGTGATGCCAATTGAGTCATTTGCGGTGTACATTTTCTAATTTGTACTCATTTCGACGCGGACGCCAATGACACACAATGGCCCAACTCCTGCTGAATGATGCCACGGGGATCTTTAACGTCTGTTGTGAGTG